ATCATCATATAAGGAGGATTATACTCATTATGATAATTTGTACCTTTGGGATCATCAACAAATGAATTAATCATATCATGCACATATTTACGTGTGATATCAAGACGTTCATCATTCATCCAACAGTTCATTTGTATTTCTATTTATGTTTACATTATTTAAATCTATTTAGGCATCCCTCATTTCACTTTAATCTCTGTCGGACTGATCGATATATCACTCCCACTATCATCACTACTCTCGTTCTTCTCGTTGTACACGCACAAGCAGTGACATCTGTCCTTGCATTTCGAATCAATGGGGAGAGCTTCGCTCTCCCCGGGACAGCTTCGCTGTCCCATCACAACCACCAGTTTGTGGTTCTTCCTTCCACTCATCCATTTCCATGCACTTTTCAGCCATTGAATAAAGCGGTTCATTTATGAACGAGATCAAGGAACTACGGAAACCAGCCAAGCGAAAAGGTGCAACTCGAGTGATCATCAGTTCATTCAAGAGAAACATATACTTCATCGATCTCATCGATTTCTCTTCCAAACAAGACAAATGGATTCAGGAAGTGTTGGGCAGACAGAAGAGTACAGGATTCCACAAGAATCGTGGATACAAGTATGTCCTTGTATGCATTGATGGATATTCGAAATACCTGATGGCTCGGCGACTGAAAAGCAAGAGTGCCACAGAAGTCACGCATGCGATGAAGGACATCATTCAGACATACGGACCACCAAAGCATATTTGCTCTGATCGAGGCACCGAGTTCACCAATGCCATCTTTCGTACCAACATCTTGGACAAGTATGACATCACCATGTATCACATGGATTCAGCGAATAAGGCAGTACTAGCCGAACGAGCAATTCGAGATATCAAGGAAGACATCATGGTTCCATTCAATCAATCGAAAGGTGTATGGTTCGATTTGATCGATGGTGCGGTTCGTAGACACAATGCAAGGAAGAACAGAGACACCGGATATACACCAAATGACATTTGGAACAACGATATCTTGTACACGGAGAAGACAGAACCATCCAACATGACAGCGAAGGACACGACGCCTCAATTCGATGTGGGTGATTATGTTCGAGTGACACGAAGACCTCGTGTTCTGGAAAAGCGATCATTGACGAGCAAATGGTCTCAGGACTTGTATCAAGTTGTTGACATTGACGATCGATTCATGCCATTGATGTACGAAGTGAAGAATATGGAAAGCGGTAGCAAGCAGAAGTGCTATCATTGGGAACTCCTGGCTAGCAAATGCAAACCACAGCCAGCACCACCAGTCACGCGATCCAAGAGTCGAAAGGAACCCAATGCATTGAGAGAGGTAGCAAGGTCACATCGACCCATTACGAGGAGTCAGAATGGGACGACAAAGTCGTCCCGGCGGAACGAAGTGGGGCGACAAAGTCGCCCCGGGAAGCCTTCGGCTTCCCACGAAGTTCCGCCACAGAAGAAGCAGAAGAAGCATGGGACGACTTCGTCGTCCCGGGAGCAACTTCGTTGCTCCCTACGTCCCCAAGATGTTCGAAAACGATCGTGATGCTCTTCACACCACCTAGAAGCATGAGAGGAAGATTCGAATACGTACGAAGGACAGGAGAGTTGCCCCCAATATTCACAACAGCATAACCAGTATGAGACACAAGACTATTCAATGTATCGATGTACGGTCTGTCTAGGATAGGCGTATTGTCAAACGTGACTAGCACTCGATAACCCTTTTCAACCACCGATTCGATTGACGTGCAATCGTTGAACATGTCGTCAGGAAGGTACGTTATGACAGTCGTGGTTATCAGGTACGATCCGGACGGCATAGGCGGCATACCATCACCACCCCATTCGCTATTGAATGATTCGGTAGTTTCTGGTGTGTATTCGAAGACAAATGCTTCATTCGCTTTCACGATGTAGGAAGGAGTACTACCCCACGAGTACTGAGGAACACCATCCACTGTCTCTCGAATTAGCACATGATGACCGTCCTTCTCTGGCATGTTGATGAGCATGTTGTCGAGCTTCTTGAACGTGTAGTTGTTTCCATTGCTACTGAAAATGTACGACATTTACTTTTTACTTTGGATGATTTCGTTGATATGCACGAACGTACACACCCTTCAGACACGCACCATCATCGATGAACAGATCGGACAACTCGGGAGGCACTTTATCATCCACCACCTTGAAGACCACGCGTACATAGTAGTTGGAGAAGAAGTAAACAGCACGATTCTCAGTCATTACACCGATAATGTGAGGAGGCAGTGAGTTGCCCCTCCAAAACACGTTCAGAGGCACACCGAGCAGACCGTTGGATTTCAATTGAGGCAATAGATACTCCCATTCATCCTCGGTAAACAAAGGTGGACGAGTTTCATCCAACGTCATCTCCATGCAATCATAGTCGTGCAATATTAAACCACAGTTCACATTTGCTTGCGGAGTGCAAACACTGAAGCCGAATAGACGCTCGGAATTGATCGGATACTTGGTGTGAATGATAATGTCGGCGAGTTCGATATTCTCGTCTTCACAAGTGCGTACCAGGGAAGACCATGTGTTGTTTTCTGTTTTCTTGTACTTCATTTAGGGAAGCATCTAGGGTTAAAAGAGAAAATATAAATATATAAATATATAAATATATAAATGAATAGACCTACTCACACTTTGAATCCCAATACTGGCCGAGAAATCCAAATCAACGGAGTTCGCTTCTGGAACCTTCTCAAGCGTGGATACAAGTACGACGAGAAATTGAATCGCTTGTACGACAAACCATTACCACCGGATACGACGAAGTACGTTCCCAAGTCGAGAATACTTTCTCCCAGCAATCGCTCCATGATTATTGGTGGCACAGCATACTACGAGTTACTCCATGACAACTACAGACGCGTAAAAGGACAATGGGTGAAAATGACCAAAGAAGAAGCTGAGGCATACGATAATGATCCAGACATTAGCATTGCATTCGCTGACCCCAATTCTAGTGATTCTGATTCATCGGAATCCGAGTTCTACGACATCGATGAATTCGAGTACGATGCGGATGGTCATGCCATTTTCCCATTCTAGGGATGCCTTCGGTAGCTCAAGGAGGAAGCCAAGCTCCTAACTATTTCACTTTGGTCACACGTGTATCACCACTTAAAGATTTTGTGACCCTTATATAAATGAGTTCACATCGCGACGAATATACTATCAACCCTGAGACTGGAAAACAAATCAAGATTGGTAAGTCGACCTGGAAACGATTGGCCGCCAAGTACTACATGATCGGCGATACGTTCACCGATCAGACCATGCCTGACACGAGAGCCTATGTGTCGAACAAGATATTCGGGAAGAAACTAGCAACACCGAAAGCACAGGCAACACGTCGTAAGCGAGTAGCAAACCCTGCCATCGAGGGAAAGCACGTGTACGTAGGAAGCGAGGCATGGAATGACCTCTACAACCAGTACGAGTGGGATGGGCACAAGTTCGGTGAGAAGCGACAACGTCACTTACCCGCTTACCTGAACACCGTGGAGAAGAGACGTGAAATGAGACGTAATAAGGCATACGAACGATTCGATCGCAAGGTATCACAGGGACGATTGAGTGATGTGATCGATTCAACTCTCGGGTATGCACTCACGTACTATCACACCGTACAAGGAGACATGTACAAGGAGTGGGTGAAAGAGAAACGAACCAAGAAGGACTTTCGCCTCAACAACGATTTTGACAACAGGTTGTGGGTTCGACTACCGGGTGAGAAGAGCGATGAGGAAGTGGAACCGATCAATCTCATATTCGATGAGACAAATGAATTCAATGAAGTCTTGAAGAAGTACATCCTCAATGGTATGCGTGAATACAATCAATGTTTCATCACCATCATGGCATACAACCTCATGTTGACACATGACGGAGATCCCAAGATCCTCAACCTCACCGATGATCGATTGGGACACCTCCGCATCGTTCGACGAGATCGCATCGATGAATGGATCGAGGAGTACCTGAAATGGTACCGAAACGGTGTAGAGGAACAGGAGACAGAGGGAAGTGGGTTCGGGTACCATGGGTGGATCGGCTTCCATATCGAGATGTTCCCACTACGCTCATTCGTGGGGTACAAGCAGCACACACCGTTCGTCATCGGACGCACAGCGCTCAACCCGGATTTCGATGACAACCGATGCCTACAACGGTGCCTCATTCTGGCCAGTGAAGGCGGGCATAAGATCGTCGCGAATCGCAAGATTGGCGATGCAACCGTGTACAACAAGTGGTGGAAACAACCCGACAAGTACAAGGTATTCGGAGTGACCATTCACGAAGTAGAGGAGACGATGGGCATTCGTGACAATACACCCTTCGATGCGAGTGAAGAGAAATTCGCCGCATTGGAGGCATTGTTGAAAGTATCGCTCAATGTATTCGAGGTCACACTCTTGCCTGGATACACCGATAAGACGAAGGAACAATTCGATTTATTCACATGCGATGTCGTGTACAAAGGTAAGGGAACGAAGCTTCCTCTCTCCCTCTGCATCTTGAACGATCTGAATCTACCTGAGGGAACGCCCAAACACTTCTTGTACATCAAGGATGTGAATGATTTCAAGCATCGTATGACACGACAGAACGATGCAAAGAATAGACATCTCTCAAGAAATGTGAAATGCAGATTCTGTAACGACTTCTTCGGATCTCGCAAAGCCGTTCATGATCACGAAGTACAAACACATCGTGAACTTGTCGATGAGAGTGATCAGTACGATTTGGCGAACGAGGAGACTCGGTTGCGATTCACAAACCAGCGATACGAAATGCCAGCACCGGTCGTCGTGTACGCTGACTTCGAGTCAGCCATTGATGACAAGAACAAACACAAGCCAATCATGTTGTCCTGTTTGGCCGTGTCACGCATTCCAGCCGTTGACAGCCAACTGCGAGTCTTCCATGCACCACATGAGAGCGAAGAGGATCTTCGCCCTTTCATGGACTATCTCACACAATTGCAAGGGAGAGTGAAAGAGTATCTCTTCGATGAATTACCACTCGAGAACTCTCCGAGTATCGAGAGGGACTTTCGTGCAACAACCGTGTGTCCCTTCTGTCACAAGAAACTGGATAACGACAAAGTACGACATCATGCACATGTGACAGGTGAATACACCACAGGGAAGGGAGAGGTACGTCACTTCGAAGCAGGGCAGTACATCTGCACCTGTTGTACCAAATGCAATCTCCAACTCTCCTTCAACAAGAAGAACTATCGTTTACCCGTATACTTCCACAATGGATCGCACTACGACTTCACATTCATCATGAAACTCATCGCAGCTCATTCAACCTCTAGTGACTCCTTGGAAGTCATTCCAACCACTGAGGACAAGGAGATGCAGATCGAATACAATGGCATACAATTCAAGGACTCGTTGAAGCTCATCAGCAGTCCTCTCAGATCCATCGTCGCACAGACACTCGGAGGGAACCTCGATTTGTACGTGCACACCAAACAACAACTACGCAAGTACTGTGAATCACGAGGTAAGCAATGGAATGACGAGTACATCGATCTGTTGACACGGAAGGAACCCATGTTTTACAGTCTCATCAAATCGTACGACACATTGAACAATACCACCATTCCTTCTCGTGAACAATGCATTGATGATATGAAGGGAGAAATGATGCCCCAAGGCGAATATGATCACATGGTGAAACTGTGGAAGATCTTCGATATCAAGACATGGGGTGAGTACTACGAGTTGTACAATGTACTCGATGTAACTCTCATGGCTGATGCATTCGAGCACTTCCGAGTTACCACACTGAAGGCATTCGGTGTTGATCCGATGCACTACATCACAGCACCACAAATGGCCTATTCGCTCTTCTTAAAGGTCACAATGGAGGGCGATCATAGCGAGAGTAGCCTCATGACCCTCGCAAGGAAATGGGCTCAGTACATCATGCGCATCAACGCGAATGAGGGACTTGAGGAGAAACAACTCGTGAAAGTGTTCTTGAATCGCATGAGTGAATTCTATGAGAGCAAGGGAATTCGATTGATGGAGACAAATGAGATCGATGACTTCATGCGTCTACTCAAAAACCTTCGAGGAGGCATCACACAGATCGTGAAAAGGCATGCCAAGGTTGACATTGGGGGAAGCGTTGCTTCCCCGGGCAACGAAGTTGCCCCCATTGACAACAAGGAGCAAGCAACGTCGTCCCAAGGCATCTACTACCTGGACGCCAACAACCTGTATGGTGGAGCCATGCATCGAATGATGCCTTACGAGTTGGTGGGTGTACCTGAGCGACGAGAAGTAATGGAAAGGATCAACCGTGATCCGAATGAATGGGTGCAATCACTCAATACGTTCGGCAAGTATGGGTTCTTCATCGAGTGCGACATCGAGGCACCAGTGGAACTCCATGATAAATTCAATGACTTGCCATTCTTCCCCGTACAGAAGGCGGGCATGTACTCCGATGGAATCAAGAAGTACGCAGCGAAGAACGATATTGTGGACAAGGTCAAAGAGGTGAATACACCGAAACTCATTTGTGATCTTGTACCTCGACGCAAATATCTCGTACACTACTCTCTGTTGCAATTGGGTCTTCAACAGGGTTATCACGTCACGCACATCCACCGCATCATCCGTTTCAAACAAGCACCCTTCATCTTCGAATACGTCAATATGCTGAGTGAGAAACGAGCCAAGTCCAAGACCACTGTGGAGAAGAACCTGTACAAGCTGTTGGCAAACTCGACCTATGGCAAATTCGTGGAGACTGGACTGAAACGAATGAAGGTGAAGTTCGCTAGCACGTGGAATGAACGTGAGGCTATCATTCAGAAGCACGGATATGATATGATCGCAGGAACCACCATGTATTCCGAGAATCTGATCGGTATCAAGCTGAACACACCGGTGCGCAGGGTGGAGAAGCCGTTCTTCATCGGGTTCGCCATTCTCGACATGTCCAAACACATCATCTACGATTTCTACTACAACGTGCTCAAGAACACATTCGACACCGTGGAGTTGTTGGGACAGGACACGGATTCGCTCATCGTGCAACTGCACGATCGCGCTAACATCGTTCACAAGATGTGTGACATGTACAAATCATTCGACTTCTCGGAATTGGATAATACGAGCTACTTCTACGGACAACTCGTGAACTACTACGAGCATGAAGTGGACAAGAGAAAGTTCCCTTCATTGGAATCATTCCTCAATTTCAACAAGAAGTTGCCGGGACCCATATTCAAGGATGAGCATAACGGGCATCGCATCACTGAATTCGTGGGACTTAGACCAAAGATGTACTGTTTGATTGACGAGAAGCATGTAGTGCATAACGCAGCGAAGGGAGTTCCTCGCAACGTCGTGATCGATGGAGAGAGGATGAGTGTGAAGAACATCGAACTGTACAAGCGCGTCCTCGAGGCAGAGAAGAAGGAAGATGCAGTGATCGAAGGCAGTTTCAAGCGTATCAACAACCAGGCCTTCAACATCAGCACGAAGGAGCAGACCAAGACACTTATGACTTGCACAGACAACAAACGTTGGATCTTGGACGACAATGTGCACACACTGGCATTCGGGCATTATAAACTGAAGTAAAGGAAGCAATCTTTCACTTTGGACACCCATGGATACCATGGCCTACAATGGAAGTCAGGTTAACATTGCAGGAATTGGCCGAAATTGGCAGCCATGGGTTTCCGCGCGTTTCTTGTTATGGACATCGAGGTGGCCAGGCAGGCAATGGCAGAAAATGGCAGAAATGGCAGTCATGGGTTTCCGCGCGTTTCTTGTTATGGACATCGAGGTGAGCAGGTAGACAATGGCCGAAAATGGCCGAAAATGGCCGAAAATGGTCGAAAAAAGTTCACCGCGGTTATTTGGTAGAAAATGGATTTTCGCGCATCTATCGCCTTTTCCCTACTACTATCCATCTCATCTAATCGAACCATATTCAATTGCTTGCCATTCTCATAGTACCCTTCAAACAACATTCCTCCATTTTCATCATATTCTCTGCTCTCACCGTTACGTACTCCGTCTCTATATTCGCCCTCGATCCATTTTCTGTTTGTTTCATCAAACAGCTTGAAATATCCATTGTAAAGAGATTCTTTACCTTCGTGCCATTCACTTAGTTTACTGATTTCACCATTCTCGTAAAAGAAGCATACACCCATATTATTACCTTCATCATCTTTCTTGTATACACTTAATAAATTCTTGCTATTGTCATATTCCTTCCAATAGCCATCCATTTCAGTCATCTTCACAAGCTTCTTGCCTTTCTCATACAGACCTTCATAGACTACTTTCTTTTTTTCATATTCTTTTCCTCTTCCTTGACGATATCCATTTACAAATCTTCCTTCAAAGTACAAAGATCCCCATTCATCATAGATTGTACAGGGACCATTTGCAATACCATCGACAAATGTCAAATTCGCTACTAATACGTTTTTGTCAGAAAGGAGTGTCGATTCACCATCCATTTTTCTGTTTTTGAGATGGGTAATGATCTTATAGTCCAAATGAGGCGGACCAACTATTATTGTGGCTTCATCACCTTTGTCATCGACATAAGAAATCGGAAACTCGTCACTAAAGTTGGATTCCCAACAATTTCCTTTTGCTACATTTGTTGGTGGGATTGTCTTCATTGGAATCAAGATTGATCCATTTTCTTGCTCAAATGATGGTTGTAGGTTACTCATGATAATTTGTGAATAAATAGAAGAGTGACAAAATACAGCACATTTTCATTAGTTATCTTGATTGGCTAAAGAGGCTTTGTTATTTTTCTGTTATTTTGCTATTATGTTTATATAGTAGAGTTTGATACTTTTTAGCTGGTAAAACAGATTATTTTAGTGATTTATCTATAAGTAATTTGCTGGAGGTTCTTGTTTGTAACTTTGGCTATCAATGCTCTATGGCATTAGTTGATACCAAAAAGGCCAATTATGTGAATAGGAGTGTATTTTGAGTATCAGACATTCACAATTATTTATACACTATTTCAACCCTTTGACAAAATCCCTTGTTGCTTAATTCTTTTACTAACTCCTATTAAACCACTAGCAGTTGTATGTGATTCAAGGATGAATTGTATAGTAATTTATGATAATTACTAAACGAAAAAATAACAACCAAATAACAGAGAATTGCCTTTGGTTATTTTATAGACGATCTAACACAAGTATAGTGAATGAACAATCAACAATGAACAAACGTACAATAGTATGTCAAATACTTGTTTGTGGACATTTCATTGTTGTATTATATATGACAAAGTTTTCCGTCTTTTTCTAAGCTATTACTAAAGTAGTAGGAAATTGTGGTATTCAAAGGTCAGAATAACCAGTCAGGACAAATTAGTGTTTTTTCGTTAACTATGACATTCTGTAAAAGGATACATGATGCTATATCATTTTTCATATCTGTTGTAATACTAATGATATTCCAAGGTCTTTTGTCACATGAAATGTTTAGTTGATAACCAATACAATAGTCTCTATTTATCCTCATCATTTTTGGATAATCACTGGGGGTAGAACGAATCTGGAATTGATTTCTAAAGAGTTCCTCTCGGTTCATTATTTCATTATTAGGTGAACAGTCGATAATTGTAGGATGCCTATCACAATGAAAAAGGAATAGAAACACAAGTTAATCGAATTCTAGGTTTTTTGCGAAACATTGATAATTACAATGTGTGATAATACATATTATTCACCAATATTGGAGAATGTTTGCTTTATGTGCTTACCCATGATTAAGCACAAAAATAGGAACATCAACTACTGGCCATGTCTTTATAGTAGGAACGTGTGTTACAAGATTGAAATAGGAAAAGCGATTACCCACAGTTATTCTGCGTTTGAATTACAAAGGTTGTTTGAAATCATCAAAGTCAATCAGTTCTATTATCAGAGTAATATCGTACAAATACAAACTCATATTCCCTTTTATTATTTCCAGAATGGTAGCCATAAGCAGCATCTATTTGTGTAGTATAATAATCTGTTGTGATAAAGTGAATCTCTTCAAGTTATTACAAATTAATCTCCCCTCCAGGCATTGGGATTATTCAACCTTGAATTATTATTATTATTGTTGACATTTCCATAACCTATTGATATGTAGTAGTATTAGTGGGTTTCTAAGCTTTTATCCTTTATAGTCTTTGGTATGTAGAGAATCGGTTCAGAAATACTCAGTGGCCACTCTTCTTCCAGCATATGATGCTTAAGAAATAACCGCTTCCATTCAGAGTAATATGCTGGTAATTGAGACAATATCTATATATCACCATGAAACCTGATAATCATGTTCCTCATATTCACCATTGCTGTAGAAACTGGGTATATCTATCAATCTACCTATCTATCTATCTACGCAACTAGGAATCAGCGCCATCATGAATGATAAAATCCCCATTCACTGGAATGGAGAGGGTGATGTGGATCTAAAATTGCTCTGTAACACTATGGCCAAAACACCTATCATAATGTCTGATGAATAAGGTGTTAGAGTTTTTCGAACTAACAAAACCTTGGCTTTCTGCTCGAAACACTTATTCTTTGATATAAATGTGAGGTAAAGAAAGCACACACTCTAAGTACCCATACGAAACTACGCACATTTTCTATTTCTTCACAAAGTCTTGTTTACCACCATAGATACCAATCATGGCTCAATGATGTCTTCCTATTTGCTGTTTCCTTCAGATTCTTCAGTTGAACACAATCTTTCTTTAGGTCTTAGTTGTAAAGTAAGCATTTTAATATCCTACATGCACATTCTAACCCAAATCCCCTGCTTTCTTCATTTATTTACTGCTTCTTTCCCAGATTACATTCATTTATTTTTCTTTCATTTCACTTCTGTTATGATTCCTTTGTTCATCACATCAATCATCTTCCATTTGCTTCTTTTGCGTTATTGTGTACGCTACAGTAAATCTGCAATACTATCTTCGAAGAAACTTCTCAAATGTTCATTTTGCACTAGTAAGTCCAAGATTTAATATTTGAATCGACGATTCACTTGTTAGTAAGAATAGTCTGTTGAAAATCCAAGAAACCGTGAATGAAGAAATGAGCCAACGACGAGACTTTCCTTTTCATTTTCTACCATTCTTAAGTATTTCATACACACTACGAAGAGTGCAGAAACCTTATCCAGTCTTGACCTTAGTCCACAAACGTGCCTCTCTTGTCACCCTTTCCCAATTAAAACATCACAATAGAGTACATTATACTCTTTTCCAAACTCATAAAAACGGCTCGACCAAACTTTTGCATTGTTTTTTGATAGAAAATACTATTTCAATGCTGATAAAAGTAGTAATAGTAATGCATTTACACTTTGATGGGAAGATTCAATTCCTAGCATACCTAGACTCTGAATGAAAACCAGTACATTCAAAACTCCTTCAACAGTGGAATAGCCACATATACAACAATCACTGTTCTGAATATAACCATTAAATAATTAAAAAGACGACAAAACCGTTTTTTCACATTCCCACTATTTGCTTTCTTGTACATGAGTAATATCGCTAGTGGAAAAGACACTGCTTCTCGGACAAGTAAAAACGATAATACTGCTTCAACAAACGTTAGTCACCAATTTAAGCGTTGTTGGGATTATAATGTGTCAGAACAGTTTCCCATCACGTCCATATCAGAAGAGGGCAATAAGGCAATTGTAAAAGTGGGTCAACCTCATGAAGGTTTCTATATCAAAACAGCTATGCGGAATGGAAAGATGGACGGGAATTCTGTAATATTTTCTGGAGCTGGCATCGCTGTTGCTTATCTCTCATTTGTGGACGGAATAGCTTCTGGACCCTGTAAATTGAATGATGAGTCGGGAGTGAGATTTTTCGAGGGGAGATTCGAAGATGGTTTCCGACAAGGAAGAGGTCAGGAGTTTGATCCAAAGGGAAACTTGGAATTTGATGGGTTCTTTGAAAAAGGAAAGAAGTTAAAGATGTATCCCTTGCCAGAAATGGATCAGTATTGGACGGAATATAATGACAGAGGTAAGCTGATTAGTATTACTCAAAGAGATTATTTTGGAAGAAAGGAAGGAAAGTGCTATTTTTATAATGATAGAGAAGAAGTATCCCGAGTGAGTGAATGGAAAGAAGGAAAGGAAATCTCAGATGCTGGATATTGCGCTTTTTTTGACCTGCCTAGGAAGGAGTGGTATAGAGGATATTATGAAAACGGAAAGTTGTTGAAAACGGTACCAATGAAGGGAAAGAAGAAGGGCTATTGGAAAGTGTTTAATGAGGAAAACAAGGTTATTCGTATTTGTCAAAGAGATGAGAATGGGAAATATGAGGGGATTAACTATATCTTCCAATGTGGAAAAATCAGTCGAATTAGTGTTTGGAAAGAAGGAAAGGAGAAAACATTGATAAAGCAGTTTAATGGGCTTACAATGACGGAGTACACTGATGGATATAAATCGTATGAAGGAGGATATCTTGATTCTTTCGAGCTGGATTATCCAAGAAATGGAAAAGGTGAGGAATTTTTGAAGGATGAAAAGACACTCGTCTATCAAGGGGAATACAGGGATGGAAGGAGGCATGGACAGGGCGTGACATATAAAAAGAACAAGGTTAAATTTCAGAGAAACTGGATAGCTGGCTACACTCAGCAAGGATTGATAATAACTCTTTGCATTATTATTATTCTGCTTTTTCTTGCTTTCCTTTTAGATTTGATTTTGGGCACTGTTCTTTTAGTTTTGTGTTGTGTTTTCCTTCTCATTCGCTGGAAATTCCCGAAAGTGTTAGGTTTAAAATTGTGCAACGCCTTGAATATTCAACTCATGGCAGATTACGTAAGGGAAGGGAATGGGAGAAGGAAGACTGAAACGAAGGGTGATAAGAACAAGACAAAGACAGAGAACGGATCATGTAATTGTTTTTTTGCTAATATCTATCTTTCAATGATCGTTCTTCTCCTGTTCATTATTCTGTGTGTAGCAATTATTTCGATTCTATATTACACGCATATTAATCCCTACGTTAGTCTTTTTCAGACAACATTTACTGTAAAGTCATTTCACTACAACAAAGTTGCTGGATTCAAGCTTTCTAAAAGACCCTTCCTTCAATCCATCCGAATTGGAAATGACTGTTTCGCATCTGTCTCGTCGGTGCAAATCATGGGATTAAGTTCTTTACGGTCAATTTCTATCGGCAGTAATTCATTCACGGGAAAGAAGAATGACTATGGAAGTGATCGGTCGAAGGATATCTATATCAATAACTGTAAAGTGTTGCAGTCGATTGAAATCGGTGAGTACAGTTTTAGTGATTATGGAGGGCAATTCAGTTTGAAGGGTCTTCCGTCTCTGCAGTCTTTGCTTGTAGGGAAAGTGAATAGCACCTCGTCTAACTTTTATTCTGTCAACACATTCACACTTCAAGGTATTCTCCCTTTGATCCTCTCTATTCTACTAGATCTCCCTAATCTCCAGTCGGTTTCGTTGGGCGATTTTGCTTTTTGTGACACATTAACAACAGTGATGGATAGTAAGGGTGTTGATCGTGTTGTTTTATGGTAGATCTTCCTTCTTTGAATTCGCTAATTCTTGGAAGCTCTGCCCTTCAAGGAAGATACGATGCCAATTGCTCATTGACTATGCAAAGTACAAAGCTCCTTATTTCGACTAAGCGATTAGATCTTCCTAAACTTGGCGAGATTGTTTCGGAAGGCCATAGTTTTTATTATCCTTGCACTGTTGTTCTAAAAGGTATTGATAAAGGAGTTTTGTCTACTAGACATTCCGTCTCTCCAATCTGTGGTTCTTCCATTTTCCTTTGAGTATTACTTTTTCTTAGACATTTCCAGTATTGCTGTGTATTTTCATTTGACGGGATAGATATTCATAGTCTGTTGGAGCAGTATGTGCCTCTGAATGTCTATCATGTTGATGATTTGTACATCTCAATGGATGCTATTCCTGTGGAAGCAACTAAGATCATATTCAAAAAGAATTCATTTAAGAGTGAAAGCTCACTAATAATCGATTCTTTTCCAAATTTGAATTCCCTTATTTTTGAAGATTCCTCCTTTGCGAATGCCGATCTTGTGGAAATCAAGGCTAGTCAGCTAGAGAATTTATCCATTGGGAAATATTGCTTCTCGGGTATGGAAGTTGAATCTGGTTTGGATAGAAGGTTGGTGGAAGTTGGCAGTTATTCCTTCTACACTCCCCAATTGAAGCAGATTGTGATTGGTACAAGATCTTTATTGAGTATGAATACCTTGGTACTGAATCAGCTGAGTCCAAATGTTATGTTAGAATTGGATGGTTTTGCATTGAGCAAAATAGGGAAGATCCAGTATGTTGCTGCTATTCCTATTGGTACTGTTCAGTATCTCAAAACAACCATTGAAGAAAACGATGGGCATGAAGGAACAATTGTTCTCGAACTGTTAGATCCGCCAATCATTGTGCCTACATCTCCACTTCCATCGGAGCCTCCTACTGAATCTCCCACTACCGTGGTTCCAACTACCTTGGCACCTACAACCATGGCACCTACTACTGCCACTCCAACAACTTTGGCACCTACTACTATGGCACCAACAACTTTGGCACCTACCACTATGGCACCAACAACTTTGGCACCTACCACTACCACTCCTACCACTCTTACTCCTACCACTGTTATTCCGACTACTATGGAACCTACTACTATGATCCCAACCACCTTGGCACCTACTACTACCACTCCAACAACTTTGGCACCTACCACCATCACACCAACAACCTTGGCACCTACTACTGCCACTCCTACCACTATGACTCCAACTACTTTGGCACCTACTACTATGACTCCAACCACCTTAGCACCTACCACTACCACTCCTACTACCGTCATTCCTACAACCATGGCACCTACCACTACCACTCCTACCACTGCCACTCCAACAACCATGGCACCTACTACTGCCACTCCTACCACCATCACTCCTACCACTCTTACTCCTACCACACTTACGCCTACCACTATGACTCCAACCACCTTGGCACCTACCACATTGGCACCTACCACCATCACTCCTACTACTTTGGCACCTACTACTGCCACTCCTACAACCTTGACACCTACCACCATCACTCCTACTACTACCACTCCTGAATGTGATGAAGAACAACTGTTGCTTGAGATGGTTCGGACTTGTGGAAGTAATGGTGACGAGGAATCTTTTGAAATTTATGAGGGAAAACTATCAGCAAGTAGTGTAGCAATCTTTACTCAGAGTTCTTGTGTGGTTGGTACTTCTTACCTATGCATCAATCCTGTGGAACACACGTTATTAATGAGGGATACTGCCGCAAACGGCTGGTCTCCTGGATCGTTTATTACTCTGAAATGTGAGGGAGTGTCAAACTCCTACCGTGCAGAAAATGGTTTCGTAATCTATCCTCGGTACTTCAACTTCGCTCCAACTGTTGCTCCCACAACATCGTCTCCTACCACCTTAACTCCTACTACCATCACTCCCACTAGCGGTGGAACAAGTACTATCTATGTATCAGAACAAGAGTATCCAACAATCGATGATATTCCTCGTAATGCAGAGGTTCTAATCTTCACTTCTGGTGCGTATGCGGACTTGCCTGAATTGACGCTGAGCGGCTTCTCGAACCTCGAATCTATTACCTTTGAATCAAATTCATTCAAGAACACACATTCCCTTAATATCGAGTCATCCACTGTATCTTCAATCACATTCGAGTCTTCTTCTTTTAATGGAAACTCGAATAATGGGGTTCTATCGCTCCACACTTCCAATCTTCAGTTTGTTGTGTTTAAACCTAATGTTATGAAAATTGTTCGCACTATCTATCTCAGGGGCTTTTCCAAATCGATTTTGTGGACAGTTTATCGTCGGTCTCTGCTGTCTTTGGAGACTATCTACTATACAAATATGCTTTCTGGTTTCGCTACATCTCTTGTTCAAGCTCTTGAGGCTGCCGGAACTCCTACTGACGATATCACAATACAAGAGTATGTACCTACTTATATGCCTCGTATTTTAAATGATGTGGAGTCTGCACCTTTGTATAGTCCTGCTGAATGTGGTAAGGAGCAATTGTTAATTAAGATGGTTTCCACTTGTGATATTAGGGATGACGAAACAGTGCTGGAAATCTATGAGGGAGGATTATCCTTCACGAGTATTCCCATTTTTAGGCAGCGTTTGTGCTTGATTGGAACCTCATATTTGTGTATGAATCCTGTTGAACACACGTTGGTCATGGATAATCATTCAGTCCACGGTCCCTCTGCTACATCCAGTCTCTCCCTTAACCATGGAGAACTCTCGCTGGACTTTGTTCTAGAAGAAGGAATGGATCGTCTGATTAATACATTCAGCTTTGGACCAACATTCTCGGCTATTCATTCGAGCAGTATGGATGAAGATCAAATTCAAGTGACACTGATTCGTTCTTGTGGTAACTCGTCGGATTCTGAAGGCTTTACGATTTATGAGGGAGCTACGCGTGACCATGCTATCTATAGTCAGACTACTTGTGCTGCTGGTGTAGTGAACCTGTACATCACACGTGATCTCTACACGATTGTGATGACGAATTCGAATGGACAGGTTTGGGCTGAGAATTCGATGGTTCGTATTTTCTACAACAGTTTGCTTGGATCGTACAGGAAGGTTGTTGTGGGTGCTGAAGAGTCTGCAGTGTTTGCTCTTCCTGAAGTGATTGAGGCTGGAGCTGCTTGGAAATACTCTTCGGAGGCCATGGTGGGCACGAGCTGGACCACGGAGAATGTGGATTGGAGCTTGATCTCGGAGTACCCGGCTATTTCTTCGATCACGCGTTACTTCCGTCAGAGCTACACGTTGTCTGGAACTGGATTCCGATCTGTAATCATCCAGGTGAAGACGAACGGTGGCTTTGTGTTCTATGTGAACGGAGTCGAGGCTTCTCGCTTCAACTTGCCCGCTGGAGAGATTACTGCAACGACGCAGGCTACCGAACTGAAGGAGAGCAATGTGTATCGTATTCTCCGCCTGTCCCTGGACGCTTATTCTGCTGTGAATGGTGTGTATGAATTCGCTGTGGAAATGCACGCTGCTGAGGGTCAGATTGGTCAGGCCGAACACTTCGAGTGCTCTGTGGAGTTCACGATCTATGAACAATCGCTGGTTGCAAATGGAGTAGCTCAATCGAACAAGGCCGGTATGGCTGCTCATTCGGTTGAGAACCTGTTCGATGCCTCGATTTCTACCAAATATCGCGTCACTGTGACGAGCTCGGATTTCCCTGTGGAAGTGACCTACACATTCCCCGAGGGCGATGAATACACGATGAATAAGTATGTGCTCACCAACGGCGATTCAATATCTGCGGCTTGCAACACGTGGAAGATCTTCGGTAGAAAGAACAAAGATAACGACGAATGGGTGATGTTGGATAGTCAAGATAATGTGGAATGGAGCAAAGCAAATGAATCTCTGAGTTTCACTGTGAACAATGTGGATGCATTCAATGCCTACATGTTCCAATGTAGCTCAGTTGTGAATATCGATAATGAGTATAATGGAAATCAGCTAGATATGGCTGAATGGATTCTAAGAATTGTGTAGTTGATCTAGGTCGACATGGATTGTGATATTATTTGGTGATGTTTGTTGAAAGAAAGGATCAATAAATACTATTGAACCTTCTCATTGTCCTCATTTTTGTATGACACGAGTTGTAGACATATATCAGACTATGAGTTTCTCATGCAGATTACTTTAAAGATTGATTAACTATCATATGGAATTGCACGGATAACAACACATAAGCACAAGTCAGAACATGTGAGATAAGGTGATTTGGTATGGATAGAGTTCATCATTGCTTCATTTTCCTTCGTCCATATCCCTTCCTTCCTAAAGTAATAACAGTAATTGCCCCAGATATCTGTATTCTTCTTCAAATACTCACACATAACTTACAGAAACGCAAGTACATGGTCATAATATTCATCCCTCATATCTAAAATCATTTGGTTCCTATTGAAAACTTATTATTATCAAGTCTAGCATCACTCAAAAATACATTTCTTGAAGTTTGGACATTCTTCACTCAAGACAGTGTCGCCATTCTATCATTTACAAGCATCAATGGATCGTTTCATCCTTACAGCATAGAGGAGAGACTGAATAGTGTTCACAACAGTCTGTTATTTTCTCAAAATAAAATCATTAAAACGGGAATCCGCAGTTTATTCACCGTACTATCCATTCATATTTAATTCATCCTCATTTCGGTGATTATTGTCTCTCATTGCTCGTTCAAGTATTGGCTTGATTATCAACAATGTCATGGAATCACTGTACTTGCAGCTGTCCATTTTCGTATTACTGGTTTATTCAGTTTCCAAATTATTGTAGGTTGCATAGTTTTATTTGATAAAAGTATATCTCTAACCTCTTGTCTGTAGAATACTCATGTCTGAAGAATCACAGAAAGCGCACAGTTCGATGACATCTTCTCTCCGAAAGCAAAGAGAGGAGCTTATTGTCGAGAGAAAGTCTCTGATTGTGTTTTTTGTGTCCTTGTCTTAATTGGTGTAGAGTGAGCTAAAAATCTATGACTCTGCATTCAAATCAGCAGTAGCATCATGTCCACCGAAGGAGTCCGGAAACCTTGAGGATTTGGAGGAGAGAATCGAGACGGTGGAAGAAGAACTGGAAGTGGGAAGTCGTGATGCGAAAGAAGAGAGAGCTGTAAGCAGTCGGGACTTTTCTTTCATCTCTCTAGCTAAAACGTGACTTGTTAAAGCTGAAGCAGTCTTATGACAGAGTCATGCAATACATTGCTGCTTCCCGTGAAATTGATATCATTCGAAACGTATTTGTTGTGTGAGTGTCTAATGCGCAGAGACGGAGTGAGAAGTCAAAGAGAGTCGATGAACTGAGCAAGAAGCTGGATGAGCTGGCCGAGACAGTGGAGATTGAAGAGACCTTGTCTCGTATTGAGTCGAGCAGTGGTAAGAAGGTATGTTGGACTGCGATGTTTTTTAAACTGTATAGTTATCAAAGAGCGATATCTCAAAGGAGGAAGTGAAGGTTCCCAAGGAAAGCATCGGCCGATTGGTCGGTAAAAATGGTTCAAATGTTTAGGCACGGGAGCGTGTTGATGGGTAGATTCAGAAGCTGGAGAAGCAGTTCTCTGTGCGAATCATGACGAATGAGGAAGTGTTCACTGTGCTGGGCGAGCTGGCGAACGTGAAGCGATGCATCGCCGAACTCACGGACATGGCGAACGAGAAGGAAGTGACGATCCCCCTCTCCACAATGCAGATTCGTGCCTTGTTGGCCCATGATCACAGCTATCGCCGATCCATCGAGAACTCTTGCCGCGTCTTCATGACTCTGAAAGATGCCGAAGTCACGATTCGAGGTGGCCAGAATGCTGTGAAGAACGCCGAACGCGCATTGAATGATCTGATGAAGAGTACTGGGACGAGCCCTAGCCACGCTGATCCATAGAGCAGTCGAGCTTCCCCATTACGCCCTTCCTGCGCAGCGTGCTTGTCAACCAAAAGATGGAGAAGTTCCTCGCGTTGCAGAAGGAGTGTCCCGCGTATTTGACGTTTACCCCGGAGTCTGACGCTCTGCTGATTCTGGGAACCGTGCAGGATCAGCGCGAATCTCTCGTAAAAGTGGATGCGCGATGCGAGTGTAGGCGAAGCTGCAGGAATTCGCGCAGAGCCACGTGGAGGTGGAGGAGAAGATGCCTTGCGAGAATCTGTTCACTCGCTTCCTGCTTCAGAACAAAGCGGAGCGCATGCAGCAGACGCAGCGCCAGTTCAACGTCCGTCTCCAGGCGTCGAACGGCAGCCTGGTCGTGAAGGGAGAGAAGGACGCCGTGGCCCAGGCGATCGCGAAGGTGGAGGCGCTGCGTGCCGAGCTGGCGTCGCGCACGATCGAGATGGCGGTGAACGGCGCGCAGATCGACATGCTGCTGAACCAGAAGGCGGCGGTGGTGCAGGCGCTGGAGCAGGAGTTCGGGTGCCTGATCTCGGTGGAGAGCGCAAAGGGATCGATGAAGGTGGTGGTGGATGAGGCTCGTCGCGAGGAAACCGTGGAGGCGATCAACGCGAAGCTCGCGACAGTGTGCACGGAGCGTGTGGAGATCCCGGAGTGTCTGCTGGCGCTGTTCGTGGGCCCGAAGGGAAGCAACATCAACGCGATGCGCCAGGCGCACGACACCAAAGCCGAGCTCGCGAAGGGCGTGCTGGAGATTAGCGGCAAGGAGGAGAACGTGGCGGCGATGAAGAAGGCCGTCGAGGAGTGGCTGGAGCAGCACACGATCGCGGAGATCCCCGCGGAGCGCCAGTTGGCGCGCGAGGCGCTGATCGGAGAGAAGGGCGCGAAGATCCAGTCGCTGCGAAAGGAGCTGGCGGTGGAGATCCAAATCGAAGAAGGCAAGGTGGTGGTGATCGGCGCGCCGGAGAACGTGGAGAAGGCCGTGGCCACGCTGACGCAGCTGCTGGACACCTACCGCAAAGAGAACGCAGTGGTAGCGATGCGCCACGAAGTGTTCGTCAACGCGAAGGAGCTGCGTCGCAGCGAGATCGATGCGCGCGAGAAGGAGTGGAACGTCTCGATGTCGCTGCGCCACGACGCGGTGTACATCCACGGAGACGAGGCTTCGGTGGCGAAGGCGAAGCAGGAAATCGAGGACATCGTGGCGAAGTATGCGGAGTTCCACGAGGATTCGCTGGACGTGCCCAAGGAGGAGATCGGCGTGCTGCTCGGAAAGAACGGAGACAATCTGCGCGCCTTGGAGAGCCAGCTTGGCGTGTCGGTGCACATCGAGGGCAGCAAGCTGCGAATCTGGGGTCCCGCGTCCGCTTTGCCCGCAGCGAAGGCCGGCATCGTGTCCAACCTGGAGGAGCGCGTGTATCTCACGGAGGAACTGAACTGCACGGGCAAGCAGATCGAGTTCCTGCGAGCGGAGCGCTTCGAAGTGGTCCACGCGATCCAGAACGCGTACAATGTGACCATCACGCTGCCTCGCGAGTTCCCTCTCTCTGGACCCATCAAGGTGGCTGTGCGCGGAAATCGCAGACAGCTCGACGAGGCGATTCCCGTGGTGCGCGAGGCGCTGCAGGGCTTGATCCGCTGCGAGCTGCATCTGGACGGAATGGTTCACCGTCTGCTCACGGAGAGCTCGCTCCAGTTCCAGCGCCTCGCTCTGGAGAGCCGCTGCCGCATCCAGCCCGACGAGGCCGCGGGTCTCGTGCGCATCGTGGGTCCGAAGCAGGGCGTGGAGCTGGTGCAGGTCCGCGTGTGGGAGCAGCTGGCGGCGCTGGACCCCTCGCTCTACCGCAAGATCGACGTGAGCGAAGCGGTGCTGCTGGGTCTGCAGGAGAAGAAGGACGCGATGAAGACGTTCTCCAAGCAGCACGGCGTGCAGCTGCGTCTGCTGCCGCAGGCCGTGCTGGTGGAGGCCCCCGCCGCCGCGATGGACGAAGCCGTGGCGTTCGTGCAGACGCTGGCCGACGCCGCCGCGCAGGAGAGTCTGCTGATCCCCGTGGGGCAGGACCGCGTGGCGTTCGTGATCGGAGCGCAGGGCGCGCGCATCAACGGCATCATCAAGCAGTCGGGAGCCCAGCTGCGCGTGCTGCGCGATGAGTGGGTGCACGTGCTGGGCACGCCGGAGCAGGCGGCCAAGGCGCGCGCCCTGCTGGAGGCGGCGCTGGAGGAGTACGCGGCCACGCACGTCGCCTTCCAGGTGGACGAGGCGCTGGTGTACGCGATCCGCGGTCCCCGCAACAGCAACCTGGTGCGCATTGAGCGCGAGTGCCGCGTGCGCGTGCGACTGGAGCAGGACGGAGCGGTGAGCATCGTGGGAAACGCCGGCGAGGACGTGGCCAATGCACGCGCCGCCCTGGAAAAACTCGAAGAGGAGGCTCGGGCGAACCCCGAGCAGGAAACGGCGTACCGAGGAGGAGAGAAGCCCCGCCGAAGGGAGCGCGAGCAGGGAGCGGAGGAGCGAAAGCAGAAGAAGGAAAGAGAAGCAGAAGCAGAAGCAGAAGCAGAAACACCCGCTGAATCGGTGTGGGAAAAGCTGAAACGCGCTCCCCTGCTGCCATCCAAGACGGTCGGAGGAAGCGATATGTACAAGTCGGAGAGTGGATACACCGTGGAGTTATAAGGAAAAGGGGTTATAAGGATTAGGATTGGTATTTCGTGTTTGAGGTGTTTGTTGTTGGAAATGCATCATTGGAATATTCGTGGAATGGGAATGAGAATATTTGTGTTGGATTACAGATATCCAGGCTAAGACACTTGATTCTTGTTTCGAATCTGATAACCGTCCAATCTGTGTTATTGGTATGAAAATGGGATTGAGCCAAACTGGAAATATACAGTTCGATAGGTATTAATCCAGAATTCAAAGATAGTTGTTTCATCTCCTCATCACATCCTTTTCAATTACCACATTATTCAGGTTGAAGCACTTAAAGTAGAGAATGTTTCTATTGTCCAAAAATGGATTTTCCTGTAAGAATGAGAAAGTGCAGACGTCAAACAACAATTGATAAGTAATTATTACCTATCCCCTCTCAAAAATTGAATACAAGGCAGTTTCTCTGAATTCATCATATGAGCAAGATATTTCCTGGAACTTTCCTTGTCTACCAAAACCACTCAATTTAAAAATGGCAGAAGCATCGGAAAATGCGAAAGTAATTCCTTCTGATTCTGAACAGAGGGTTGTGAAGGTGGAAAAAGAATCTCCGGAGACTGTTCCATGGAGCAGTTTGTTTTATACGTACGCGACCAACACGGATCGTTTTGTGCTCATTGCCGGACTTATTTGTATGCTTTGGGACGATGTTTCATATAGGTTCGTTTATGACAGGTTTTCTCATTCCTGCAATGTATATCTTTCTGGGGAATGTTATTAATGAAAATAATCAAGCTGTGGTTGATCCCAATACAGTATTGATCATTTTGGGGAAGTTTTTACTCCTGTTGGTCGTCGTCTCGATCTTTGCGTTCTTTGAGCGTTATTGTCTGAGTACTTATGCAGGTTTTTTTCGTATGATGTGGTAAAGGGTAGAGAATTTGGCTCGTCATTTGCGTGAGAAGTACATCTATGCTATTCTCCATCATGACATTGACTATATTGAATCGAACAAGCCGAGTACCTTGGGTCAAGCTGTTGCGGAAGAATCCTCTCGCATTATTAATGGATTGGGTCCGTCGATTGGTCAGTTGATTCGGTCTATAGCCATATTTATTGGTGGAGTAGTTGTTGGCTGTTTTCATGTATCACTTATTCTTGCTATTGATGATGATAGAGTTGGCAATTAACCCTTCTGACGCTGATTGCTTGCCCCTTTGTTGTTTATGCTGCTTGCAAGTTTGGAAATGTTATGGGGAAATGGATCGAGACCTTGATGCGAGACCACAAGGAAGCAGACAGCATTGCTGAAGAGAGTATTCGAAACTACAAAACGGTGACCGCGTTGGGAGCTGAAGCATCGATGGAGAAAAAATACGTTTCCTTGGTGCGTGTTGTGGATTGGTTCATTACGATTAGATCGAGAAGTGCAAGAAAATGCTGTTGAAATCGCTGTATCGAGCGGGAACGTGGAAAGGTTTGAGTAGTATCTTGAACAATCTCTCTCTTTCCTGGTTCTATTTATTTGCAACGATTCTGATTTACTATCAACGCAAGGGATTCCCGCAAGAACTCTATGATGCGGGCTGCATCACTGACTCGTTGACTTCGGTGGACATTTGCTTCAGCAATGCAACACTCTCGGATGAATGCATGGCGATTTGTGATCGCGTGTCTAGTTGTTGGTACGAGAGTGGCAATGGGCAATGCATGGTCGGTGGAGACTTTTTGGTTATTTTGTGCGGAGTTACAGGCTTTATGGGGTTGGGAGCTGCGTTTTACGCCATTCAAGCGATTCAAAGCACGCGCGCATCTGCGACCTGCTTTATGAAGGTGATCGAGCACGAAGACGCGATGAAGTCTGGATCGACCACTCCTAGCAGCAGCAAGGGAGACGTTGTGTACAAGAACGTGGACTTCAAGTACGCTTCGCGCGACACGCAAGTGCTGAAGCAGCTCAACTTCACCATTCGCGAGAACGAAATGATCGGCATCGTGGGCGAGAGTGGCAGCGGAAAGAGCACAATCTTGAAACTCTTGATGCGATTGTACGCTCCGACGGCGGGAACGATCACGTGGGACGGAGTCGATGTGACGACGCTCTCGACGGCGTGGATTCGCGATCAGATCAGCTACGTGGCGCAGGAGCCCGTGCTGTTCAGCGGAACGATTCGCGAGAATCTGCTCTATGGACGCGAGGGCTGCACCGAGGAGGAAATGGTGGAAGCCGCGAAACTGGTGGAGGCCGACGCGTTCATTCGATCGTTCCCCAAAGGGTACGACACCTATGTGGGCGAGTTGGGAAGCTCGCTGTCCGGAGGACAGAAACAACGCATTGCTATCGCCCGCGCGCTGATTCGAAACCCGCGAATTCTGGTGCTGGATGAAGCGACGAGCGCGCTGGATTCGCAGAGCGAGAAAATCGTGCAGAACGCGATGGAAACGATCCGGAGAAAGAACGAAGCGAAGGGAAAGGGACTGAGCATCGTGATCGTGGCGCATCGGCTGAGCAGCATTCGATCGTGCGATCGCATTGTGGTGGTGGAGGAAGGAAAGATCGTGGAGGAAGGTGATCATGAAAGCTTGCTGGCGAAGGGCGGAATCTATGCGGGATTGTACAAAAGCCAAGAAACTTTAGAGGAGGAGGAAGAAGAAGGAGCCGAGGGAACGGAAAAGAAGGAAGAGAAGGAAGCGGATGCAGAAGCAAAGAAGAAAGAAGAAAGAAACGAAAAAGAGAAAGAGAAAGAAGCAGAAGTTGCGGATTCGAATAAGAATAAGAAGAAGGATGAAAACGAAAAGGCAGAAAAGCCGAAGAAGTATAATCTCTTCTCTCTCTATCAGTACTTTGGTACTACAAAGACCATATTCTGGATCGCCTTCATCGGCGTTATCTTCACCGCTATGTATCCGGCTGGATACACCGTAATCATGGCGTTGATGCAAGCTCTCCCCTTCCGATTGGATGTTAATGACATTTGGAGTGATGGTATGACCTTCACTTTGATGATGGTAATTGTCGCGATTGTCGATTTTGTTGGGCAGCTGCTCTGGTGGGATTTGTCGAGTGTTGTGAAGGAGAACATGATCGTTACGGTGCGGTCGAAGTCCTTCGTGAAGCTTCTCTCCCAGTCTGTAGCTTACTACGATGAGAAGGAGCATTCTCCAGGTAAGACGTTCTCTATCCTGCTTTATAATTCGTAGGTGCAGTTACTTCGGAACTCTCTATCGATGTTCGAAAGCTGCGCGACTTCATGGATCAAGTAGGATCGATCATGGAAAGCGTGATCGTGTGTCTGCTCTGCGTCATATTCGCGTTTTCATCACTGGGATCGTGGCAGTTGGCATTGATATCGATCGTGGTGTGTCCTTTCTTGTTCACTGCGGAGTATTGCCAAAACAAACTCGTGGCGAACGTGATTTCCAAGATCGACAGCAATCTCACAGAGAAGTCCAGCGAGGCCACGGACGCTCTGCTCAACATCCACACGATCCACGCGTACAATCTGCAAGATCGTGTCTATGAATCGATGATCCACGACCTGGAGCGAACCAATCGCTTGTGCAAATCGCGAAGCCGTCGATCCGCGGTCGCTAACTCGATTGCCATTCTCTTCCCCATGATCTTTATGCTTATCATTTATTATTCTGGAACTCTTCTCATTTCGAATGGCGCGATCGTGTTCCAGCAGATGATGATCGTTTACAACACCATTTTCTACATGGCCACCTACATCGGAATTACGATGGGCAAAGTTCCCAATATGGCGTTGGCTCAGGAGGCAGCGCAGCGAATTTTCTCGCTGATTGAAAGCTCGGGCGAGAAGGACGCGCTGCGAGCGCTTCCCGAGAAGGCGAAGGACGGAGCGATCGCCTTCAATCATGTGTCGTTCGCGTATCCCACGCGGCCCGACGCTCCGATTCTCTCCGATGTGTCCTTCTCAATTCCCAAGGGATCTTCCGTGGCTTTCGTGGGTCCCAGTGGGTGTGGAAAGAGTACGATCATTTCGCTCATCCAGCGAATGTACAAACCGGAGAGTGGCGAAGTGTTGATGGATGGAGCCAATGTGCAGAACGTTAATTTGGACTCGTATCGCTCGCTGCTGGGCGCGGTGAACCAAGAGCCCTGCATGTTCAGCGGCACGATTCGCGAGAATTTGGTGATGGGATTGGATCATGAAGTGTCCGAAGCGGAGCTGAAGGACGCTTGCACGCAAGCTTTGTGCATGGATTTCATCAACGAAATGGTGGATGGATTCGAAACGGATCTCGGATCGACCGGAAAATCGGTTTCGGGAGGACAGAAGCAGCGATTGGCGTTGGCTCGCGCGATTCTTCGAAAGCCGCACGTGCTGCTGCTGGACGAAGCGACGAGCGCGCTGGACAGCGAAAACCAGGACAAGTTCTTGGAGGCATTGGAGAAGTGGCGATCGACACATCCCTGCACGGTGATCACAGTGGCCCACCGACTGAGCACGATCGTGGACAGCGATGTCATCTTTGTGGTGAGCGAAGGAAAGATCGTGGACAGCGGAAAGCACGCAGAACTGCTGAAGAAGTGCGAGTTCTACGCAGCACTGGTCAAGGAACAGATGGAAAGCACGCCGCGTGAAGAATAGATGGAAAGGGAGTCGAGGGAATGAATGAATGAATGAATCCACATAGTAGTAGTTATCCACATCCATCGAATCATTCCTCTGGTTGTTTGTTTGAAATGCACAGAGAGCTGTGAATCTTTTAAATGCATTCATAGAAGCAGTATAATCCGATTCTCACTACCATGGACATTCATATCGTGGTGATTCATCCAGAAATAACTTCGATCTATATTTCAATAATGCTATATGTCGTGAATACCCCAACTCTTGACGTAGTAGTAGTGTTCAATGTTCTCAAATCCTACCTATTCCAAACATTCGAAAGTACGATGGATCCATTTCATCTCTGCCTCCTGCTCACACGACTGACTATGCTAAAAAGACAAGTACACTATTTCACATCCCTCTTCAAGGAGTGTTACAGAGAAAAGCTATCAAGAAACAAACAGAAAACAATTATCCCAAATAGTTACACACCACCAAGAAGAGAAGAAGCATACAGAAGCAATACTCTGCAAATACTCTATTATTACTTATAGTCTCGAACTCCTTGGAAGTAATTCCCATGCGGAAACAAACTATCTATAAGACAAGCTGGAAAACCGCAATACTGGACAAAACGCAGGTTCCGAGACTAATAATGAATCCAGATAGGAAGGAGTTGAAGGGATAGGTTCCAACAATGAAGCAATATACAGCTTGCAAAAAGGCAGTGGCCGCAGCAAAGCTGATAAACACGTCAAGATATTTTACCTGGAGTGTTGTTTCCTTCTTGTATCGCTCAGCGAGATCCTTACAGACCTGATAAAATTCCATTTAAGAAATGACTGTTGTGAATAAACAAGAATATCGCTGTTGCAAATTTGACCTTTCTTCCCTATTTCATTGTTCAACTCTCACCAATCTGGCCTCCTATGAATAATAACTCCTATTCTTCCAGGCTGGAGGACTTCTTTTCGGGTTCTTTTACAGGAGGTGGGGTTGCGCTTCTTCTCTCATTTCTAGTTGTCACGCGATTTATTATCGCACCTTTAGATGTGGTTAAAATTCGGTTTTTCTCTAGGTTCTTTGTTTATGTAGATTGCAGACCCAATATATTCGATATGGCAAAGAAAAGTACCACGGTACGATAGGAACCATTTCTCGTATTGCTCATGAGGAAGGGATTACTCGATTATGGAGGTGGGTTTGTTTTTCCTGATTTATGCTCAGCGGAAACCTCACAGCAGAGATATATTGGTTTCTATACTCAGGAGTTCAATTTTCGTGTTATGAGTACCTCCAGCTCCATCATGCAAATTTGGTATCTTCTTCCTTCTCCTCTGGAGCTCTTTCCTCTGCTGTCACAACATTGGTAACCTACCCATTTGATATTTTGCGCACTCGCTTTGTCTACCAAGGCAAGGATATGTACTATAAGCACATTCTCACAGGATTTGCATCGATCATTAAAGACGAAGGCGTGTTGGGATTATATAAGGGTTTGCTCCCATGCCTAGCCAGTATTATGCCTTATATGGGATCCTGCTTCTACATTGTCGAGTTTCTTCGCTCGCAATGTTCCATTTTTCATTGTTTGGGTTATTCTGTGTAGATGGAGACACGCCTGGTGCAAACTCTGTGTATGGGGCCATTTCCGGAGCCACAAGTAAATTGCTCGTCTATCCGCTGGATACGGGCAAGAAGCTTCTCCAAGTGTACCAGCTAAGTCCCAGCAAGTCGGTAGTGACGTTTCTCCGCGATCACTATCGCTTGACGGGTGTTCGTGGCCTTTACGCAGGCGCCATGGCGGCGATGCTGAAGAGTGGGCTGAGTTCGGGTCTGTTGTTCGGCTTCTACACTCTAGCCAAGACGTTTTTGAACTATTGCTGTTTGTAAAACAAACTCCCACAAGCTCTGACTCATGCATCAATCCAGAACACTTTATGTGGGGCGCACGAACTTGTTGCCATAACCCAGCTCGCTGCCTCCGCTAATAATATTATCCGTTCCTGTCGTGTAGGTGGCATCCGCAGCAAGGAAGAGCGCCAGCTTTCCGCACTCCTCCACAGTGCCCAGTCTGCGAATGTGCTGCTGGTCCTCCTCGCACTGCAGCGTTTTGGCGGGGTCCGAGGTCGCGTTCACCCACTCTTCGAACAGCGGCGTCCAAATGCCGCCAGGCGAGATGCTGTTCACACGCACGTTATGAACGCCCTCATCGATGGCCAATGCACGGGTCATAGCATGGATCGCACCCTTTGTGGTGCAGTAGGTGACTGCATTCTTTTGGCCCATTCGACCAACCAAGCTACTCACATTGATGATGCTACCTTGCGTTTTGCGAAGGTAAGGAAGGCAGAACTTGGACAACAAAAAGTAGGAAACAACGTTCAACTGGAACAAATCCATCAGGTCTTGTCCCGAAAAGTTGTCAATCGTGTTGGGAAGCGGATGATAACCAGCATTATTCACCAAGCAATCAATCTGACCATATTTTTCCACAGTAAAATCAACTAAAGCACGCAATTGATCTTCTTTGTTTACATCGCACGCCTTGAAGGCAGCCTCTCCGATACCGATCTCGTTCATTTTCTTTTCCTAGTCATCACAGATCAAACAATTCTCTGTACAAAAGCTTCTCCCTCGGCTGGATTTCTGCAGCAAAACACTACTTTGGAACCGTTTCTAATAAACTCCTCGACTACCAATGAGTCTTTTTCCCAAAACATACCAATTCCTGCGCCAATGCCCTTGGATCCACCAGTAACAATAGCGACCTTATTCAAAAAGCGAAGACCAGACATTAAAGATTCAAGCAATTTTTTATGAGGAGGTACCAGATACTTTTCGCTTCATCTCATTGGATGAACTAGTTTCCAAGTGATTATAGAACTGGAACACCTTTGTTGTTTTCCCCATTTGGGATATGCGGATCCATTAATGCGAAAGTGAAATGTGTTTTTTTTGTGCTGGAAAGAGCAAAACTGCGTCATCCCCCTTTTTGTGTAGTTAGCTTTTACCAGAGTATTTAAAATTAAACAGGACTAGACACCCAAAAAGAAACTAAATGAATTAGCACCTTCCACTGATAGGAGAAAACGGAGAATCACACATAGAGTGAACAACTTCCAAATTGCTTAAAAAGAGAATATATTGGATCACAGAGGCATTTTCTTCCACAATTTCCATCGGAGGCGCTGTGATGGAAATACCTCTTTTCTCTGCCGTACTAACCATTGAGTCGAACCTACGAATGAGGTCATGGTACAGATATAACGCTTTCTGAGCACCCAAACCATAGGACCAAAAGTTCCGATAAGGGAAAACTACCCTAGGAGTAAGTGAGGTCACTAGTCTCAACGATAAGCATTTGCTCGGGGGAATTCGCACATACGAAATATTGTTCAGAGACAAAAAGTCAACAACTTCCTCAGGAACTGTATAGGCTGTAGCCCAGCGTGACACTACCATTGTTATTATAGGAATATTTTACTAGAGGACGGAAATCGGGGATCATCGTAGTATACATTCACTTGCTTTCCGATTTTTACCTTGCCTTGAAAGAGTAACTCCATGCGATGCTTGAATTCCCGGCAGTAATTATCCATCTCTTGATAAGGGCCAATGCAGTTATCAAATCTAGTTATTACACTTTATACTTGCTATGCATACGCTAAAATCATCTCTCCCATTTCTTCTGCAGTGCAGGTCACTTTTCTACATATGAACTGCCATTTCTGACATACGAGAAAAAACCCATGTAACAGAGAGAAACTAAAACAATTGCCACGATTCCTCCTATTACTGCCCAAATAAGGTAGTAATCCATTTCTATTCAATCAACGATTACTTATTGAAAAATAAAGACCGACTGGCCTAAACTAGGCACAAAAATGAAGTGAAAGTAATCGGTACAAAATGATACATAGAAAAGAGTCATTCCTTGCGCTAAGTCACACTGTTTTTTAGTATTTACCGAGTTAGAACACAACTGGTTCTTTGCTACATGCTCGAATAAGGTTTTTCGACGTTTGCAGTAGCAAACTTCAGAGTAGGAAATGACTATGAATGGGCTTGCAGCTGCGCCACGATATTGTTAATTGGATGATATTCAATAAATAGATTGTGTCTTTATATTCTTGACATTCCTGTGTGTTCATTGCGTTGTTTCTTTTTCGATATGAACCTTTTGTATGCGCGTATTCTAGTTCCTCGCTTGCATACGTTGATTTGCATCGCCAATAGCGCACTGTACGTTCATCTCATTTCAACAATGTACTTTCCTTCCAAACCTAATCGATTCCATCAAGTGTTAATAATGAGTACAACTGGAAACGGCATTCACTTTATATTTTTCTTACATTCACTTCTTTTTTGCTTTGTCCCATTTTTGGAATAGAAATGACAATTCGGACCACAGTAATTCTATGCTGTATTGCTGTGGCGATACTGGTAAACAAACTCGTGAAGGAGCACTCTATCCAAGCAATGTGCATGGTTATTTATTCCTTGATGACCATTCTATGTGATTCTTCCGTTGAATTTTGTGAGTTTTTGTAATGTCTAGTCTGTGGCTCCGTATCGCTTTATTACGTTTCGTCGAAATTCATCTACATCATGTGTGGAATCAAAACTATTGAGTACTTTTGTTGTCGGTGCTTTTTCAGTTTGGAGACAGGATCCATATTCTGTAGTATTCTATTTGTTTATATACTCCGATGCTCTGTGGTTTATTCCAAATTCAAATTGGCTGGTCTCTGCTGTCGTGTCCGCTGTGTTGATACGATGGAATGAATATGGTTGGATGGTTGCAGTTGTTTGTTTACTGCATGAGATTTGGTGGAACTATATTCTACCTCGTCTTTCAGGCTATTTCTCGATATCCGAATCGGTTTTAGTGGAGAGGTGGTTTATTCTGTTTATTATTCTTCTATTTTCGTCAGCTACAACGTTAGAAATGCAGTGTACTATCCTCATCTCTCTTTCCTCTTTCCTATTAACCGGAATCGTGCTCTGTTGTTGTAGAGATGCTCTTTCCTGTTATCTCTTCATAATACTTGGAGCACTACTCGAAATCATGTTACTCAGTGTTTGTGTGCACGAGTTTTTCGTGTCTTGGTTTCTTCAATGGGTTTTTAGCCGTCTGGATCGCCCCTTCATCCTTGTCTACTGGATTTCAATGTTTTTCCTGGCCTTTTTGATTCTTTGTGAGCAGCGATGGCAGCGGCAAGCTCTCATCATTCAGCGAAAATACTTCCACTTTCTGGCTGTGGTTCTGTTTTTACCGATCACGTTACTTGATCCCTCCTTTATGCAGTACAATTCGAAGTCGACTCTCAGCAATTAGAGTGGCTTTTGCCTTCGCGTTGCTTGTCTTCTTCCTCGTAGAAATCATCCGAATCAAGCATTTATGGCCTTTTCAGTCTATCGACTCTTTTATGAAGCAGTTTGTCGACGATCGAGACGACGGTCCTCTGATTCTCTCTCACTTTTCTCTGTTGCTTGCGTGCGCCATGCCTGTTTGGACCTGTGAATTCTCCAATCCGATTCAAATGCTCTCTGGAGTGTTCGTCATCGGGATTGGCGATGCATTCGTAGGTTATAATAGAGGGATTCAAGCATAGGCAGCGATTGTGGGAACGATTTGGGGAAGAAGGAAGCTGTGGCGATCGAAAACAGTCGAAGGATTCGCAGCCTGCGGCATTGGAATCTTTCTCGGGGTTTTTATTGTTTCGGCTGTTATGCGGGAGAAGATGAGCAAAGGAGTTATTTTGGCGATCGTTCTGACAGCGATGGAGGAAGTTGTTTGTGAGGAAGTGGACAATTACGTACTACCAATGTTCTTTTTAGGGTTATTATGCTGTGTTCAAAAGTGAAATACTATGGTACTGTGATGAGAGTTTTTTCTTTCACTAAAACTGTTTGTATAGAAATGCCTTCTCTTTTTGATCAAATTTGTTACCAGGGAACCCAACCCTACAATATTCCAATACAAAGCGTATCTCTTCCCAGTGATATTTCCGAACACTCCTTTTTTGGTAGGTACTCTGATAATTTCTTATTTGTAGATAGAGAGCGGAGAAAAGAAAATTACACATACAGAGAAAATCAAGCAATTCATCATCAAGGAGTTTGTGAGTTTTGCACCCTTTTACGTAGATTTACCCTTATGGAAGAGTACCAGAGTCTGTACGTGGAATAGACCGTAAGGGAATCCCCACGTTCGCTAACTATTATCATGTTGATTCCTAGGTTGGATGCCTCGATTCACTTACTTCAAAGCCGTTCTTTAACAGAGAATACTCGTTCATTTACCTATCTGTTCCTTGTTTATTCAACAAAGCTTTCAATAACTCATATGACTAGTTGTTTACTGTTTGGTTTTCGCTCTGATTTTCGTTCTGGTTTTCGCTCTGATTTTCGTTCTGGTTTTCGCTCTGATTTTCGCTCTGGTTTTCGCTCTGATTTCCATTCTGGTTTTCGCTCTGGTTTTCGTTCTGGTTTTCCACCTCGTTTTGAACTTCCTTTTCCTCTTCCTTCTTGACCTCCTTCTCTTTTTGCGAACTGGTACTAGGTGATCGCGGTTTGGACGCTGCACTCGCCTGTGAGGGTGAGGGTGAATGTGAATGTGAGCGTGAGTGTGAAGGCGAATGAGAGTGCGAGTGCGAGTATGAATGTGAGGGCGAACGCGAATCGTAGCTTGAGTACGAATAGGAACGAGAACGAGAACGCGATCGAGAACGCGAAGGTGAGTAAGAATAAGAACGAGAATGAGAACGAGAACGGGAACGAGAACGAGAACGATCATGATGACGATGATGTCTCGAATGATAGCAATTGTACACATGGATGTAGTTCGATTCTCCATTGCTGTACATCTTGGTGTCGTCCAACTTACGCACTGCACGCTTCATATCTTCGTAGTGGATAAACTCCACAACACCATAGCCATGACGAATATCACAATAGCCCACTGGACCAATGCGACTCATATAGTCCTTTAAATCCTGCTATTAACAACAGCAATTAGATGTACCTGCCAGCTGCAATTGTGAGGCAAATGCGTAACCTCGATACGATAGTCCGTTCTACGAGGAGGACCTCGGCGAATCGAATCACCTGTAGAATACCTTAGACCTCTCGTATATTCCACCCGGATATCTCTCCCCATAAAATGGGTACTGTTCAAACTGCTTTGAGCATTGTCAGCCTCCTCTTCCTTGGAAAACTCAACGAATGCATAAACTGCTCCTTGACCTCTGTCTTTAATCGCTATATCAGTGATTTCTCCGAACTATCCTTAATGGGTTCTATTACGACTACCTGACCAAAAAGCTTGCTGAGGTCATCATTCTCTACCCCGTATTCGAGATTACCAACATAGAGTCGTTTTGACATGATTCCAAAAAATAGTACTCACAATGCCAAATTCACGACTTTTTTGAACACCCTTTTTCTCTTGTCAGAATGGCGCCGAATTCTGCCAAGAAGTCCTCCCTGGCTGTGGACTTGCTCTCTGGAATCGTATGTGATGTGTGGATCGCTTGATTGTAGGTTTCGGGTGCAACATGCAAATTAGTGGAGCATCCGTTTGATACTGTGAAGGTACTCATGCAGGTAGTTGATCCTGTAACATAACTACCACTCTATTCCCCGTAGGGAAAGTATTCCAGTTCGCTTGACTGTATGAAAAAGACGGTGGCTGAATATGGATTTCGAGGACTCTATCGAGTTATTTTCCAGCACTGTACTTGATATTAGGGTGTTCAGTTCCCATTGATTGGCAGTTTAGCCGAAAATGGATTGACATTTATCTCCTATGGATTTTTTAAGAGGCTTTGTGGAGTCAAAGGTACCAAAGTCATTCTGAACTATAAAACTCTCTAGATCCGGAGCATATCACTTTTTCACAGATGCTCTTTTCCTCTATGGGCTCTGGAGCGACTATTTCACTCCTTCTGACCCCTGTTGAACTTCTGAAGTGCCGTCTTCAGATCGAACAATCACAGCCCAAATCTGTAGCCAAGACAACTTCACTGGGCGTAATTCGCAATGTGCTGAAGACGGATGGATTCACGGGTCTATTCCGAGGACTTTCGTTGACTCTGCTGCGTGAAGTGCCCGGAACGTCGATCTGGATGATAGTGTACATTTCGTTTTCAATGCCAACTCTAGTTACGAATTATCCCTTAAGCCGTTTATCCGGAAAGGTTATACGCGTTCTACCATTCCGCTTTTTGGCATCATCGCAGCTGGATCGATTAGGTTTTCTTGACTTCTTTGACTCACTCAAAGTGGAGCTACGTACTGGGCGTCTATCTATCCGATTGACACCATAAAATCGATTCTTCAGACAGACACTACATTGTATAAGCAAGCAAAAGGAAATCGATGGGCGGTGGTTGCGAGATCTCTGGGAGTGCGAGGAATGTTCCGAGGTCTTGGGTGCACGCTGATACGCGCAGTCCCTGCAAATGCTGTTCTTTTTCTCAGCTTTGAATATGCCTATCGTGTTTTCAATTCGTTCTTTTAGAGTGTGTTTGTTCGCAGAATTTGATTGGATGAACGAGTTTAGAATTGTTTGTTATGATCATCATCATATTATTATTGTTGTTTACCTCTTTCTCAATACTGCTTTTATCCACCAGATTGAGCTGCATCAATGTCTTCACACTCTATGGATTCCTCGCACTCGCCTACTGTCACTTCGTTTGAAAATCTTCCGACCCAACCTCAAGTGTTTGAGGAAGGGATGCGTAAACTCTCTCACTATCGTCAGATAGCAGTTATCGGACTGTGCAAGAAGGGAGATGTGCGGTTCTGCCGATGTTTAGTTCACTCTTCATTGTATCCAAGTCACGTGTAGGATAACAATCTTCCTGTCGCTATCAAAACCATCCACAAGTGTCTAATCGACGGAGAGGAGGAAGCAATTAAGGTATGCGACCAACTCCGTCAACTTGTCTCCATCAATCACCCCTTCATTCTCTCTATTCGCGATATTTTTCAGGGTATCCTTTGTTCATATCATCCACGCATAGATGCGCGTAATATTTACATCCTCACCGATTTCTGTCCAGGAGGTTCACTCTACTCCCTAGTGAAAGTATCCGGTAATCTCAGCGACGCCCTATTGCAATTTGTGGCTGTCCAACTCATTTTAGCAATCCATTTTCTCCATGAGCAGAACTACCTCTTTTGTGGACTGGTATCAGAAAACGTTCTATTAGACCAGGATGGATACATCCAATTGACAGGGTTTTCGGAGTCCAAGAAGGATATCTCCTTTCCATATTACAAGATGGTGGGATATATGGAGTCGATGTCCCCCGAAATGCTTCTTAACAAGGGAATTTCGTTCTCCTACGACTGGTATATGCTGGGATGTCTGCTCTATGGTACCACTCTCTCGGTTGCCTCGTCAGTAGAGCTCTCCGAAGGTCAACTTCCGTTTCACGGAAGCACAACAACCGAGACGCTGCAGCGAATTCTCATCGGCAAGCTAGAGTATAAGCACACCTCTCTAGAAGCGCAGGATTTCATCAATAAACTAGTAAGCTCCGATCCAGAACAGCGAATGGGGAAAGATTTGAAGGAACTGCAAAGCCATCCGGTAGGAAAGAAAGATGGTTCTGATCGATAGTGGATCAAGGATGCTCCCTGGGAAAACATTCAAAACCGAGCGATTGCCTCTCCACTCATTCGTGCAGCCAAACCAGAAGATCCGACTTGCTACTATCCGCGTTTCAAGGAAGATGTTATCGAAGAAGAGGGAGAAGCCGCACTGTACAACGAAATCTTTTCTAACAAGCTGTTTATCTAGGTTGTTTTTTCTACCAAAGATTGAAAACACTCCCTTCTTCCGCATTTATTCTGGGATGATACGTATCTCACCAAATTTTCAAAGTGGCCGCAACGGCAACTCTTGCTATTGGAATGATAGGTAGGAAAAACACAATTGATCACAGTAGTTTTTTGTACTTAGCTTAGATTTCTCTGTTTCTCTTTTTCACAGTTATTTTTTTTACAGCAGAAATGGTAAAGACAGAGTCAAATGCGCGAACTATGGCCAAGGACCTGATTGCAGGTTGTTTCGGTGGCGTTGGTATTGTAGCTGTGGGTCATCCTTTTGATACGATCAAAGTCAATATCCTTAAGTGTTTATTACGGTGTGAATCCTTCATTTTGCACGACTTCAGACTCAGAGTCGCGAAAATCCTTTGTACAAGAATATGACTGATTGTGTAAAGAAAACAGTGAAGTGGGAGGGAGTCAGCGGCTTTTACAAGGGTTTTATCTCTCCTCTTTGGGGTATGAGTGTGCGCTGGGTTTAACGGTAGGAAACATGATCTTTAACGCCGTTCAGTTCCTCACGTACGGTCAGATGAAGCAGATCATTGGTCATGGTGAGATCCTGACTCTTCCTCAGACCTTTTTGGCTGGAGCCTTCACAGGCGTCGCGGTCTCCTTCGTGGAAACCCCGATGGATCTGTTCAAGTCGCAGCTCCAAGTCCAGATCATTCGCGCGAAAGACAATCCGGAGTACAAGGCGGAGTTCAACACCGTCGGCGGCGCCATTAAGAAAATCATCAAGGTGAACGGTATCTTCGGTTGCTACCAGGGTTTCTGCACGACCCTTCTGCGTGACACTATCGCTGTCTCGCTCTATTTCGGCGTCTACGAGTGGTACCGTCGCGCGCTGCTCAAGAAGGACCAGCCTCTCAGCGACATGCAGTATCAGGGCATGTTCACGCAGTTCATGGCTGGAGGCGTGGGAGGCATCGCCTACTGGGCTGGCATCTACCCGCTCGATATCGTCAAGTCCCAGCTGCAGGTGGACAACATTGTGAAGGCGGAGCGAAAGTACCACGGATTTATGGACTGCGCGAAGCGTCTCTATGCGGAGGGAGGCGTGAAGGCGTTCTTCCCGGGATTCACGCCCTGCATTATTCGTGCCTTCCTCGGAAACGCGGCGTGCTTCGTGTGCTACGAGCAGAGCAAGGCGATGATGAACAAAGTGTTCTAGTTAGGTCAAGACCCTGGATGAGAGCAATGTGTGTGCGATGTGTTTGTTGCAGCAAGTGTGGCAAGTGTGGGGACTTCGGTCTCTAGGGAAAAATGGGCGTACAGCAGGAGCCGTGCGGAAACACGTTGAAAAGATGTTCGGTCAAACCGAATCCTGCACACCGAAGTTTTGTGTTTAACAGTCGGATTTAACTAGAGACAACGAAAGCATTGTAGTCAGCTCTTAAGTGATTGTTATACCGTGCATAATGCCCTTACTTGCTCCCATCTCGGAAAATGGAAGGCGTAAGCAGCCCATTGATGGTATCACGCTATAGCATTGAGCAGCGTCTGTTCATTTTGCGGAGGGTCGCAAAGGAAAATTATGTCGCTTGACTGTGGACAACACTACATATGTGATGGTTGTTCCTATCGTCGCGGTATCCGCTCTGTTTGTCCTTTGTGTGCAAATTGGGAAAAGCACTCCATTGAAAGCGTACATGTGGAAGGATGTTGTGATCTAGTCCCATTATCGTGGAGAAGTTTTTTACGCAAACCGAAATAACAACGGCCCGTCCATTTTTCTACCTGGAGATCCCAGTTCTGTTACTGAGATTTCAAATCCTTACTCCAATCCCTCAACCGCTGCTCATATTCCCCTTTGTTGTGAGGCCCAGCAGAGCTCCCAAGCTGGTTTTCCGCTCCCCTCTCACACCCCATCCAACTCTGCGGAGCGTCCAGAGTTGCCCATCTACTGCAATGCGACGCCGCTCAGCGCGGCTCCGCACGTGGTGCCTCTCAACGGATCGTACGATCCCACCGGAGTCCCCGGAGGCTCTGTCCTTCCCGATGTCCCCGTGTACGGCTCATCGCTCGCCCCCGCGGACGCCTCCCTTCCCCTCTCGCCGGCCTACCCGCCCGTCCCTTTACCCCCCGGCTCCTCTGCTTCCATTGGGTCCGCTGGATCCATGGCGCCCCCCATGGCGCCCCCCATGGCGCCCCCAGGAACGTCGGCGGAGGCGGCTGCGGAGCTGCAGCGGGAGATCGAGTGGTCCATGGTGCCGCTGCCCGTGGGCGACACCTGCGTCTCCGACCTGCCTCGCTCCGCCGCGCCGCTGGCCATCCCCGTGACCAGCTCCAACCACGCCAGCGCCGCGCTGCCCGTCTACACCGCCATCCCCGCGCCCCCCATGGCGCCCGCCGGCGGCACGCGCGGGCTCTTCGGCAAGCTCAAGAGCTCCGTGCGCAGCGCGCTGGGCCGCGCAGACCGCGCCGCCGGCGACCCGGTCAGCTACTACCGCACCCCCTCCGCCACCTCCGCCACCCCCACCGGCTACGCGGCCCGGCCCGCCGTCTACCCGCCCGGGCAGTTCGGTGGGATCCCACAGGCTTCGAACCGTGAGGGATTGTACCCGTCGGGGGAGGCGGTGCCTGCGGTGCCTGCGGTGCCTGCGGTGCCTGCGGTGCCTGCGGTGCCCGCGGTGCCGGGGATCCCCGTGCTGAAGTCGTCGAAGTCGTCGAGTTCGGTAACGAAGCCAGCGGTAGGAATGGAGAAATGCGGCGATTTGTAGAATCTGGTGCTGCAGAGACAACATGAAAGGCTCGATGAAGAGACGGTGAGAAGGTTTTTGATGTCTGGAAATTGAAAATAATTGTGCCATAATTAGTGAACGCTTGTTTGTTGGAAGACGAGGAGATGTGTACTTTTTCTTTTTCCATAGGAAAATGGCTCGGGCACTGACCGTAAACCGGAATTCAAAACCATCGAAGAAGGAGCCTGCCAATAACGATGAAAACATGGACACATCCCAACTGGTGAAAACTAAAAAGAAACGATATCGTCCAGGAGTCAAAGCCCTCCATGAAATCCGTAGATATCAGAATTCGACGGAGCTTCTTATCCGCAAACTCCCTTTTGCCAGATTGGTGAGCTTCAGGAAAGATTTTCATATAGGTGAAAGAAATCGCAGAGCGCTTTACGAAGGAGCAACTGCGTTGGACACTGACCGCGATCGAAGCTCTTCAGTGTGCAACAGAGGCATATCTCGTTTCTATTTTCGAAGATGCGTAGACATGTCTCTTAAGTCATTTTAGTGTAGTAATTTGTGTACGATACACGCTAAACGAGTCACTGTGATGGTGAGAGATATTCAATTGGCTCGTAGAATTCGAGGCCGCTTTAATTGATTGACCGACAGTATAATTATTTCCGAGTTTATTTACGATTCAACGGTCCACGTCATGATGTGTCTCCAGCAGCTTCTTTGTAGTATATAATTCATTGCTCTGTTGCCCTTCCTTTGATTGATACACGTATAATTGAAAATACGATTACCAAACCTTCAGTTTTCTGTTATTTCTTGTTAGGTATATGTATTTCTGTCTTAAATCATTTCTTTATATATCTTGTAACACCTACGAACAACCTTCATCACCTAGTTCTAGCATTTTTGACGGTGTCAGTGCAGGCCGGTTCACTAAAAAGCGTAGTACGGGTAATGTTAAATAGTTGATTCGCAGAAAACAAAAACGTCTTTCAAAGCAACCAAGAGAATTCACAGTAATAGCTCGAGTTTACCTTCTTTTCGGAGTTTTACGTTCTAGGAGGTACGGTTGCTCCTTCTGCCGAATCGTCGGGTGACCATCTTACACCCACCCCCGGAACTACCAATTCTCCAGCCCCGTTTGCTTCTTCTCATATTCAAGTGATTACACCAGCATCGATTTATGTTCACATCAATGTTACGGAAGATACGCTTGTTTGGTGTAAAGCCCTAAAGGGGAACACGAATTTCACAACAGACCTGCTTGAGAAAGAAGCCGAGGGGAATTTTATATCTTGTCTTCTCACACTCCTCTCTTGATGTCTAGCCGAAGGCGTTATCAAACTGCTTGCGCTCTCGCCGAACACTGTGTATACGATTCATTGTATTGCACAGCTCAATAATGGCTCCTTCTTTTACATGAAGCCAATTCAAGCTCAGACAGACGATGGTATTCGATTGAATTTCGATAAACCAAAGCAACGTTTCGAATCATAAACGTTCGCAGAACCAAACGATCCGTATCCTACCAGGTTGATACAAACATGAACGCTCTAATAATGTGTTATTTGCTCAACAGAAAACGTTTCGACTTTTGGAATTCCTGAAATCTAGCCCAAGTCTTAGCATCGTTTAAAATCAGCCCAGAAAGCAACCAAAAAGTCACTTTCTGGGATGTGAACAGATATGAGAAATTGCTAACAAAGTGCGAAATGTATGATACAAGCAACCACTGTAGGATCGAGACGAAGCGTGATCATTAGTGCTGATGTCCACTTCTGTAGATGAGATTCCGGCAGTCACTTCCTTTTGGCGGTCTTTGTATCCATATCTCATTATATGCGTGCTTCTGTACATTATAAACCGGATTCTCAAATATAAAAGGTAGCTCTTTTCTCTTTTTTTATTACTCGCAGACACGCTGATATTATGGTTTCCATGTTCGTTTCGCCCTTTTTGATTCATTCTAGAGTGGATGCGGATGATTCCGAGTCGATCCGATTGTTGCGAACGCTGGCTTCGCCGTCAGTGCTGATTACGGGGAAGACGCGCGATGTGATGGACGAGACTTCGGCCACTGTGAAATGCGGTCGCTGCGGGTTTATGAACTCTAAGTATTCGACGGTGTGCAAGGATTGTAACGCGTTACTTCATGAAGAAGGCTTTTTCAAGGATGCGAAAGAAACCGCGTATTTTTGTTCTGTTTGTTTCATTCATGAATCGCGATGGTTCGTGATTTTCAGACTCAAGTGATGATGGTTGGGTCATTCATTTTGCATGATAAATAGGTAGGTAGGATGGGACAGAGGTAAATTGCTTATTATAGAAGGTGAATTGATGTTATGCTTGTTGTATCTTTGCAAAAGAGTTGTTGAGTACCATAATCATGTTGATTGTGAGTGAGGAGTGAGCGTTTTTCTAATGATTCTTCACTCAGAGTTTTTGTTATTGAGTACAATCCTCATTTCTCATGTCTATTTTCTTCCTTACTTATCAACATGTATCACTGATTAGGTATTCTGCTATTATGTATTGAACCACTTCAATATACACATACACTTGTAGTGACTTCACCTCTATCGCTGATTTAGAGCTTGTAAAAACGATCATACGATGTTTTAATAATTCCAATCACGGTAAGAATCATTCCCAACAAATCCTCAAGCCCCTTACCAATCCAATCCAATCCAATCCAATCCAATCCAATCCAATCCAATCCATTCCATCATCCCGCATCCTTCGATGCCTTCCTCAACCCTATTCACTCTTTAACAAACAACAACACAAAGCATAAAAACGCACTATAAACTTCCAGTCTCTGTATAGTAATCCTTCAAACTGCAATGCAGCTGATCAATAAACTGAACCATATCATCCTTGTGGATCTGCATCACCGAACCGCTGAACGAATCCAACCTGCACCGAGCGTTCATTTGACGCGTCGCAGTGTCAAACATCATGCGGAACTGACTACACAACACTCACTCACTCACCACGCATCCCACTTCGTCTCCTCTTCTCCCTGCTCCGAACAATTCACTCCCGTCACCAAGTAAATATTCCTTCGAGGATTCAGCACGCACACGATCAGCGGCAAGCCCTTCTTCCCCACCCAATCGCCGGCCTGCACCTTCACATGCACGATGTACTGCGCTAATCGTTGCAGCATAATGGGCTGCGTGAAGATCAGCACATCGCTCTCCGCCAATTCATTGACGAACACAAACCGGAATTTCTCTGCGATCCGGATTTTCCCTCCCGCTAAAATCCCAGCACCCACGCGGAATAAGGCTTGCTGCTGCTTCTGACAATACGAAACTCCCTGCAAAAGAGCAGGCAAATTGCGATCGGTGAGCAAAGCATCGTAGGCACGATTCCAATTCTCCTCCCACTACGTTCAATTCAATCGATGAGAGCAACGTGTTCGTTTACCACATCGTCATCGCCTAGAATACACTCCTCGAGCAGAGCATTCGCGGCGTACGCAACATCCGCGGCTGAAAACTCGGTTCGCGTGTCTTTTCGTGAGAAAGAACTGAGAAAAAAGATTACCATAACGACGAACGAACGAGTCATAGAAAAGATCATCGGTGTGAAAGAGCGAACTCACGTTCTTCAAACGCTCATTCAGTTGGCTCCTCACTTGCAGCGACACATATTTAAAGCTATCATTCAAACTAGGATGGAGTCAAAAACGGTTGTTTGCTGTCGTGCAATGAAATCCCTGCCTTGGTGAGTAATTCGTTCACGTGGATTTGGTCTATGCGTTGTGATTCAGAACATTGGGCTCATCTACTCTTCGACTGCGTCAATTGCAGCTTCGATACGAGATATTCAGAATTCAGCATGCTTTCATACAACGACCAGAAGCGATACAGAAGCAATCGAGGCTCGCATGACTGTCGAATGCATCCCACACTCTCTTCGTCCTGCAAATTGAGACTCATCACTGTGGATAAGATCTCCGTGTAACACACAGCATAGCTCGAGTGACTAATATGATTCTGCAAATACTGGTCTGTGACACCCACAATGCTCAGCCAAATCATATCATTGTGAAGTTGATCGAGTTGTCTCATTACACTGTGCAACTGCATTTCAAAACAAAAACCCAACGCTACGATGATCGACGCTGGCCGCGAATAAAAGTTGAAAGCATTGTATTCGTTGATCATTCGTCTTTTCTTGTCCTTGTGCTGCAAATAGGCTAATCGCTCAGCTCGTTGGCGCTTTCGATTTTCCAATTCGGTGTCCGAAACGTCGTCTTCCAAGCCTTCTGACAGAGAATCGTCCTCCACATCGTCCTCATCCTCCGAAATTTCGCTAGGGATATCGGCCATGTCGATCGATCCATCGTTGATCACAACAATCTAACATCAATCCCTTTCCTTCCCAAAGATACATTATGTTCATCCATTACGTTGTTAATCACAACAGGACGATGGCAATCGATGACATAGCATTTTAAGCTATCCGAAAAGGTGAGGATGCTTTTCAAGTCGTTTGTTGCTCCACAATTCAGCATAATGATCGTTGACAGCTAAACCATCAAATCGAAATAGCTTGTTTACCTCATCATTATCGACAACACAGGTTTGATTGACACGGCTCATATCCACATAACCCGATATTTGCTTAATCTTGTACATAATATTATGAGAACGAAGTAATGTCTAGGCAATCGTGAGTTTGAGAACGAGGGCGCTTTCACAGAAGCACATTGTACAACTGACACATACAGTTAAAATACGGCACGCGCAAAGGGCATCCACATCCGGCGCCACAAGAATCAAAATCGCGGTCTTTTCTTGGAAGTTCTGTTGCACAATCTCTTGAAAGGTGGACGACAGATCAGATACATTCACCAACATGGAAGCCTCAAAAATATTTGAATTGCGTAAACCTTTGAGGAAACGTGTCTTCGCAGTTCCCATTGCATCAGATGATCACGCTAATGGATTAAAGCATGCCTTGACAACAAACACAATCTGCTCTTGCTCCATGTTCATCCAATCGCCTCCTCCCACGTCTTTCTTTTTTTTTGCTTGCACAACTCATCCCTATTATCAACACACGGACCAAATTCCCTTTTCTTCCAAACAAACAAGAGGCAATATCAATACGACAATAACTGAAGCAGACTTCTCCCTTAATCGTCCTGAGCCTTCTTAGCCTTGTGCAGAGCAGCACGACGGCCAGTTCCCCAGATCTTCTTCTGGTGGTTCTTCTTTTCCTTCAGCATCTTACGTCCCTGTCTCTGGTGCTCCTGGATTCCGAACTACAATAAGACTCACCACTTTCGATTTCCTACTCTAGCAAGACGGTATCTAGCCTCGAACTTCTTCACATCGTCCAGAGAGTCGTAGATCAGGGCGAAACCGCTGGAACGACCTCCTCCTATGCCTCAATGGATAGCGGAGCAAACTACCGAAAGCAATTTGGAATCCGAAGAGGATAATGCACTTATCGTCAGCGACGTGGTACTTCTTGGACAGAATGTTCTTAAGCTCGTCCTTGGAGACAGAAGCACGCTTGGGATGGATCACCTCGATGGTCTAGCACCTAATTTCGCAACTACATCACAAACCATTTGGCGACGCTTCAACAGAGGGTTTCTCATGAACTTTCTCACGCGAACAGTAACAGCAGCTTCAGACATCGTAGTCGTAGATATCGATTCAAGTCTGGACAAAAAAGCAAATACGTACAGTGATCATAAAATGCATGATCAGTAATCAGCCGGTTTCACTTCAAGTCGTTTCCTATATAGTTTCATTCCTTCTCTCCGAAACCGCTAATCGTGTTTTGAACAAAAAAAGAAGCAACAATCAGCAACCAGATCAATCCAACTCTTCGTTTCCTTCCATCATCTCCTCCTCCGCTTCCACAGGCATCTCGTCCTCCTTTTCCTTCCACCGCAAGTTCAGACCATAGCAGAACACATCTCCATTCTCCACTCCAGCGAGCAGCGCCCGGTTGTCGCTCGACACACAAAGACTCTCAATCTTCAGCTTCGGCGACGCGAGCACCGTATTCAGCCGCAGATCGGGGAGCGTGAAGATGCAGATGTGATGCGTGGACTCCGCGAACAGCCACTTGGAGTCGTGCGACGCGCTCAGCGTGTGGATCTTCGCGACATCGTGCCGTTCATAGAGCAGGATCCCATTGACGTCGAAGCACAGCAGATAGTTGGGCAATCCTCTCCGCACGGAAATCATCGAAATCACCACGTAGCCCATCCACGTCGTCAGCAGCTGCGTGATGCGATAGTTCGCCTTCACCGTCTTCCCTTCCTCCTGCCACGGACTCTCCACGCGCTGCGTGCAGTCGATCACCTGCACGAATCGTCCGTCGCGCAGATTGAACAGATACACCTGATTCGACGCCGTCGACGCCACCACCAAATCCAAATCCTTCGACGCGCAGATCTGCACCACCTTCGACGGCAATCCCGGCAGAATCACCGACGGTCTGCCCGCCTTCGCCGCGTCCTCGCCGTCTCCCTCTCTACACCTCACTCCTCCGCCTCATCGCTACGCCAGCTCCCATCCCACCACCAATCCGTCGCGCGTGCCCACCAGCACCTCGCTCGCGTCCTCCGTCAGCGCGATGCAGCTCCCCAGCACGCCGTTGTACCGCAGCTTCCGCGGGGGCGCCTCGCCTCCCAGCTGCTGCACGCACACCGCGCAATCGTGATGGCCCGTGCTGAACAACCGCGTCAGCGACGCGTCCGTGCAGAACCGCGCACGCATCAGCGCCAGCATCGACTCCCCCGCGGGACTCGCCTGTCCCCGCACCACGCGACTGCGCGGGGCCGCGGGGAAAGCGTCGGCGTGGGGGAGAAGGCGGCGTCCGGGCTGCGCGGAGGGCTGGAAGGTGAAGGGAAGCAGCTTGTGGCCCGGCTGCGCGGCGTGGTAGCGGTGCAGCGCCACGCAGCCGGCGGCGTCGACCGAGAGGACGTCGCGGTTCTCGCGGCTGAAGTGGAGGCGGATGATGGGCGAGGTGTGGGGCGTGGAGACGGGCTGCGGGTTCAGCACCGTGCCCGGGAGGATCTTGAGTCCGCGCACGGCCAGCGCCTCGGCGGCGGACAGACGCTTGGGGTGCGGCGTGGTGAAGAGCTGCGAGGGCGTCTGGCCGAAGTTGGCGATCTGCGACTCGACGGCTTTGCGCTCCTCCGGATCGGTGAGCGCGTGCAGGTCCACCATGCCCTCGTACGTCATGTAGTAGAAGACGTTGTAGGCCTTCTCGGCCTCCGGGCCGCGCTGCTTGTATCTACGCGTGACTCCGCCTCCCCTCGCCGCACCCGAAAATCAGATCGATCCAGTCGCTCAGCCGCTCGCTCACGTAGTCCGACTCCAACGCCTGCATGTTGATCCGCACGAACTCCTCCGGCGACTTCGCCCAGGGCGGCAGAATCACGTCGTCCAGCTTCGTTCCGTCCTGCCGCGTGCCCAGATCCAGCCCGTTGCTGTTCCGCAGGAAGTGCGGGGAGTAGAAGAACTCGGGCGTCAGCTCCTTCACGTCGCCCGTGCTCGTCAGCACGCGCGTCCAGGCCTCTTCGATGCTGTGGAACAGACGGTCCGCCCAGTCGAAGTGCCCGCCCTGCAGCCGCGCGGCGAGCTCCGCGAAGGGCTCCAGCCGCACGAGGAAGTTCAGCACGGTGCCCACGTTGGAGTAGTGCGACCCGTACATGAAGCGAGGGATCGCGCCGTCCTCCTCCATCGCGTTGTACCGCTCCATGAAGCCCTCCAGCCGCTCCTCGTTCAGCGCGCCGATCGGCTTCGACAGATCGCGGTACACCTCCGGCTTGTCCAGGTCCAGCGTCTCCGATGTGTAGTCCGCAATAACCCACGGGAACACCGGGTATTGCTGGATGTCGTTGTACGATCGCCCCGCCGCCATGTTCAGACGCATCAGATACTCGAAGTTCGACAGCTGCCGCGTCCGCCACAGCTGCGTCCACTCCGCCTTCGCCACCAGCTGCGCCGGCGGGTACAGATGCCGGAACAGCGGGTGCGACCGCAGGAACCGCGGTTTTTGCGCCATCATGACCTGGAAGACCTGGAGATACTCGCCCTCCTCGGGGAAATTGAGGAAGTAGGAGCGGTTGCGCGTGATGATCTCGATGGCCGTGGGCGCCAGCAGGTAGCGACGGCGGTAAATCTCCACGATGGCGTTCAGCTCCCACTTGCGGACGCGCATGTCCTTCTTGCTGCCCTCGTGGCCCGCTTCGAAGCCCTCGGGGAAGAAGAAGAGGTGCTGCGGCGTGAGATCTGCGCGGCCCTGGATCACGCACATCGGGAGCACCAACTCCATGCGCGACGAGCGCAGCACACGCTCTCCGTGCGTGAACTTCAGGTCCAGATTGCTCACTTCCTCCTCCACGTTCACCGGCACTGGCGACTGCGGCGTCAGCAGTTCTTCCTGATCCGCGGGGAGCCGCTCGTCGTCGCCCTCTACTCCTCACCTCACCGCGGGAAACCCACCCTTCCGATACAAATTGAGCGTCATCAGCGCGTTCTTCTCCTCCGTCGCCGCCTTCTTCTTCCCCGTCAGGTCGCGCCCGATATGCCGGTGCGGCCGCTCGTTCCAGTCCCGCTTCAGCCGGTTCCGCAGCCGTTTCTCGGTCTCTTTGCAGTCCAGCTGGTAGTAGACGCGCCGACTCTCGTCGCTGGCGTCGCCCTCCACACCTTCCACGCCGTGCCACATCGAAGGACCCAGCACCAATTCGCGCCACAGCTTCTTCATGATCTTCAGACCGTTCGTTTCGCGCTCGATGATGCTGAACGTCGCGTCCTTCTCGAACGCCTCCACCGACGCCACGATCGTGTCGCCCATCTCCTCGTCCAGACGCATCGACAACGGCGACGAATCGCTCGCGCAGCGAATGCTCCGCTGCGCCATCTCCACGCATCGCGTGTCCGCCATCTGCCCGTACTGCGCGCGATACGCCAGCAGCATGCGCTTCATCCCGTCCACCGCGTTCACGAACATGCCGTTCGACAGAAGCGGCACCCACGAGTTGAACGTCAGCAGATTCTGCGGCTTCACCGACTTCATCGACTGCAGCACGCCGAACGTGGGCTCATCCAGCGTGATCAGCAGGCCCGCGACGTTCCGAATGCACACTCCGAACACCGCCCACAATCTCTCCGCGATCTCCGACCACACGCCGAGCAAGGCTTTGCCCGCCGCGCCGGGCTGCGCGCTGAGCATCGACTCGATGCGCATGCACACACCGATCAGCGCGAACAGCGCGTGCGCCGCGTTGAGAAGCAGCTGGCTGACCCAGTCCGACTTGGGCTGGTCGATCTCGGCGCCCTTTCCGAACACGCCGGCGCTCTGCAGCGCGGTCTCCAGCGTGGCGATGTTCGCGAGCAGTGGGTTCTTCACATCGCGGACGGTGCTGCCGTTCTCGTACAGAACGCGCATCTGGAAGATGCACATCGCCTCCACGCCGCGAATCAAGATCGGCAGCACGCCCTTCTCCAGGATCGGGACGTTCAGCGCCTTCGTGTTGTCCACGCCGCAGCTGTCCGTCGGGTTCGACAGCTGCCCCGCCAGGTCCTTCCAGATCTCCAGCGCGTGCTGCAGAATCTCGGCGCGCTCCCGCGGGAGCTGGTTCACCTCGGGGATGTCTCCGCGCTGCGAGGACACGATGGAGCCGTCGGAGTGCTGGACGACGGTGCGGTGGGGGTCGGGGAGCAAGTCCAGCGCGTAGCACATCATCCAATAGGACGCCATCGCCAATTCCTCGAAGATAATCTGCGTCGCTGGGTCCTTCTGCTTGGATTTCTGCACCGACGCGCCGCTCTGCGCCACCAAGAACTGCAGAATCTCTTGCAGAAGCGGGTTCAGCATGGCTTCGAACGCGTCCGCGGAGAGCAAGTGCGGAGAGGACACGCTGGACTCCAGCGCACCCTCCGATCCCTCCCAGAGCTGGGGGCGCAGCACTTGCTGCTCCACAGCTAGGCGGAGCTGCTCCAGCACCTCCCAGCCGCCCGACTTGGCCAGAATGAAGGACGCCAGCGACATCACGAGCACCTGCCGGCTCTTGGCGCGCGTCGTTTCGGTCTGCGTCGTCGCGTAGAGCGTCACCAGCGACGAAATCGCGGTCCACTGCGTCGCAATCCCGCTCAGATCCCTACCGACTGCGCGATCACCAGCCGATTCGCCGTCGCCGACGTCACGCCCTGCACGAGCGAGAGCACGTGGCTCAGCGCCGTGTCGCGCACAGCGTCCTTCGCGCTGCACAGCGCCTCGATCAAAATGTTGAACGCGAACGGGTTCTGGATCGCCAGCGGCCGGCGTCCGTCCACGCAGCCCTTCGCCACGCTGCCAGGCTGCCGTTCAGCGCTCCCCCCGGCTCCCTACCTTCAGCGACAGCGTGAAGTCCATCAGGGACTGGTACACGCCCAGCGTCACGCTGTTATCCGCGAGGAAATCGGCGATGCCGCTGCACTCGTCCGGAGTGAACTCGTTAATCCCCGTGGCAAGCCGCGCCGCGGGACTCAGCGCGGTCCAGAAGCATTGCAGACACTGAATGGCGAGACAGCGCACCTCGTCCACTTCGTTGCAGAAGCACTTGAGGAACACGGTGTGCGCCTTGCAGAGCGACATGGATTGGAAGAGATTCGTTTTGGGCGTGGCTAGGAATCAACGCGTGCAGTCGGCCCAACAAGACATCATGAAGTCGTAAAACAGTTGCAGAATCGGCAGCACGATGTCCGCATCGTCCACCATATAAAGCACGCTGAGCAGATAGCTCACATCCACGCGGTACGCCGACGTCTCCGCGTCCAGCATCGCGCGAATCATCTCGATCACGCTCGTCTGCAGCTCGCCCACCAAATCCTCGGTGAACGATTCGTCGCGTTTGCACGAATACTCCGAGATCTCCGAGTAGTAAATCTTCACCAAGGCTTGCAGCAAGGGCCGAATCCCCACGTGGTTCTTCACCAGCAGCGGGTTTTGATTGATCACATCGGCGAGAAGCCGCAGCACGACGACATGCGTCTGCCACGGCGCCGAGCCCCAGACCGAGAAGTCGAACAGCAGATAGCGAATTCCGTCGATGTACAGCTCGTCATCGCGCTTCAGCGCCTCCACGATCTGCTGGATCACCGTCACCAGCTCCACCGAGAGGTGTGACGGCGGGCATCGTCGCAGCAGAATCGCCAGCAGCTGCACGCCGCCGTTGGTTTTGAAGGTCACCAGCTGCGAAGGGTCTTCCTGGAGCAGAATGGCGAGGAGAGAGAAGGCTTGCGCGTAGGCTCGCGAAGGCAGCGGCCGCGGAACCAGCGCGGGGAGATGGCTCACGCTCACTTCGGAGGACGCGGGCACGAACATCGGGAGAATCACCGGCACGCCGCCCACTACGTGAGACACAGAAACACAATCAAAACGGGAGGCGAGCGTGGAGGTGAGCGTGCTTTCGGAGACGATTCGCGTGCCCTCGGTGATCTGCGCGGTCACTTCCTGCCCCGAGCAATCAAAGCATTTGTCATCGCGCGTGTTGCGAGCTTCGTAATACGCAACGCTCTGCGTATCAGCGCCCTCCTCGCATCCCCACCTTCTCCAAAAAGCGCTGCTGCATCGCCTGCCAGGCCTCCGAGCTCGTCTGCTCCGTCAGACTGAACGTGTCGCAGTGGTGGATCTGATAGAGCGCGTTCATCTCCTGCTCCGTCAGCGGAACGCTCAGCACTCCCATCGAACACATCTGCAAGCGGTAGCTTCCCGTCAGCTCGGCCCTTCTCGCCTACTCGTGTTCCGCGACACTCGCTTGGTTTTCGTTCGGATCGTGCGCGAACCAGAGCTGGTAGCCCTCCAGCGCCTCGAAGTAGTCCATCTTGTCCTCCTTCACGCACTCGCCGTTGACCCACACGCTCACCGTGCTGCGCCACATGCTTCGCTTCGTCTCCATCACGCCGATCCACGTCCACACGTTCTCCTTCACCTTCACCTCCGCGTTCACCTGGCTGATCTGCCGCTTCTCGTCCATGCTCGCGACCACCAGCGAATCCACGTCCAGCGAGACGCTCCAATGCCGATTGCCCGCGTTCTGCACATAGAATCTACCTCACAGCGCCACCCAAACCAAACAGAGGCACGCGACTTCCCGCCTGCGAGAAGCTCTCCACGCAGACCCACGCGAAGAACGCGAACCCGTTCTTCGGCCACGCGCCGGGGGGCATCGCGACGATCCCCGTCGCGGGCTGGTTCCACGAGAAAAACGAGGGAGGCGACGTGGACGACTGCGAAATGCGAAGCAGCGTTCCCAGATAATCGCCGGAACGGAACACGCTGCGGTTCAGCCAAGCACAGAGAAGCAAACCCGGGTTTGTTTTCGTCGGCCTCGCTCGCGAAGGTGCCCAGGCGGAACGGGAGAAGAATCGTCTTGAGGTCCTGGGGACGAACGTTCTACATGACACCGCACACATGCAAAAACGTGGGATGCCAAAGTGTAGATGAAGTCGAATATGATCTTGATGGAGTCGTCGGAGAGCTGGATGGAGAAGGACGGAATCTCGGAGGGGTTCTGCGCGTCGAAAACGTTGTATTTGTGCAGCGACATGAGCATGAAAATGCACTTGCGCAGAATGTCCGTCTCGAAGAAAATCTCCACGTTGTGCGTTCGCTCCTATCCTCAAGCGGGGAGAAAACACGCACATTCACGCAGTTTATCAAAAATAAGAGCACCTGCTTCTGCAGAACATCGCTCAGCTTGGGAAGCAGACCGAAGATGAGAATGGGGAGGTACTGACGCTTGGATATAGCCATCGTCTTGAGCGTCGAGAAGTCCGCTACGCCGTACTGCCACTCGATGCGACAATCATAAAGCTTCTCCAGCAGCACCTTGAGCGACTAGATTCACACGCGACCCACGCATCCCTACGTCGAACAAGTCTCCGCAGCACTTCTTGATGACGTTTTTGAGCCAAACAGAATTGTAGAAAGAGGACAGCTCCTTTAACCCATTTGAAAATTCTTCCAAATCTGCCGACTTTCGATTTTTCACGCGTAGATCCAATTTTTCCCACTCAGCCTAGAATTAGACACGTTTCATCAGGATTTACGATCCACGCTTTGTCCATGACGGACTGCATCACTTCCTTAAAGACAGAGTCTCCGTAATAAAACATCGGAGTTGCTTGTTCTTCTTTCTCTTGCATTTTCTAGCATAAGGTGAGTCTCGGGCCTCTTTCCCCGTCCGCACACTACCTACCAGTCCAAAAGGAGATTTCTAATCTTTCCCAAATTCATGATTTGCCCAACCGCGGTTATTCCATCAACAATCTTTCTCGCTAAAATCCCCTCCCCATCTCCTCCACGTGTGCTCAAACAAACACTCCAGCAGTAATACTTTCTCTCTTTCTTTGGCGTCACAGACGGGTCGTATCGATCCCACATATTTCTCCAGATGCGCAAGTGCTTCGACGTGGAGTCCAATCGCAACGAGGTCTCGCAGCGCACATAGTTCGGGTTCTTAAACGACTCAATTCGCGAAGGGTCGTTAATGTACGACCAGAGCGAGACCGTGCGTTCCTTCGCCTGGAACTCAAACCGCTTCGCCTCGCAGTCGAACAGGAACGTGCCGAATCTTCCGGAGTACACATGCTCGTTAATGCAGAGCAGCAGGTCCTCGTTGAACTCGAACGCGGTGGGGAACTGCTGCATGGCCTGGTATACGCAGTCCAGCCACAGGATGAACACGGGTGACCGCTGATCATCATTGGCATTGGTGTTGTCCTGTCCGAATCGGCGTCGGAACTGATGGCCGAAGGAGCACCACTCCTTCTCGATGAGGATCTCGAACCCGACCAAGGTGCGATAGTAGGGGTCGAGCATGAGCTCCGTGCCCGCGACCATCTGCGCGGTGCGGTCCCAGCCGTCGCTGCAGTGCGACAGGATCGAGCAGCCGTTGTCCTCCAGCATCTCCACCGACCGCGCGATGGCGCACAGGATCGTGCGCACCTGCTCGTACCACTTGGCGTCCGCCAGCATGCGGAAGAAGTTGTCGTCGTCGCCCTTATAGACGTCGGGGTTGAACAGATCGCTCATCTTCTGCATGCTCTCGCGCGCCGCGTGGATGTTCGCGATGTTCATGAAGAAGATCTCCGACCCCGGGTAGTTCGCGGGGTTCTCCGTTCCCTTTCCCATGCTCTGGTTCCCCATCGCCGCGATGTAGCTACGCGCGTCCACGAAGTAGTACCGCTTCGCCGACGCGCCGCAGCAGCTCATCAGCTTCCGGATCAGCTTCTCGTCCATGCTCGATCGCTTCAGCTTCAGTCCCACCATCGGCTGCGCAGACCGGCACAGCACTGCGTTCGTCGTCGGGTGGCGCCACACCGGCACCGGCACGCGCGCCTTGCTGCGGTACTTGCAGATCACCTGGAAGTCCTCGTCCGAGAAGTCCGCGGGGATCAGGAAGCGCGACGGGTACGTCGGGTTGGTGTCGTAGCCCTGCACGTACAGCCGCAGCTTCGGGCAGTTCAGTAGTCCCACGCGGTCGTAGTCCAGCGCCGCGTCGTACAGCGTCCATCCGTTCAGCTCGCCTTGCGGGATCAGCTTCGAAGCTTCCGGTCTATGCGTCATCGCGTGCTTTGCTCCGCCTCCTACCTGAACGCGAACACTTCGTCGCTGCGCGTCGGCGAGCCGTAGCGGCGCGTCTCCTGCACAAACCCGTCCATTCCTTTGGAGCTGCTAAAGAACATGTTCACCACCATCTTGTCTTTCAGCGTCATGCACAGCGAGCGCGGGCCCGACTCCATGATCTGCTCGATCTTCAACAGCGGGATCTGCATGTCCGTCGTGCCCAGAGGCCCCTCCACCAGCTCGCCGCTCTCCTCCTCCGCGATGGGCGTCTCCGCGCTCGTCGGCGACTTGGGCGACTTGGGCGTCTTGCTCTTCTTCGCCTTCTTCAGACGCATGTAGGGGTGGAAGATGAGGCGATAGGTGGTGATGAACATGCGGCCCTTGTGCATCTCGAACGCAGGCAGGTAGAACGAGCCCACCACGTCCGGCACGCGCACGCTCAGCTCCACGTTCTTCACGATCTTCTCGCCGATCTCCAGGTAGTCCGGCATGTAATCGTCGCTCACGTAGTTCGACTTCTTGCTCGACTCCTCCTCTTTCTTCTGCTCCAGCGCCGACAGCAGCTGGAACTTCAGCACCACCTGTCCGTTCTCCTCCTTCAGCTGCTTGATCTTCTTCGAGGCCTTGCCCACCGACAGGCCCTCCTCCACAGCGTCCTCGTCGATGCTCACCAGCACCACGCCCGGCACCAGCACGCCCGACTCCTCCGCCGCGCCCGGGGTTCCGTCCGGGTTGCGGCGGTATCTTCCCAGCGTCAGCATCTTCTTCGTGGACTTCAGCGTCAGTCCCAGGGCGCCTTCCTTGAACGTCACTTCGCTCCCCGACCACAGGTTGCGGTCGCGGTTCTCCATTTCGCCCTTGCAGGCCATCTCGTGCTTCTCGCGGAACGCGGAGATCTTGTAGCTCGGAATGTCGCGAGACAGCTCCCGAGCATCCACCACGACCTTCTTCATCTGCTCCGTTGTCAGAGCCTTGAGCGCCTTGTGCAGCGCCTTGTCGGCCTTCGCTCCGTCCGTCTCGTTCAAGAATGGCTCGGAGACAGCGCGCAGCAGCGATACCACAGAGGCAAAATAGAAGGTCTCGGTTGAAAAGCCGATCTTTCCTTCACCGCAATACACCGTGCAGAAATAGGTATCGAAGAAATACTTGGAGAGCTCGGTAGACACCGCATTTGCATAGAAGGTAATCATCCAAGTCAGCAAGATCTTATCAATACTCATTCCAGTGTTATTAATATGCATAATGATCTGAGGGTCCTTCTCAAACAGCAAACTCTTCACAACACGCTCCTCGACCAAATAGCCGCGAGTATCAAACTGGCTACCTTCGGGCCATACACGGTGATAGAGGACGTTGTAAACATTGAACAATTCCTGCTCTGTAAAGTAATCCAAAAGGAAATTCAGGAGAGTGGAGACACCCGGGACAAACACATTATTTTTATCATATAACAGATAGGCTTTGTGAATATTTCGAACAGACTGCAGTCTATCCTCGTCTTCAATGTGACAATTCTTGAGATCGGCGTCAATATCAGCGATTACATCCTTCAACTCAGAATCGTCCGTGGCAGCCAGTTCGTCATATGCACCGAGATTACTGCTCACCTCTTCCTCAATCTGTTTAGAAAGCAAAAATCTCCAAGCAGCCTTACGGCACTTTTCGGGAATGCCATCTACTGAGCAGCACTGCTTTACAACTTCCGAGGCGTCAACCTCTTCCGAATCAACAATTTTCTTCCAAAATGATTCCTTTTCAGATACAGAAATCGATGCGTTATACAACTCTCCCATAGGACTCGATAATTATCAGAGAAATCCCTGAAAATGGACTAAGATAGAACATTTGTATAGTGTGAGAATTCCATGATGATCATGAAATAATGCACCACTGGGCATACACCGCAAATTACAATCAAATCAAATATAGGAAAAAGATATGATTAGAGAACAAGGAGATAGAAAGAACAGGAGATCTGAGCATAAGTAGTCACTAGCTAGATGATATGGAAATGGGTAGTAGAAAATGGTAAAATGGAAGATTATAAGGGAATAAAGTAGTGTTCTGTGTTATGCATTGGTAATGCTTGTATTTTAGAATTGTGTTGAAACTGGAATACAAGGGTTTGCTGTGAGTGTTAACATTACGTCGATGAGTGGATTTGCTATGTATTGCAGTCGTTGAGGTGGGTGGTTGGAAATAGAAAAAGGATGTGACAATGACGTTAGATCGATTTCTTTTGTTTTCTATGACTGTACATTTGAAAAACGAAATAGAGTTTGTTAATGTGCAGTAGTACTTTTTGATAGTTTTAAAGATGGAAGGTAATGGCATTAAAGTGATATAGTGTAAATATAACAGGAAAAATATCAAATGTGAATCCCTATATAGTTCTCTTCATTTGAATTATCCGAAATAGACATAAGAGGGTTGTTGTGATTCCTCCTTTGTTTGTCATTTTATTTTGCAGACAGTGGAGTTTGGAATAATAGAATTATATTGGTATATTTAGAAAGGACATGAGAATTCAAGCATTCCTTCACTTCTTTATTTGTACACATTTCTATATTGTTGAGAGAAGGATTCAATTGTTTTCGGTCATGTTCAGAACATTAGTCAAATCAAAGATGGGTAGAATATGGTTTTGTATTATTATTGCTTATTGCGATGCAGAACGTTGCTGATTTTGTCATTTCTGCTATTAGTGACTATCATATTGATAGTTCCATTATCCAAAATGTGCAGGGATACTTGGGTAAAGAAATGAAACCAAATGGATGGATTTCACTTATTTTGAGTAATGGAGAATGTGCAGTATTGCTATTCGATAATGGAGTATTCATGAATCAAGGATTTGTCCTCAATGAGCAGAAAGTGTTGAAAGTGTTTGGAAATCATCAAATTGGTGATATTTCATATAATGAAGAACAATCCATAGAAGTAGTAGAAGAAGGAATCGTGGATTTGGATCATGGAAGTCGATTTGAAGGATTGATATTGGCAGAAAACAAGTTGGGAATTCCATTTGGATATGGTGAAATGTATGATGATGATGGGTTCTTGTTGTACAAGGGCATAATGATCAATTGGAAACGATTTGGCTATGGAACGAGTTATCATGATAATGGATGTATTGAATATGAAGGATATTGGTGTGATGATAATCGATTTGGAATTGGAAAAGTGTATGATCGATATGGTAAATTAGTGAATGAATGTGAATGGTACAATGGAATTGAATGTGATACTGAGTATGAAGGAGATGGCTCAGAACCTCTGAATATCGGAATGAAACATTTGAAACTGATTGACAATTGTGTATTGGTTGATTGGGATGTTTCATTGTTGTATAATTTGGAATCAATCGAAATCGGCAATGAATGTTTTGAATCAGTGAAAACATTCAAAATCGATGGATTGAATCGATTGAAAACTATCAAAATCGGAATCAATTCATTTACTCAGAAAAAGAGAAGCTGGGGAAATGATGGATCGAAATCATTCCACATATTGAATTGTGAATCATTAGAATCGATAGAAATTGGCCGACATAGTTTCAGTGATTTTGCTGGAGACTTTGAATTGAAGAATCTGCCACAATTACAATCCATTCAAATTGGTGACATGAAACGTGATTCATACAATTTCTATTATAGTTCATTTGTGATTCGAGGTACTGAACTGCTATTGAATATTTGAATGATGATTAGATCTTCCAAATCTAACATCTGTATCTCTGGGCATTGGATCAATCCAAAATTCCATGTCTACCATCATCGAAAGTACTTTATAAAAAGGTATGCACTGATGAGTCCAGATCTTCCATCATTACAGACCATTGAGCTTGGGAATTGTGCACTTACAGGAATCGACAGACCTTCCTGTTCGTTGACAATGCGAAGTATGTCTATTTTCAACGGAAAAAACTAGATCTCCCAAACGAATTATCCATCATATCACACTTGTGGAATTTTTATGAAATTCGTCTAATAACTTTAGAAAGTATTTTTATTGGGGAAAGCATATTATTATTATTCAGATATTCCTAATGTGAAGGACGCCAAGCTAGAGCTTGCATTTACGAAAATGATCGTTGCTCATATTAGCAGTACTTATCATGCCATTATTCTCTATTTAGATGTACATCAGCTGCTCTCCATGCGTTTTCCTATACAAGTCTATCATCAAGACTATATTCAATCCATTAGTTCATCGGTTACATCCATTACGATTCCAAACTGGACCTGCAACGATTTGGAGTGTACTCAGCTTGATTTTTCCAGATTCACACGGATTGAGTCGATTGAAATTGGAGATGACTGTTTTGGTCATGTAAAAACCTTTTGTATGGATGGATTTCAACGCTTGCAAATGCTGAAAATAGGAAACAATTCCTTTACGCAAAACAAGAATGACAAAGGCAACGATCTATCCAAATCATTTCATGTGAGGAATTGCCAAATGTTACGATCGATTGAAATCGGTCTGTTCAGCTTCGCTGATTTTGCTGGACAGTTTGAATTGAAAGACTTGCCATCGTTAGAATCGATCAAAATCGGGGCAATCGGCACGAAGTCGTATAATTTTCATCACACCTCCTTTGTAATTCGAGGTTTTATCGTTATTATTACTCATATAATCAATAGATCTTCCAAATCTCAAGTCAATTTTACTTGGAGAAGAGTCGTTTTGCTTTTCGCAGCTAATACAAATCGAAGGTATAGAATGTGAAATAATGGAATACGATTAAAGATCTTCCTTCATTGCAATCGATAGAACTCGGTGAATATGCGCTTTGGGGATTGAATGATGCGAACTGTGAATTAGTGATGCGGAGTATACACATCGATGGAACCTAAAACAAAGATCTTCCAGCCTTATTGTCCCTTCGATCGAGTTTTTATAGCTTTTATAAAATACCTCATGTAACACTGGAAAGTAGGATGAATACTTTTTCTTTTATTTCTTGATATCCCTAATCTTGAAACAGTGTATCTACCAAAATCATTCTTTGAAGTTGTTACAAAGAACATAAAGAGTATTTAGATTATTTGGATGGTTCAATGATAGACACGTCTTCAGTACTTGCCGATCTTGTGAAAATAAGAAACTGAATGCTTTGTAGTATAAATGGTGGTTGTTTGTTGTGAGCAAAAACGGATTGCACATGGATGATTTGAAATTACGTCGTATCAAGTATGGTAAACTGCAATCATAGGAAAATTGTTGCCTCAGATATTAGGCTATTATGACGTTGATTTTTATTGAATCGAAACATAGCTATACTGCAAATTAACAAAGTACAAAATAAAAAGTATAATAAAGAAAACATTTAGAACAAGAAAAATACATTATCTGCAAACGTTTGCTGAATACAATCTTTGAAGTAATCATTTTAAATATTCGAAAAGAAAGATCCAGCATCTAATAGGAACCATAATCATACGAAAATATACTAAGCACTGTTTTGTCCTTTACTTCCCAGAATGAATCAGGCAGTGAGACTGAGTCAAGGTGAGGTATGTCTCATGAATTCAATGCCAAAAATAGAAATACTTTGAATAATAACAATGCGAGGACAAGAAAAACTGAAACCCAAGGAATCTAAGCGTGTTAGAATAGGAAGATCTATATTCAGAAACTATAGTGCAGAAGATGATTACTTCTCAACACTAAGGTACAAGCAGGGTTATCCCTACCACGCATAACCCATTTGCCGAATTGTATTAATTGTAATGACGGGAGATCTAGATCAATCATTTCAATCCATTTTGTGATACTTTCGATAATAGTTGACATGGAATAACAAAACGATTCATCACCTAATATTATAGATTCTAAATTTGGAAGATCTAAAAAAAGTTATATAAAGAGATTATATATTCTACCACGAATCATAAATGAGCTGGAATAAAAGTTGCGATACATAACTCTTATGGATTGTAATTGTGGCAGATTCTTCAATTCAAAGTCTCCAGCAAAATCACTGAAACTATATTCACCAATTTGAATGGATTCCAATGATTCACAATTCAATATGTGGAATGATTTCGATTGATTGTTTGCCTTGGATACGTACCACTTTACTGTACTTTTCATTTGAGTAAATGAATTGATTCCGATTTTGATCGTTTTCAATCGATTCAATCCATCGATTTTGAATGTTTTCACTGATTCAAAACATTCATTGCCGATTTCGATTGATTCCAAATTATACAACAATGAAACATCCCAATCAACCAATACACATTTGTCAATCAGTTTCAAATGTTTCATTCCGATATTCAGAGGCTCTGAGCCATCTCCTACATATTTTTCATCAATATCACATTCAATTCCATTACACCATTCACATTCTTTTATTAAAACACCTGATAGATCATACACTTTTCCAATTCCAAACCAATTATCATCACACCAATATCCTTCATATTCAATACATCCATTATTATGATAACTCGTTCCATAGCCAAATCGTTTCCAATTGATCATTATGCCCTTGTACAACAAGAACCCATCATCATCATACATTTCACCATATCCAAATGGAATTCCCAACTTGTTTTCTGCCAATATCAATCCTTCAAATCGACTTCCATGATCCAAATCCACGATTCCTTCTACTACTTCTATGGATTGTTCTTCACTGTACGAAATATCACCAATTTGATGATTTCCAAACACTTTCAACACTTTCTGCTCATTGAGGACAAATCCTTGATTCATGAATACTCCATTATCGAATAGCAATACTGCACATTCTCCATTACTCAAAATAAGTGAAATCCATCCATTTGGTTTCATTTCTTTATTTACACATCCTTGCCGTTTTTCAATGACAGAATAATTGAGTCCATATCCAGGAAGATTTAAGTCAATCAGATCGATGAATGATGACATAATAATGAATAATAATAAAAGATTGTTTAGCAAGAATTGTTATTTTTTTGTTATTATTAATCTTCTGCATGAAATCCCCGTTGAATTACTATTTCTATTTCAATGCACTATTAGCTATTCATTATATTCCGTAGATCCAAGTTGCGTTTTTCCAAACAATCACAATTCCTGTTTTATGAGAGCTTTCCACTCACTCTTATTTGTCTATTTTATATTTCTTATCCTATATAATGTATAGCAAACCCTAACTTCAAACTATCTAACCACCATGATAACGGTTGAATTCACAAAGCATTTATTCGATGTCATCTTCAGCTTTGAACTATCACAAGTATTACACAAACACGATAAATCTCCCAAGAAGAATTAGACTGCTTTTGAATAGGCTTTGCGCTTTGGCTCTCCACTAGTAATTGTTTCGCTTGACGTTTCAGATTAAATTTTGATTTTCCAGTTTCTGGCTTCTTTCTTTTCTGCGTCTCTTCTTTTGTTGATGCTTCCTCTTCCTTTTTCTCCGAATTGTTCCCTATTATGGTTTGTTTGTGACCGCAACATTCGCAAACACGCACCTATTCAATAACAACAATAACAAATGCAAACAAGCTGATTGCCTGCTCTCCTTCTTTTCTTGGATTGCAATTTAAATGAATTCGCCGCCTGTGATACGAGGGGAGCATAGCAGTGATTACAGAATAAAGTGGAAAAACGAGCAGGAAAAGCTATCCATTACAATTATTAATTGTATGTACGTAAGTTTGCAACCAGTGAAACACGTTTTGCCTTGATTCTACAGAGAAACAAGAAAAAGTAATGTACAGGAGTTGTTGTGCTAATGGGACATTCGTTTTCAATAGTCCTTCTGATAAGTGTAGTAGATATATAATTTGCTTCTCCAGTCTTATCTCTAAACCTAATTTCCACGCCAAACATCAATACTCTCCTCAGATATAACAACAGAACCATCTTCAGACTTGAATTCTTTCTTTTTGTTCATCCAAAGGAAAATTTGTTCTTTGATGTTTTTTGGGCAAAGTCCGGAGATATTACAATATATATTGTATTCTATTTTTGAATTATCAAAGGTATTTCAATTCAGTATCTTCAAGTTGTCGATTTCGATGAATGGGACCAAACATATATCAAATATTGTTGCTCATATCTCTCTTCTATTTGCTATAACATTGAAGTCGTCAACGCGCAATGGTTTATTGAATAATGAGCTTGTTTTTATCTTCGTGCATTATTCATTTGTTTTCTGTCCAAAATCAGTCGCAATCCATGTTGCTTATCCACACTATACGACAACACAACTAATTCCTCCCCAAACTCCCTCCACTGAAGGAATCCATTCCAAACCACAACTCATCCACTTTCCAACAAACACCCCAACAATCTCACCCTCAATTAGACCCGCTTTCTTGATTCCCAGCAGGAAAACCGGAATAATTCGACCATTCCGCGTACTGTCTTTGATCATACACCAGCCCATACAGCGAATACGACCCCTACGTCCCACAGTCTCCGCGCTCCCTACCGGATAATACAGCATCCCTGCTTCATTCATTGGCGGAGACGCGATCGGGATCTGCGGATACTCGAACCCCGGATACCCATAAAATATATCCTATTCCTCACGCCTTCCCTTCTCTTCTACATAATTGCTAAACGCACCCGTGTTCATCCCGTTCTCGTTCTTCAGGCCCTGCGAGTACTTCAGCGCGTCCTCCTCCGATTGCGCCCCATACCCAGATTCCGGACCGCTCTGCACATATGTCACCAAACTCGGAAGGTGTCCCGAAGTCGTCGACGCCACCGACGTGGAAACCGCGGGGATGGCCGCGGGGGAGCCCGAAGACGCCGCGGGGGGCTGCGAAATCGAGGACAGAAGCGACGGCACTGCGGACGCCTCCATCGGCTGCGCCATCGGATTGACCATCGGCTGCGCCATGGGGTTGACCATCGGCTGGGTCACTGGCTGAGCCATGGGCTGCGTCATGGGCTGCGTCATGGGTTGAGCCATCGGTTGAGCCATCGGTTGAGCCATCGGTTGAGCCATCGGTTGAGCCACTGGCTGCGTCATGGGCTGCGCCATGGGGTTGACAAGAGGCTGGACCATGGGGTTGACCATGGGCTGCGCCATCGGCTGGCCCATCGGCTGACCCATCGCACTGACCATCGGCTGCGCCAGGGGCTGGCCAATGGGCTGGCCCATCGCGCTCATCATCGGCTGCGCCATCGCACTGACCACGGGCTGCGCCATCGCGCTCATCATCGGCTGCGCCATCGCCGGTCCCGCTCTCTCCGCCATGCTCGGCGTGCCGAACGTCCGCTCCGGCTGCGGCGTCGCGGGCAGCTCCGCCTCCGCTGTGGCCTCGCTCGCCTTCGCGCCCTGCTGCAGCGGCGACGCGGGCTTCGGCTTTTCCTTCGGCTGCACGGACCGCAAACAATGGCCCCAGCTCAACACCTTGGGAGCCGGGGGCTGCTGCGATGGCTGGGGCTGCGAAGGAGAAGAAGAGGGAGAAGGAGAAGAGGGAGAAACAGGCGAAGCGGAAAGGGGCTTGGAAGGCTCGATGGCGATCTCGTGGCTGCCCGCGACGGCCGCAGACGAAATGGACTGAGGCTTGGGCTTCGGGGAGGGAACGGTGGGACGAGCGGGGTGAGCGGTGCGGGAGTAACTCCGTTTTCCTTTTTGGACGGAGGCTGTGGTGGAAGTGGGTTTTGATTTGGATTGTGATTTGGGTGCGCGAGGCCTTGAATTTGATGTATTTGTATGAGACGATGGCTTTGAAACGGCAGGCTCTTCTTCAGAAGCAGGCTTTTCCTTTTTCTTCTAGAGATGAATGCAACTTACAAAGACTACGCGAGCCGACTTTGTAGTCACTTCTTGCCACTCTCCGCCATTGTCGCCTTGCTGTGAATACAGAAAATTGACCACCTACACTCATTCCACAAAGCTTCAATGCAGACACTTAGTTTCGTTTCGTCGCCTTTGCAAGAGACGATTAGACTTTTAAGTTGTGCATCGGATGTACTTTCTGGAACCATTCCTCGTAATTCCTCGAACTAGACTTTTACACGGCCTTCACCACTTTTACTTTTTTCATTTGTTCTTCTGTAAGCGGGTTCTTTGGCTGCATATACTCCTGATACTTTTTTCCTTGAGAATACTGTTCTTCAAAATTAGCTGATGTGCTATCCATTTCTTATTGGTATTTTATTTATATTCTATCTCTTAATTGATTGAGCGTACACATACACGATATTACTCAGCGATTGAAGAGAATGAGATAATCACTTGAAACTCAAAATCGCCTCTATTTTTGGAATTCGCGTTGCACAAAAGAATAATGTATCTCCATCTATGTAGATGCATTCAGATTCTCATCTAGAGTATTTGGGACATTTTATATAGACTGTTTATTTAGTATTCATTGATCCCTCTCCGTGCAGTGGTTCATATTTATCATAATACAACTGATCGTGCTGTGAGTGGTTATTCCATAGTTTTTTTTATTATGCAGAACGTCCCTACTGAAGATTTGATTAACGAGTTGGAGCGCCGTGTGGACTGCTCCAAGAGAAGAGGTGTGAGAACTATTCTCATTGGTAGGATCTTGTTGTTTCTTGTAATAATATTAGGACCTCCTGGTTGTGGAAAGGGTACCCAAGCTCCTGAAATCAAGAAGGAGTACTGTGTTTGCCATCTTGCTACTGGTGACATGCTCCGTGACGCTGTTGCCAGAGGTACAGATTTTCTCTATGGGTAATGCCTAGGTACTGAGTACGGTCTGCGTGCCAAGGAGGCCATGAATGCTGGTCAGTTGGTGAGCGACGATATTGTGGTGAACATCATCAAGGACAACATCAAGAGCCCTGCTTGCCAGAAGGGTTTCATTCTGGATGGTTTCCCTCGTACCATCCCCCAGGCTCAGATGGTGCTTCTTTTCTCTTCTCTGCTCATTCCTAGCTCGATGAGATGCTCGCTGCTGACGGAATGAAGATCGATGCCGTGCTGGCTTTCGATGTCCCCGACAGCAAGCTTGTGGAGCGTATTTCGGGTCGTCGCGTGCACCCTGCTAGCGGCCGCTCGTACCACATCGTGTTCAACCCCCCCAAGGAGGAGGGCAAGGATGATGTGACTGGTGAGCCTCTGATTCAGCGCAAGGACGACTGCCCTGAGGTGCTGGAGAAGCGTCTGGCGGAGTACCACAGCAAGACGGCTCCGATCATTGACTACTACGGTGAGCGCGGCTTGGTCAAGACCATTCAGGCGGATGCTCCCATCGAACAGGTGTGGAAGGACATCACGGCTGCTTTGGGTGAAGCGGAAATCTAATCTTTTTAGGATGGATCGTAATGGGGTGTTTGTTGAATGAACGGTGAAAGAGGGGAGGGTGGAGTTGCAGAGTTTGTTGATCAGCGATGATTGTTGTTGTTGTTGTTGAGATGAGGAACTGTGATATTCAATGGCTTCACAGCTTGGTGATTCAAGGATTGGATGCACCTCTCTCATAACCAATACAACAAGCAAGCATCGAGCGTATTCTAACAAACAAACCATCGGTGAGGATGAATACTCTCGGGTTGAATCGCCTCCACGTCATAATCATGAGTACGAAATCGGAACATATAGCCACTTCGCTCCGATTTCTCGCTCTTTGTGATCTATTTCTCACCATACTCTCGCACGCACTACCATATCACGGAAATAGGACGCCACATTCTCGTTTAGCAGACCCATTCCACCGACGCGAGCCAACATCAATGGGAAATAAAGGCGATCTATTCACAAACTACACACAAACGAGTACTTGTCTCCAAACATATAGAGAGGTATTTGGGGATGAAGGGCGCTGTCACATTATTGCCATAAATCAACACGCCGTGATAGGATTTCACATCAGGGTCATTTCGGTCGACTTGGACCGAATCATCACGTAATATCGACACACTCTTGCTTACATAGCTGTGAAACACAACTGGACGATCCACAGACTACACAGAAAGCAACATTGACGAACTTACGTTGATAAAAATATAGTCATTGTCAATTCGGGATATGTACTCGTAATCTTCATTAATTCGTATGTTGTTCTTGCGAAGATTTCTCCAAAACTGATCTTCCTTAATAGGGTCGGCTCCTTCAAAGAACGGTTGAGCATTCGCTTCGTTAAACACATTTCCCTTCAATATCAAATAATAAAAAGCAACAATCCACCTTCAGGTCAATCGTCGCAAATTGTTGATGATTAGCTAATGCAGACGCGTAAAAGGCGGGTGACTTAGTAGCAAATGAGCGAGCAAATCGAGCTATCATTTTCTAAAATCAAATCTTTCTCGGAGCATGTTCATCGTTCACGATCATCGTGAAATTCCGGATATTCTACGCGATCCACAAGATGAAAGAGTTGAATTAGCGTTTATGAGAAGGTTTTTGTGTTTTCGGCGTATCACGTAGAGCTCCGCAATTCCACGGAAATATCTCTATTATCTGCTCCAATGTGAGCCAGTCAAATATATTAAAGACGGAATATTTGCTCTTGAATGAAAACATGCTCAATTCGATTCAGGGAATATCTTGCTTTCGTCACAGTCCGCTCCATATTCTAAGTTTGAGCAATAATGCTCTGGAAACGATCCCAGAAGAAGTATGCTACACACACTCTCTTGGATCTAGATCACGACACTTTCCAATCTCACACATCTGTATCTTGACGATAACAAGCTCAGAGAATTCCCAAGCGTGCTACTTCAGTTGTCTCAGCTCCAATATCTCCAACTCTCTGGAAATCGTCTGTGTGAACTTCCAGAGCTAACAAATTGCTGGGAGCATTTGGAAGAGCTTCTCTTAGACAAGTGTCAATTGACTGTATTTCGCTTCGTTTCGCCTGTTTCCTAGTCCGTTCCGGCCTCTCTTGCCTTGCTTCATAACCTTCGCATTCTGAATCTGGGAAATAATCTTCTGGAAGAGCTTCCCGCCTCTCTGTGTGAATTACAAAACTTAGAAAAACTCATATTAAATAGCAACAGGCTCACTTGCATTCCGCAGTTCGTGGGTCAGTTATCCAATCTCACAGTGCTGATTGCGAATTCAAATCAGATCGAGACTGTTCCAGAGGAATTAGCTGGTATGTGTGTGCAGGCTTTGTGAGTAGTAGATTTGAAGAATTTGAAAACTCTTTGGCTAGCAAATAATAAAATTAAAGGTTTGCTGCTTAAATGAAGTGATAACCATAGAATTGGGTCCTCGCTGTATTGAAGTTTTACTCCAGCGCGAAGATGCAAAGGAAGTGTTCTTTGTTTGTGTTGTGATGAGTTTTAATGATAGGGTAATCCGATTTTTAACTATGCTGTTTATTTCCAAAAAACAAACCGAATTTTTCTACGATTTGACTAAAGTCTATTTTTCCTATTCTTATTTCGATTATTGGATACATATGAGTTATAATACGGATATTAGTTACCACAGACTACGAAACCACTACCGATTCTGGAGATCTCAAAATACTGTAGAAGGAGTGAGTCTTGGAGCGTTTTCTAATGAACAGAAGGATGAGTTTTTCAATGGGCTCGAGGACCTTGGATTATGTAAGACAGTTGAAGATTTTTGGCAGATATACCTGTCGCTTCCTATTGTTGGTACCAATAACGCTTCTCGTTATTATTTGTTCAAAGTCCGTCGCTCTATATCACTCATCATTGTAGAATAACATTGAACCTACATGGGAACACGAAAAGAATGCCCAGGGCGGAAGAGTGATTGTATCCATTAATCGAAAGGACCTAGCTCCGTATTTATGGGAAGTTCTGGTAATGTTTCGTTCTGTTATTGAAAATAGCTTCTCACCACGATCGGTGAACAGTTTGATGTGGGAAGCGAGATCTGTGGAGTATCCGTAACAATTAAGCGTAACACATGTACTTTTATGGTGTGGAACAAGACAGCAACGTTTGAGCAAGCTATCCACAAAATTGAGTAGGCTTTCGAAAATGGTTTTCTCCTAGAATGAAATTGCGGCTTGTATGGAACGCTCCGCAGCATCTGCGAATGGTTTACAAGATAAATAAGGTAGCGATGGAGAAGGTTGCTGTTCCTGATGCTCCGGTTCGAATGGTCGCAGACGCCTCTGAAGAGTAGTGTGTTCGTTCTGCTCGTGAGACCTAGTAACAACTATAAATCAACAAATCGTTTCGCCTTTTTGAGCGATGATGACGCAGAAGACGAGAATGCGGGAAACAGTGATTCTGTGAATTAGAAGTGTTTGTTTTTAATCGATTTCGTCGAAAAGGAATAAGAATAGAAAAATGAAATCTGAGTATTTTGAACCATATAAACCAAATCACCCCCATCACTGCCACTTTCGTCTAAGAATTAGTATTTGTCCAGAACAAGTCGTGTGACATCGATATGGCTCCTCCTGCTCCTGCTGGTGCTGCAACTATCAGTAGGTGTCTGTTTCCGTTGAATTCTTGTGTTGCTCCTGGGAATGTTGAACTTACGGGCTTTAGTTTATCTCCGTGCTGTTGGTGGAGAAAGTGCTTCTCCCGCTGCTCTTGCTCCTAAAGTCGGTCCTCTCGGTATGGTACTTGTCTTTTACTCGAGGAATCACTTCCTAGGCCCCCAAGAAGGTGGGTGATGATATCCAGAAGGCCACTATGGATTGGAAGGGTCTGAAGATCACTGTGAAGCTGACCGTTGTGAATCGTCAGGCTACCGTGCTCATTTTGATCCTATTTGACTCGTAGGTGGAAGTGGTTCCTAGCGCTTCCTCTCTGATCATCCGTGAGCTCAATGAGCCTCCTCGTGATCGTAAGAAGGAGAAGAACGGTAGCTGCATGGAAGGGTGGAAGCTGACGTGTAGTGAAGCACAACGGAAACATTACTCTCGATCAGGTGATCAAGGTGGCCAAGGTCCTCCGTGAGCGTTCCTATGCCAACAAGCTGGCTGGAACCGTGAAGGAGGTGCTGGGAACCTGCTAGTAGGTGTGAGGCTTGTCGGTTACGCGTAGTTCTGTGGGCTGCACCGTCAATGGACAGCATCCTTCTGACATTATCGCCGCCATCGACAATGGAGAAATTGAGGTGCCTGAGGAATAAGTAACGTGTGGATTGTTCGATGGACATGATTTTGGAGTGTTTGTTGCATACCTCTACAACATTTTTGATGGAGTTGTCCGCTAAGTCTCTAGAGTGTCTTGAGATCTTTCGGAAACGTGTGTTTGAAAGCGATGAACACGTCCGAATGGTCGGACAGGCAACGATGGACATGCTTCTCCAGAAAACGAATCAAAGTCTAATTTCCCATTGTACTCCATCTGCTGATGCATCCAGTGAAAATGAAACGGAGGACGCCAAGTGTCAATATGGATTATCGGTTCTTTTTCTCCAATCGGCTCGCCATGGATTGGAAAGTGAAGAGATACAGTACTCTCTTCTTTTCTTCGTTTGAAACCTAGGGATTACTTGAAACAACTGGGATGGAGCGAACCTAAAACATCTATTATTGCTGTACTATATGAATCAAATCGCGAAGCGCTCCGGAAACGAATCAACTTCTGCAGTGTGTCTTTAGTGGACATTTGACTGTAGAGCCATTATTACCTCGACTCACAGGCGTGTGCTGCACTCCCCTCATCCAAAAGAGTTCCATTACAGACAAGGGAGTTGACTTTTCGAACAATCTATCGCAGTATCGTGTTGAATTTAGCGTAGACAAAGCAAACATGGAATAATCGGTAGTACGAGAATGTGGATGGAACCCCCATGTCCATGTCGCGAGATTTAAATTCAGTACAGCTTGAAGTACCTATTTTCAAACTTTGGCTCATTGAGCAGAACATCATTCGGGAATTCAGCAGCGCTTTGAATCAGTGCGATTTTCTTCTGAATAGCCAGGCAAAGAAAGAACGTTCTCCCTAACCAAAATTGTGATTGTGTTTGTTTTCTAAATGAAATATGGAAATACATTTACTGGTCATTACATTTTTTCTGCCAAACATGAATGGTGATTATGTTCAACCATTAATTGAAAGAGCTAAGTCTATCTTTAAGAATCTATATGGTGACGAAGCAACCATCATTACATCTGCCCCTGGCAGACTCAACTTTGGTGGAGAGCACTGTGATTACATGGGTGGGTATGTCCTCCCATTCCCAACCACCCTGGTAGGGGTAGTTGCTGGCCGACCGGTTCCTGGCAAGGTAATCTGTACAAAGCCTATTTTTTGTAGCGTTGCCGTGTATACTCAGAGTCTTACAAAGAGATGATTGAATTTGATTGTGATGAGTCCTTGGAGAGAGGACCAAAGGGTGAATGGGGAAATTATTTCAAGGGAATCTGTCACTTCTATTTACCAGAGATGCCTAATCATATGCTGGGGTTTGATATCGTTTTTATTTCCAATGTTACAATAGGTGGCGGTATTAGTAGTTCTGCAGCTGTCGAGGTATAGAGATTTGGGGGATCTCTTAGAACTAGATATCAACCTGCTTGTTTATTGAGCGATGTTTGGGAATTACTTTGGATCCGAAGGACCGTGCCATGCGAGCCCACGATGCAGAGCACGAATTCGTCCAAATGCCTTGTGGTGTGATGGACCAGCTGATTAGTACTTGTGGCCAGTATGGTTCCATCTCTCTGATCGACTGCATTTCTCACGATATTGAGCATTTCGATATTGATCCACACTCTCCGACCGTCGATTCTCGTAAGGAGTGGCCCGTGACGATCTTGAAGCTGTTTGTTCATGTGGAGCACAAGCTTGTAAACAGCGAATATACAACGCGTGTCGCTGAATGCCTCGAAGGCGAGGCGATTTTGAAAAAACATTTTAACATAAACGGAGAAACCAAAGTGGAAGCGCTTTGTCGTGGCCCCACTCTTGAAATGTTGGAATCGATTCGTGGTGAAATGCCTGAAAACGTGTACAAGCGATGCTTCCATGTTGATTCTTTGCTCTTCTTTGTGAGAAATAGATGATTCGAGAGACGCAACGAACGCTCCGCTATGTCGAGTTGATTCGCGAAGGCGATTGGGATGAGATCGGTCGGCTCTTTTTCGAGTCGTACGACGACTCACGCGATTTTTTCGAGAACGGCCATCCCGATATCTCTGCGTGCATCGACGTGCTGCGGTCGATTGGGCGGGAAGGAGGCGTGTATGGAGCGCGAATGCTGGGTGGCGGCTGGGGAGGCAGCATTCTGTGTTTGATCGAGAAGGGACGCGAGGACGAATTGGTGCCGCTGATTCAGAAGAAATGCGATGAGAAGCTGGGTCGTGCGAATAGCTGTGATGTGATGATCGTGAAGGAAGCTGGAAGCGGAGCGATGGTTTGGGAATAGTCCGGTCGGTCCGCTATGTTTATGTTTGTTTGAATAAACAGAATAACAGGATGAAGAGGGAGGAGGAGGAGGATGAGAAAGAAATGCATGGAGGATTGGATGCGAAGGGTCGCCGACTGTGTCGGGAATCGCGAAGTGGCTCGCGAGTTTCACGCATTTCGGCGATAGCGCGCTGTTCACATCGGTCACTTCGATCTTCTGAAGCGATTTCAGCGCGTTCTGCGACGCGGAGAACCAGCGAAGCGACGGCAAATCGCAGAGCGCCAACTCGACGAGCTGCGCACAGGCGTTTTCGCCGAAAGCGAGGACTTCCAGCGTGGGGAGATGGAGAAAACGCATCGTTTTACAGGAGGAGAAGCAGTCCTTTCCGCACTCAAAGCGCTGCAACAGAGGCAGCTGCTCGAGTCGCAGCGCGGCGCAGCAGCTGAGGTTTTCCCGCTCGAATTTGATTTGGGAAAGGCGCGGAAGATCTAGACGGAGAAACAGAGTGGAAGGAGCGACTTTGAAAGCGGATTTCGGAGGTGTAGAGCAGCGCTTTCTCTTCAAAATAAACCGTAGAAAGTCGAGGGAAGTCTGCAAAGGAGTGAGGAAACGAAGCAGAGTCATACTGGAAAGTTGGAAAACGTTGATGAACTGCACGGAGCTGGCTTGGATGCGGAAGGTTTCCAGCCCCACCATGCCTACAAAACATGACAATGGCGCGAACATACCGTTCGTGCAGAACGCAGAGAGACACAGGAAACTCTTCGGCCCGATCTGAAAGCTCTGCAGTCGCGGGACATCTGTTCGTAATTCCAGAAATCGCGGGTTTTACTGTTCATCGTGAGATTGAAACAGCGGACGAAGACTTTGGTTCCCAGCTCGATCGATCGAATTCGCGGAGCGTCTAGTGCTTAGCGTGATCGCCGATCGAAACCTAGAATCGAGAAGTAGCTAAATTCGTAAAAGGAATCGGAGCCGATGGACACGGATTCTAAAGAGCGGCAATTCTGGATGCGGAACATCCGCGAGTTCATTTCGGTTAGGCGATAAAGCTCTTTTTTGGAGTTGCAGCAATTCTCGGCGATTCGAATCGACCGCAGCGATGGCAGATCGATGAAACACAAGGTTCGGATCACATGCAAGGAATCGGACATGATTTCGACTTCTGAAAGCTTTAGAAAATCATAGAGAACAAAATCGATGTCGATCGAACACAGGCAATGCTGGGAAATCACAATCTTGCGAACCATCCGGTTTACAACAGGGAACGATTCAGAGTATTCGCCAATAACCAAAGTGGAACTAAAACTCGAGCTGGGGAACTGACTCGCTAACAAAACGTTCCGGTTGTTCCGTATTCTTGGCCTCACGACTTTCTTTGGCTTGTTGGTACTCTGTACCACAGTCTCTTTTTCATTTGGAGGAGGAAACCCATATCGAAAGCGCTTCCGCCTTTCGTTTAGATCATTGTTAGTATCTTTTGATGTGACATCTAAGATATTTGTGATAACTCCATCTGCAACATCCATGTAGGCGAGTAATCGTTTTGCAACTACATCGAATATCACGAGCTCCCCATCCACGATGCCATTCTTCCAGGTGGATTGGATCACGATTCGGTCATTCATTCGCATAATACCGGGTCCATGAGGCAGAAGTCCTGCTTTATCGCCGTAATATGCATCATAGTTGGACAGATCACACGAATCTCCGACAGAAGCTTTGAGTATGTGATCAATTTCCTGTTGAATGATTCCATTCTTCTCTTCTGAATTCTGCTTCCCTTTGTCTTCCAGAAATGAAACGGAAACAGAACTCATGCATATACCAAAATCTGTTTGACTATTTGAGTTATTTTCAAAGTATTTACATAACATAAATATTTGTTGTAATTTGTGTGTATTGATGCGAAATAGGGTAAAACGGACATTGTTGGTGAGGAGACAGAAAATTGAAATCGGATGGTATTGTGTTGTGATGTGCATTCCTTGTAATCCTCCATCCCTAAAATTCAAATATGCTTAAACTTTGAAGATCCTGCACTCCATTCACGATTGCGTTTCTCTGCTCGACTATCCAACAAACACATCAATAAATCGAATTCTGATACGACTTCACACACGACAGCGTCTGCACCAAATTCCAATACAACTCTCCAAATCCACTGCTAATCGTGTACCCATCGCTCTTCATATCCCCTCCTTCCTTCACCAAATCAAATCCCAATTCTTCCAATCGGCTTCGATCGAACCCCAGAATCTTCTCGCGCAACACATCACTAATCTCCTCTTTCTTCTTCGTTTCCACGTTTCCACCACGTTTCCCCATTTCCTCGTTTCTCCACACATCCCGGATCACATTTCGGTGCAATAACCGCACTTCCAAATTGCCCCCCATCGCGAACTCTTTCCCCGCGATTACCGCCACACGCGCCCCCATCAACTCCGCATCCATCAGCCGATTCCCCGCGGAAAGCTCATCCCGATCGTCGAAGCAGATCCGCAGCGCCTGCGTCTACCCGTCACTCCCCGCGGGAAACCCCACATCCCCCAGAGCGTCCAAAAGTTCCGCGGTTTTCGCGCGCGCCGCTTCGGTTTTCTCTGATTCAAAAACCCGATCAATTGGGGTACCGGTGTTGAGAACGACGACGTCGAACGTGGTGATTGGGTCGGGGAATAGTATTCCGGACGAATGGCCGAAGAGTTCGAAGAGAGAGCCCACGATGCGACTCACGCCCAGACCGTAGCAGCTAATCGTGGAAACGTGGAAAAGGGATACCCCATTTGGAGGGGAGAACCGCGGTTCTGGAGATTGAAGAGAGTGGAGTAGCGATCGCCGAGAACGAAGGAGTGTCCGAGTTCGAGGGATTGCTGGACTTGGATGGTTCCGTGAGGCTGGTCTGAAGCGTTTTTGCTGCAGTGGGAGCAGAAATCGCCCGATTGGGGAAGACAGAAGGAATCCATCTGGATTTTGAATAGAGCCGAAATATTGGAGGGGAAGAGCTCGGAGAGACTCAAATCCACGATTAACTAGCTGTTAAGCTATGCAATCACCGACTTCGTGGTCTGCATCGATTTTGTCTGTGTTTTTAAAATCGCCGGCTGTGAGCTGAGTGGAGTACTTCGAATTGAACGATGAAACGTTGATATCTCTACGAACAAGGCTTTTCACAATCTTCACTTTCCCCGCGGGACAATGACCTGTTTTGAAAAGTCGTTTTTCTCCACTGTGAACACCGAAAACAATTGCTTGATGTCCTCTCTGGCGTCTATTAGCGAAATAAAATCCTCTCGCGAGCGAAGCACAGAAATGTCACAAAGGAGCTGATTAAACGTTTCTGAAAAGAAATAATCGATAACCGTGGGAATAGAGGTGGAGGATGTGTATAAAGACTTATATCCACACTTCGAGCACCGTGTAACACGATCTTCTCCGACACCACAACAACATTGATACTCTTTGGAACGCGATCCTCCCATAATTCCATTATCTGCTTCAAGTGCTTCTACCGGGATTTCTAGTTCACGGAAAATATTTGAAAAGCAAGTATCGACCTGATCAAACGTTTCGTTCGCTTTCTTCAAATTTGTGTCAAAGGAGTACAAATCCATCATTAAAAACTCTTTGCTACGCAACACGCCCGCTTTTAGACGCATTTCATCCCGGAACTTGGGAGAGGTTTGATAGAGCATCAGCGGATAGTTCGAAGGAGTTGCCTATTGTCAATCAACACAAAAACAACAACAAGGTCCTTTACTAACTCGGTGATTACTTCCTCATTTGTGGGACTCAGGCACAATTCTTGGCCCTTGCGATCTTTCAACGTGTACAATTCTTTGCCGATTTGATCACGACGACCCGACTTCATCCAGCGATTTAGGTTCTGAACGATTGGCATTTGCATCTTCTGAGCTCCAATTGTTTCCAAATTTCGATCGATGATCTTTTCCACCTCATCCAGTACACGTTGACCTAGGGGAAGAAACGAATACATTCCCTGTTCTGTTTGATGAATGTATCTATAGAATTGAATATTGGAAATTGCAAATACCCTCCTTTTAGGAGCAATCTCGCGTACCGAGGCAAGTCCATTTTCCCTAAGGAGCTATCCTGGTCGTAAGTTCCTTTTCAAAGTCAAATTACCTTTTTAGTCGGTGCGAATATTTTCGAGCGGTAAACGATATTCGTGAACTCTCTCCGGAGTATCCCTGTTCGTAGCATATCAGTATCAAATGCAGGATAGTGGAAATAAGGAAATAGTGGATAATGATGTGGTATATCTTCTGTCTGCAATAAACAAACAAAACTTATAGTTTCTTTACCTTATTTACAAGTGAATCCTGTAAATTACGATCCCAACATCTGAAACCTACAAGAATCGACAGAGATTGCGCCTGTGTCTCTGTTTTCTTTTGCTTCATCAAAATTTCAATCCTATCCTTCGTCTCTTCTTTTCTCTCCGCCTTCGAAAAATGAGAAAGCGACTCATCTCTCAACCGCTTGATCATCTGCGCAATGTGTTCTTTGCTCGCTCCTCCACTTTGAATTCGCTTCAAATCCATCAACCCTTCCTACACTTCACGTTTTTCCTCTGTTTCTACAATCAGCAGCTCCCTCTCAAACCCAAAAAGTGTGTTTTCATCCTGTTGAAAAGCCTTCATAACGTCGCGAAGCAACGAAACGTCTACTACAGAGAGCTTCAAGCATTCAGGATGATGTTGCACACATCCCCGCACTGCTTCTCTCCATGCTACGCAAATACTTGCTGCGACGAGGATTCGTCTGGAAGATTCCTTCTTCCTTTTCTTTTCGGATTGCTGCTGCTCGAAAAGCGATTTTTCCTTTTGGTTTCGCTTTGTTTCGGGGTTGAAATTCAATAATTTCTTTACGATGCGAAGGAGCTCGCGAATTGTGAATGAGAGAGCGGTTGTTTTGGACTGCTCTCTTCGTTGAAGCCATAAATAGGTGTAGAGAGTGTGTTGAGATTCAAAGAAAGATTGGTGGGAAAGGTTTTGAATCAAGATCGTGGAAAGCGATCTAGATAAAAGTGGAAATGGAGGTTTACGTGGAGAAGAGAAATCGATTGAGAACGATCGGAGAAAGGGAAAGGAAATCTCGCTCTCGACAGAGAAAGGAAATCACTGAATTGATTTGATAGGTATCTCTGTGTGTTGGAGAAACGACTTCGACCGGCTGATATAAAAGTGAGTCCAACACAGAATGGGGTGAAAATGTGAATCCTTTTTTGGATGGATTTGAAGAATGAGAGATGAGTGGATTTGAATCCGAATTTATATCCAAATTCAAATTCGAATTCGAATCGATGTTGGATGGTGTTGGATTTCCAATTTCATTCATGTTTTCAATTTCATTTTTCTGCTTTTCACGATCAATCGGATTCGTATTGCTCGTGCTTTCCAATTCCTTATCATTTTCATTTTCATTTTCTCTCTTTTCACTCCCAATTACAAATAATTCATTCTCAATTTCAAGTCTTTTATTCCCCATTTCTCTTCCATTTTCAAATCGTTGATTCCCCATTTCAACTCTCTTCTTCTCCTTCCCATTCAATCCATTCGGCGTCATTTCCACGTGCACTCGTTTCTCTCTTCGTTCTTGCGTCAGCGATGGAAACAAGCGATCATCCAGCGGCGTTTCTCGCACCTCCAAAGGCTGGAAATAGGTCCCCAAGCGCACGAAATCAGTGTAAGCAGAGTACAACTCAGACGGTTTGTAATCACGGCGAATCAAAAATTGCATAAAGTGAACGATGTTCAGAAACTCGCGATTATGTTGGGTTGAAGGAGCGATCTGTTCTTCGTCCACGTGGAGAAAAGATTGAAAATAATCCACCATCTGCTGCCACTCTGCTCCATCGGAAGCTTTCTCTGACAACTCCTGTTGCGCGGGCAAAGACTTGGGATGAACCGGAATATTCTCTAGAAGTCAAAAGCAGGACTCCATAAATACGTATCACATCAGAGTTTGAAACATCGCTTTTCAGGTAGTTTGCTAGCAGCGCAGAAATTGCTTGTTTTGCCTTTATAGACAGGGCAGAATCACTCAATGGGTCACGCTCAGGAGGAAACAATTGAGCTACAGACTCACATGTGAAAGCAAACACAATTACAAAGCTCGCTCGATATCAACTCTCTGTTCATCCTTCTTGAAAGTCAATGGTGAACACTAGAAAGCCAAAAGGTAGCGACAGGTACCTTTCGTTCAATGCAGAGTCGAATTGTTACAGTATTAAAAAAACCTTATCGAAATGTCGATTTAGAATTCTATTTCAGAATAAAGGATTGTTTTCTTTGGGTCCTGCTCTAACTCCCTAACCAACTTTTTTCACTTTCCACTCCGAGACAGTAAAAAACAAGGAATCTTCGAATTAGAAGTGCAACAAGTAGATTTCTTTCAAGAAAACAACATTCGCGATTATTACAAAAACCAAGCGATACTTTGTCTTCCCAATTTTCTCAACAATAAAGAGCAAGAAGGGTTTCGTGGTGGTGTAATAGTCTTTTGCTTGCTGTATACGATAAATCTGTTACATAACGCTATTTGAAATGAGCTCTTGGAGTCAAACCTTAGTCGAGGTTCTGAATGTTTGTCATGGAATAATGTGTCATGTCATAGTGGATAAATGAGCCGATTTCCTCAGTTATCGACACCTTATATAATACAATCTGGAATGGATATTCGTTGGATGTCCGTCTACTTCTGTCTTGCATGTTACGAGATAATATCCTCACACTTCCAAAAGTTTGGTCTATTTTGGTTTTCTACCTTCTAGCGACTGCTAGCAATAGCTCTTTTAATAGCAAATACCGAGGGCGAACCATCCTCAGATTCAAAATTCCTATATCAGCTTTTCGACATTCTTGATGTTGTAATGTTTCGTATTTGGATGTCACCGCATAGAGCGAATCAAAAGCCGAACGATGGGCCTGTTTTTATGCCATCAACGGCGATCTATACAAAGCCCCCATAAAAGTATTCTTTGTCCCTTGAATTTTTCAATTTCTAGAATTACTCCGTCAGTGAAATCGTCAGCAATATCGATCTCTACCTCGAGAAACATCCCGTCACTGATGATGTTCTCCGTTTTTCTCCTTCTTTTGAATTTCCAGATCCTCCAATCCATCGAATCCATCAAACGCGCCTATTACCGTGCCCAGCTCTCCTCCCCCGAGTTTCTTCCCTTCCTCTCCTTCGATCCCTCCGCCTTTCCTACCCCCACCCCTCCACGTTTCCACGTTTCCACGTTTCCACGTAGAAGAAACGTCCTTAGAGGCGTACGCCGCTTCCTTCGCCGCGCAGCCTTCGCTTCTTCTCTGCTGTCCCCCTCCCTTCGACCGGCCGCCGCTCGATTTCCCGCCTTCCCGCGAGGAATTCTGGTTCGTGCCCCCGCCCCCCGCTTCCACGCCTTCCCCGTTTCTCTTCGCTCCCGCGGTTTTCGTTCCGCCGAAGCGAGAAACCGTGCAATGGAGTCGGTTGTGGACCGAATCGCTTGCGACCGACGAAATCGACCGGGTTTGAATCGTGGAAACCGTGGAACCTAGATGGCGAGCGAGGAATCCGCGGTTCGGAGTGTGGTGTCGGAGCTCACCGCGGGGAATGAGGAGGAAACGCGGGAACGAAGTTCTGCGAGTCTGCATCGGAATTTGGTTCTGTGCGAGAAATTGGCGGCAAATTCTGGCGGGTCGGAGTTGGCGCGGATTCTGCTTCGCGAGTCGGATCCGAGCGTGGAGAGTCTGGAGTTCGCGAGCTGGTTGGTGGCGAAGGAGAGGCTGTCGAAGGAGGAAGTGGGCGCGTTTGTGCGCGAAATGGTCGGAAAATTGTGCGGAGAAGGGAGAGAAGAGGAGTGGAGCCATGTGGTGAAGTGCGTGTGCGTGTTTGTTGTGGGGCTGTGCAGGATGAAGAGGCTGGAAGAGAGCGTGGGAGAGGGGAGAAGAGGTGAAGTGTAGGCGGTCCACGATGCGTTGATTGATTTGAGGGAGGCGTATCCGGAACAGATGGAAGTGGAATATATGTTACACAAATTGTATGGGAAGGGGGATTGCTTTGTTTGAGAGATACACGTGAATGAATGAATGAATGAATGAATGAATGAATTGGGATGGTGTTGAGGAGGAGAATGAAGAAGTGAAAAAAGAGAAGCAGGTGAATTATAGAAGTGAAGGGATTAGGGAGATGAGAGTATAGAGAAATAGAAATTACAAACTTGAAATGCAATAAATGTAATGATAATAGCAATGAGCAAGCTGTCTATTTGTGGACTCTATCATTTCAAATCCAATCATTCATTCACTCATCAATTATCCATCATTCATTCACTCATCATTTTTCCATTTCCATTTTCGAATCACACGTTTGTAACAAACACAACAATCACTAAACATATCAAGATCATCATCCACCGCCTTCACTTCCTGCTTCTCCTTTCTCTTCTTCTTCCTCGTCGCCTCCGTTCCCGCGTGCGCCATCGACTGCTTCAGCAAATCCAACACCGCACGCGACGGAATCGCCATCGCGCTCGCACTGCCCAGTCGCATGCAATCTTCTTTGCTGTGAACGATCGTGTTCGGAATCTCGTAGAGAATCGATTCTGCGTCGCCTTCCACTTTCATGGCGTACGTATTTCGCCCCTTCGTGAAAAAATCGCGGGCAGGACTGGGAGTGAGCCAATCAATTCGAAAAGAAAGTACGTTGTAATGGAAGAGTTTTCAAGTTGAGCCGCACGATCAAAGAGGATTGTGTGAATGTGTTTTGCCATATCGGTTTCATATTTCTCAGTGTGTAACTTTGGATGAATGAACAACAGAACAAAGGTACCAATAACTCGTGCTTCGCTTCTTCCTTTTGCCGTTTTTCCTCTTCTTCCTGCGCGATCTCTTGTCGTTTCTAGTACTCAGTACTCCCAGTAGTGATTCAAACCTTTTCCAATAAAATCATATCCAAACCCTTGATCAAGTGGGTACGCGATTCATCACCTCCCAACAACCGCAATTCCTCCTCCGTCAAATCTGCATAATCTTCAGGAAGAAGGCCCTCGTAATCACGATCATATCCCAACTCTTGCCGCTCCTTGGCTACAACTCGTAAAATCGACAGTTGCTCATACCTCGATCGCGATATGTGGATTGAACAGCTTCTTCCTCTTTTCGCTTTTTCTCGCGCCTTTCTTCAAATCGCTGCCGTCGTTCTTCATTTATGATCTCTTTCTAAAGAATTCAAATTGAAAAGTGAAGGCTTACTCGTTTTTGTGATTTCCGTCCTCTATATTCATTGTAAACAATCTTTTTAATCGATTCAGACGCACCCGATGAGAAGTTATTGTAATATGAAAGATTTGAACTCATCGTAAAAATAGTCTTATTATAGAGCCATAGTCTATTTAAAAGAATTGAGGGTAATGCGATTTCAATTTGATTTTTGGTATCAATCAAAACGCCAAGTCCATTCAACTCAGATTGAAGATACGCAAACAAGAATCACCACGAAAAATGGAGTTCAGAATTTGTATTATACAATTTCAATTGCAAGGAATTCAAAACAATTGTGAAGCAAGTAAATCAATGTGGTAGAAAGGTCATAATCGCGGTTAATTAAGATGATTCTACATCATGATATTGTACCTTTGATAATCATCTTATTTTGCTTCAATTTTTGGATATTGAACTAAAATATACCCAAAAAGATGGCTGCAGATAGTTTCGAAGCTACTGAACAAACTATGCGTACTCCAGGAGGAGCACTCGATGATCGCCTACTTGAAGAAGAATATCTGAAAGCGGAGAAGGGAAAAATGAATACTCTGGCGGTATTTATCGTTTCGGGAGTGCAAGTCGTAGTTCTGCCTAAATCTTATGAAAGGTATTGCAGGTACTGGATCTTTATCTGTTCCTTATGCATTTTCAAAAGTATGTGCTTCACGCTCTGTACAAACGTAGGTTGGTATTATCCCTGGAATTTGCTTATTCGCTCTGGTTTGCTGTATGATGGTTCTTGCAACTTATCAACTGATCGATATTCACAACAATATGGGAAATCGTCGAATCGTATTCTCTACTTTTTCTCTACTCAACTCCAGCTAGGTCTAAAGTCCATCAAAACAAATAACGTGTACGCTGAGATGGTCTACAACGTGCTTCCCCTTTTCTCCCAATTCATCATGTAGGTTCTGGGTACCACTGGCTATCGCTTCTACGTCCTCTTCTCTCTATTCACTTTATACGGCTCGAACGTGGGTTCTCTCATCGTCATGACCGACTTCCTCTCCGCCATCCCCTTCACCAGCGGCACTGCTCAGGACCGCCGCGTCTTTTCCCAATTCGTCCTCACCCTCGTTTCCCTCGCTCTCTGCCTCCTCAAGGATCCCTCGTTTCCACTTTTCCACCTTTCTCAGATAGACTGCTGGTCCCGGTTTCCTCGTTTGGTCTGATCGCCATCGCTTCCGGGTATCTCATCATGATCATGTACTTCCCCGCGGGAATCTCCACCGTAGTTACGGAATGACGCACTACCAAACGGCGTTCGAACCCGCGGATCTGTGGCCCGTGTCGTTCGCCGAATTCCTTTCGAACATCGGCAAGATCGTCTACTGCATGGGCTTCATCCTCTTCCTCCTCACCCAATACGTTCCGGTTTCCCCGTTTCTCCAATCTAGAAATACATCCGTCGCGACTGCCGTCGTCACGTGATTCGCTCGACGGCGATCTCCATTTCGCTGATGGCGGTGCTCTACTGCTTCATCGGCATCATTCTCTCGCAGTACTACAAGACCGTCGGTAGGTTCCCCGTTTCCCTGTTTCCCAGGCGTGCAGGACAACATCCTGAACTCGTTCCCGACCGACGGCGCGCTGGGCGTGATCATTAACCTCGCGATGATGGTGACGGTGGTGGGCGGGTTCCCGCTGTGGATGGAGCCGGTGAACGAGACGGTGGAGGGCGACGACATCGAGCACGGGAAGATCTTCATCAAGACGCCGAAGTATATTCTGCTGCGCACCGTGGAGGTGTGTCTGATGTCGCTGATCGCGCTGCTGATCCCCGCGTTCGGAACGGTGGTGGGACTGATCGGAAACTTCACGGATGTGCTGACCACGTTTACGTTCCCCGCCGTCATGCATATCGTGTTCTTTAGAAACAAGACGAGCCAGACGATTATGTATTTGGATTTGGGACAGCTGGTTTTGTCCGTGGTCATTATGATTATTTGCACTTCGCTTTCCTTGAAGGAGTTTATCAGATCGTAGGCTTGTTACTGTTGCGGTTGTTGTTGCGGTTGTTGTTGTTATATGGAATTCTTTTTGTTTTTACACACACGCGAGAATGGGTGGCATAGGAAGGAAGTCTTGTGGGACAAGGGTTGATAGATCTGTTATCTAGTACTGGAAATGGAATCTATACATTGGGAAATGCTCATTTTTAATAGGAACGAAAGGAGGTATACTGTGATCATGCGACCTTTACCAAAAAAAATGTAATCCATCATTGCAAATCGGTAATTGAGAACAATAGATTCCTTACAATACAGTTTCAAGTCTCTGAGTTTCACATTGATTCTCATCTGTCTTTCTCTCACTCCTGCTGCTATGTTCGCTAGAGCTGCGCGAGGTGGAAGTCGTATTGCCCAGAGGATTTTCACTACTCCAGCAACATCGGTGTGGGTACGGAGATCCTTCTCCAATGCTATGATCAATCATCCTATTCAGTTCGAGAGAAGGAATTGGATACGATGGAGCACTGTTTTAGGCGATGAAACAGGAAAGGAGCCTAGCGGCATTCAATCCGTATCGTCTTCAAATCCTTTTGACAAGTGTATTGAAAAGATAAGTGTAGTTTTACAGTTTCTCACTAATCCATAGGGTTATGAAAATCGGCCAATTACAGAGAATCTGCAACTCTTAATGGATTGTGGGCGCTATTCTCCGGGTGTCTTGCCTATCCAGGCGAGTATGTACAACAAACAAATCATGGACTTTATTGCTTACCTAAATCAAATCGTTTCCCCCGATCTCGTCGCATCCATCGATCGATACTACCTCATTCGATCCATTTGGTCGCTTCCTCGCCTCGGTTACACCTATGCCTCTTCCACGTTTTCCAATTCGTCGAACTCGTCGAACTCGTCGAATTCGTCGAATTCGTCGAAACGAAGCACCCATCTAATCGACTGCCTCCTCGAATCCATCCTCGTTTCCCCGTTTCCCCGTCCTAACCCACTAGAAAACCCCGAACTCACTCACCTGCAAAGAGTGGAGTTCTCTTCTCAAAGCTCTGGGGAAACTCAATTATTCCCCTTCTCCCGCCAATCTCCAGCGAATTCTGCAGGGAATCGACCACTCCCGCGGTTCTGCGACCCTCCAAGACCTCATCGACATTTGCTGGGGCTACTTGCGAATCCGAATTTCGGACCGAAATTCGCTTCATGACCGAAATCAGACCCAAACCGGCATGTCCCAATTCTTTCGCGATAACCGCGTTTTTGACGTATACCAACAATTGGGTACCTCCATTCTCAATGACCCCAATTCCCTCCGAAAATTGAGGCCGTGGGCCCGAATAGTTTTTTTTGACAATTAGGTCCCAATTAACCAATCTGGTCTACTGCTTGTCCTACTCGCGGTTTTCCAGCCGAAATGAATTGTAACTCCCTCGATCGGGTTTTGATCGATCTAGATTGGACAAAATCGGCCCGATTTTGAACGCTTCGCTCTCCCATTTCTCCATGACCGAAATCGCCACGATTTTCGCCGGCTATGCGGAGAGCGCCGTCCCTTCCCCGCGGTTATTCCGGAACATCTGGAAGAACATCGCGCACCGACTCCCCGAAATCCCCCCAAAAACCGCGGTTTCGCTCATCTATTCGAGCTGTCGAATTCGAAAGAAGGACGCGGCCGCCGACCCCCAGACCCAGCAGAGCGTCCTCGACATCGCCTTCTCGGGCGTTTCATCGCTCTCCGCGGTGGACTGCCTGCACCTCCTCACGGCCTGCAACACATTGGGGACATTCCCGCGGGACCCGATCATTGCGGTGATGGACAAAATCAAGCCGCAGATCGAGCGGCTGGGCGACGACCAATCCTTCACCACGCTGTGCACCATCGTAAAATCGGGGTGATTTTTGGAGTTCCAAATAAACCCCAGAATTGACTCGCCGTCGACGCTGTTCGTCTACAACGAGCTGTTTTCTCGGTATATCCGCGGGTACGATCATCTCCCCGCGAAGTCGGGCGTTACGTCGAATATGTTATGTCTGTTTCTTCGCTATTCGTTGACCGTGCGACCCACAGAAAGCGAAATGAAGAGTAGAAGCAGAAAGCGGAGTCGATTCCGCGCTGCGTCGACGTGCTGAAGCGCGATTTCAAGCAAAACCCGGAGTGCTACAACGCACGAGCCGTTTCCTCCGCGATCTACTCCCTCACACGATCGAGTTTCCACGTTTCCACGTTTGTGAGGCGTAGAAATCCACGAGAACGCGTTTCTGAAAGAGCTGATCATTCGGTTTGTTTCGTATTGTCTGCAGCGCGGCGTCGTGACCGAATTCGACATTATTTTTACTGTTTTTTTCCGCTCTTTCTGTCAACCAATCAGCTTTCGTCGCTCAAACTCCGCGTTCACGACACCGTGATTCAGCAATGCTTCCCTCCGTTAGGTTCCGCCGTGGTGCAGTGGTGCTTCAATCACGTGACTTCCATCACGCCGCACGTTTCTTTCAATGCGAGCAGCTGATTGGCTAGTTCATTTCGTTCCTGCTGCTCACGTTTCCGCAGCTCTACATGCCGACCAGCGAACTATTCCGCGTGTTCGATATTCGGTTTTCCAATAATCTGACCGATTTTTCGTGTTCGGTAAGAGTGGAAACGTGGAATCATGGGCAGGATATGATCACGGTGCTGAAGGGATTGGTGATCATGAAGAAGGGCAATCCGCTGCTCTTCGATTTCATTTATAAGCGGATTTCGGAGGAAGTCGCGTCGCTTTCTACGATGGTTGGGCTTTGTGGGGTGGAGAGATTGCGTAGGAATTGCTCTCTGTGATGTGGACCATCGCTTCCAGCCACACCGATCAAGTGTTCTCTGCATGGCTCGCTTGTCTCACGCGTAGAAAGGTGTACGCGATGGTGAAGGCGGAGATCGAGCGTCGCTCGCTGAGCGAATCGCAGAAGCAGAACTACCTCAGTCTGATCGATCTGTACATTACCAACTCTTCCTCCTCCTCCTCTTCCTCTTCTTCTCCTCTTTGTTCCAACAAACATTCCAATTCGCACGTCTCTTCATCAGCATGATCGCTCCCGCAGCCACCACGCCGGTCACCGCCAACGCTCCCATCCAGAACGACGGCGACTTCATCGCCTTCTTGCAGCACTGGCACATGTAGCATCCCTTCTCTCCCTCACATCCGCATCCACAATTCTCCTCCTCCTCCTTCTCATACGCCGTCATCACTCTCGCTCCCTGCGACGGCGACGTCACGAACGCCGAGCACTCAATGCCCGTCCGCTCCTTGTACTCCTTCTCCAGCGCCTTCATCACCTTCTCCGCCTTGTCGCTCTCCACGAAGCACACGATGCATCCGCCGAAGCCTCCGCCCGTCATGCGCGCTCCGAACACGCCGTCCTGCCCCATCGCGATCTCCACCAGCAGATCCAGCTCCGGCGTGCTCACCTCGAAGTTATCGCGCAGCGACGCGTGGCTCTGCAGCAGCAGCCGTCCCACCGCGTCGTAGTCGCGCTTCTCCAGCGCCTGCTTGCAGTCCAGGCAGCGCTGGCACTCCGAAACCACGTGGATCGCGCGGCGATAGGTCGTGTTGTCCATCTCCTCGCGGATCGACTCGACCTGCTCCACCGTCGCGTCGCGCAGCGCCTTCACCTCGGGGAAGTGCTTCTGCAGCAAGGCCAGCGCCTCCTTGCACTGGCGCACGCGGTCGGGGTACTCGCTTCCAGAGAGCTGGTGCTTTTTGTTGCTGTTGCAGACCACGATGGAGACGGAGGGGTCGCTGAGGGGAACCAGCTCGCCCTTGTTCGCGCGGCAGTCGATGAGGAGCAGATTGCCACGCACACCGCACGAGGAGATGAACTGGTCCATGATGCCGCAGGGCATGTGAGCGAAGTTGTGCTCAGCCGCCTGGCAGAGAAGGGCGCGATCTTCGGGGGTGATCGCCTGGTTCAGAAGCTGCTCCAGGAACACGGAGACAGCGACCTCGAGGGAGGCAGAGCTGCTGAGACCACCTCCGAGAGGAACGTTGGAGACGATGGCCATGTCAAAGCCGATCTCTTGGATATTGAAGCGAGTGATGAATTCATAAACGACACCCTGCACCATAAGGAATCCCAACGGAAACGTACGGAAACATAGTTAATCCAGCTACCACTCTCATCACGCACCAAAGAACTATCTCCCTTGAATTCTTCGATTCCATCCTTGCTGGCGGACACGACACGGCAGACCTAGGCTTGATCCCCTCCGAAGAAGACTACATTGCCAGGAGCCTTCTTTCCGACGATAGCCGTTCCCAAATGAATGGCCAAGGGGCACACAAAGCCTTCACAGTAATCAGTGTGCTCTCCAATGAAGTTTACACGACCTGGAGCAAAGGAGTAAATCGAAGGTCTTTCACCAAAATTCTTGTTAAAGAGTTCAACAGCTTGATCACGAAGCACAGAAGCCATAATGTAAAGGGATGTAAAAAAAATTATAAGGTTCGAAACCCTTACCAGTCCTCCTATTACGCACGAATTCAGTCATTATCAAAAATGAATGTATTACAGCGAAGTTGATCACCTCAATAATGGTTCGACCCCTCATTCCTTGATTGTGTTTCCATTTGTTTCTCCGTTTCTCCTTTCCAATCACTTGCCACCGAACATGCTTCAAACAAACAAACAAACAAACAATGCAATACTTTATCATATAAATTCTTCTGCTATCAGACAAATCCCTCGCAAAATTACCGTACGTACTGAACCACGTTGTAAACAAGATGTCGCATTTTGATAATACATACAAATCCAGGATCGCTCTCTCCATAAATTTCAGATTCTTCCCTCGCGTATGACCAATTTCAAACGCGTCCGCCATCACAAAACTTGCATTCAGCGGTGCGAGCAGTTTCGGAGCTTTCTTCGAGTCCGAAGACAAGTAAAATGTGTAATTGTTCACCGACTGCAGTTTCTTGTTGATAAAGTCCACAACCCTTCCTATGTTCTCTTCCTTTATGAACTTGAAGCCCTCCTGGAATTCCGCGATCTTCCCACCAAACCGCAACTGCAGTCCCACGCGCACTCCCGTCATTTTATCGAGCAGTTTGTTGCCAATATCGATGATGCTCTGCTTGGGCTGGAACAAAAATCGCCCAAAGTACTGAGACAAACTGTGTTTATCGAACCTGCACGGAATGTGTTCTGCTATTAACGCATCGCGAATCTTGGGGCACTTCACCATTTCCATCAGCATATCGTTGGAACCAGAAATCGCCCGATTCCTATCGAAATGAAGATTGCAGTTCTGGTCCTTCACCCATTCATCGACGCGCGTTCCGCGCCAAATGATTGAATAATCATAAACCTTGCAACGGAGAATGTCCAGAGACGAGTTCATGACCAGGTAATAGTTGCCATAATCAAAACAGATTGTATAGTTGTCGTAAATGGACAGAATGAGGAGTGAACGAAAAGCTCGCATCATGTTTCCAAAACCAGTGCCAGGGCGAGGGAAAAAACGGATGGTCACATCTCTATGAGGCCTTGTGAGTGCTTGTACAATGGGACTGAAATCACTGAGCCTAGAGTCGGTTCTTCTATAAGGTGAGGAATCTTGAACTGATTGAGGGCCACCGTTCGCTTTCGTATTATTCGTTCTATTATACCCACGTCCTCTGTATTGTGGAGAACCATACCTGCTTCGACCAAAGCTTCTTCTTCTTCTTCCTCCATATCTCATTGTGTCTCCATTGCTTGTGTTGCTACCCCCCATTTGGTTGTCTCGTGGGAATGGTGTGTTTGTTGTCGAAACCGAAACTGCTGCATTGCTGCTCGGAGTTGTTGAAAAGTCAGAGGCAGAAAATAAAGGACGGATCGATGTAGAAACAGTTGGGGATGAGGATGCCGAAACAGATATAGTTGTTGAAACAGTTGGATACAGCGATGCAGGTTCCACTGTAGACTTGTCTGGCTTGCTGCCCAGCTCCGACAGAGTATTAAATATATTACTCTTGACAATTCCCTTTTGCTTTCCATTAGAACTATTTTCAGCAACCATCGAAATATGAACTCGTCTTCCTGACGTTTTTTCAATAGAATGGCTGCTACAGCTCTGCGGTGGAAACATTTCCTTTTCTATCTCATCTCTACTTATTTTGAAATAATCTCCCAGCTGAAAGAGAAATGATCTTGTTTTTATCACCCACACACTTGAGTTATTCCATATAGATAGATGATTTGGAACCGAATCACACTGATGTACTATTTTCCATTCCAGAAAACTCGTACTCACGGGTTGACCCCATTTCAAAATGAGTGACGAAGCAATATAGATTACACAAATGCATATTGAAATTAGGTAAATATGCATTTATCACTTTAAAAAAACAGTTTAATGGATTAGACTTCTGCGTGCTCTATATACGATTATTAGCGCGATCCGAAGAGAAATAATAAAAGCAAACAGGAAGGCTTAAGAAAAAAGTTTGTTTCAAACAAAGAGCTCAAAGTAGTACAGCTATAAAAATACTTAGTTTACACAAATCTGCTTTCTTCCACTTTCTCTCTCCTCCTTCTTGGGAATCACTACCTTCAATACTCCGTTATCATACATCGCGTTAATACCATCCACGTTCGCATTCTCAGGAAGAGATACTTCACGGTGGAAAGAACCGAAGTGGCGCTCACAGAAATGGTACTTGTCCTTCTCCTCCTTCTTCTCACTCTTTCTCTCTCCTTCAATCACAAGTCCATTGTCTTCCACATGCATCTTGATTTCACTCTTGTCCATTCCAGGCAGATCCATTCTCATTTCGTATTCCTTCTCGTTCTCCCTCATGTCCATTCGACCAAATCCACTAAACGGAGTAATCACATCACGCCGAATTCCATCATCAAACCAGGCATCCAAGTCTTGCTGTCTAGGATAGGTCGAAACCAGCAAGTCATCAAAACCATCAAAGAAAGGGTCACGGAAAATAATGCTCATTATCACTAACTTAGGTAAATCAAATAATTTATGTCAATTTACAAAAATAGTCCAACCATTCCAGAACATTCCAGAACATTCCAGAAAACGAGTTAATATTGACTCCACCGAAATAGATTTTGGAGTACATCACCCAGTCAGCCTTTCAACCTAAACCACCACAATGGAGAATGTTCACTATTTCTGAGTTGAACTCTCATGGTATGACAGAAATCTTTCAAACCACATCGCAGCGCTCATGGAATTGTACCATCACATCATAAACCATTTCAATTTGTCATTTTTTTCTTACCACACTGGTAAATGCGGTATTATTCCATTTTACTTGCTGCTTTGGCCTTCGCCATTTGCTTCTCTGCTGTGGAGGCTCGTTCCAAGGGAACTGTGCTGTTTTGTCAATTCGTTTTACAAATAGAAAAGAGAGCCCAAGATTACGAACAAGGTCTACTTTGATATCGAGATTGACGGCGAGAAGGTCGGAAGAATCGTAATGGGCCTGTTTGTAGTTGAGAACCTCTCTGAACTCTAGCTTTGGCAAGACAGTTCCTAAGACTGTAGAGAACTTCCGCGCTCTGTGCACTGGAGAGAAGGGAATCGGAAAGAGCGGAAAGCCTCTGCATTACAAGGGATCGATCTTCCATCGTATTATCCCCAACTTCATGATTCAGGGTGGTGACTTTACCGCTGGAAATGGCACTGGAGGCGAGTCTATCTATGGAGAGAAGTTTTCTGACGAGAACTTCAAGCTGAAGCACACGGGCCCTGGAATCCTTTCGATGGCCAACGCTGGACCCGATACAAACGGATCCCAGTTCTTCATCACGACTGTATGAATGATCTTTCTATTTGCTGATGTGTAGGTGAAGACCCAGTGGCTGGATGGTCGCCACGTTGTTTTTGGTAAGGTGATCGAAGGTATGGAGATTGTGAAGCAAATCGAAGCTGTGGGAACGGGAAGCGGCACTCCTACCAAGTATGTGAATTTTTGTTTGTTTAATCGTTAGGAAGGTGGTTATTGTGGACTCTGGAGAGCTGTGAATTGTTTGTTTGATAAATGAGTGAGAATAGGAGGAGTAGAGTGCGTATAACTGAGATATTGTAGATTAGTTGGATTTAGGAGAGAGGAGGAGGAAATGATCAGCATCGATGAGCTTCTACAATTCAAATGACTACTGGACTGTTCAAATGGCTACATATCACTTTCCTAACGCTCCAACGAAGAATAAACTGCGCGAGCTATTCAACGAACAATTGTGAAGGCGTATAATACTATAGATAGCACATATTTCTTCTGGACATGGATACCAATCATTCTCTGGAATGATTGATATCGCTTTTATTTCATCTACAGTCCCGACTGAAGTAGGTTCTGCTAGTACAAATACGGGATCGATTCTGGGTTCGGTATTGTCAGAACCTATTATTTACATAGATTGTTTGTATATCCAGTAAGTCGTAGAGTCAAATATGCCCAGGCCTCTGTAGTTAATGATTACACTTAATCTAGTAAAAAAACTATAAGTAACAGTACTAGATCTGTAGCACAGTATGATTTTCATGTTACATATGAATTCTGCAGCACAGTGAACAAGAATGCTCATGGAAATTGGTGAAATGTAGAGAGAAATGCACGTTATCGCAGTATATATTATTGATAAAATGAAAAGGTAATTGTAATGGAGTAACACGGAAAGAAACAACGAAATCCTATTGAAACGTTTCAACCTTCATCCTACATAGCAGCTAAGTTTGGAAAAACAAACAAGTGGAGAGAAGGCTTTTAATAAAGTATCTCACAAGCCACCTGTTTACCAGAATCGATGTTCAGTTAATCTGCGGAAAGAGAAATGGCTTAATAGACCTCATTTTAGAAAGTACAATGGATTCTAAAGAACGGTTTTCATGATAGGATAACAGCTGTTTTCACTCGAACACTTTTATGAAGAAGATGAGATGAGATGCTGACATACCGCTTCTCCTGTAAAAGGGTTTCACACCGTTTAGAGTACAATAGTTCCGAAGGAATGGTAAGTAATCGGGATGTTGTATTTTCACTTCGACATATAGGCGTAACAATACCTATCTTTATGGTTATTCATGATTTCAGTATTCCGTGTAACATGTGAATAATCCTTCCGTTCAGCAGTTCCATATGCCAGCCTATATTTTGTCTTACAGCAACAGCAATTATCAATTCAATGCATTCACGATTCTGGATTGTACATATTTTCATGATTAACAATAACGAAACAATAACAGGGTTCAACGTTTATTTTGCACAAACCAGTCATCTGTATTTTTGTACTTTTCCCTTCTCTTCTATTTTGGGTATGATCGTATCGCTCCATACATGAATATCCAATAAATAGAAAACGAAGAAGGACACAACACAGCTCAATAGTTTCCACTTTTCCTATTCTATGTTTGAATATCATGACTACGTTTTGTGTACCAAGGATATATAATAACCCTATGATAGAGCCATACTAAGGTCAAGAGTGAATGTCCATTCATTGCATAACATCCTCTTGAGCAATATTTGTCAAGAAAATACTATGTCATGATGATAACATCTTCTTGTTAATTTTCAGGATTGATCATTCCCAAAACGTGTAAAAGAAGGGTAAATACCAAAATAGGCCATGCTATAAACTCTTCTAACATCTAAACAAAATGACATTCACTCATTTCGCAAAATGTGTGTAAATAGGACCATAACATAGATAATAATACCACAATGATAACCAAGCACAATAATTTGGCTGCAAAAATAGAATCACCACTAAAATGCAAAAAAGTATTGTTCGGTAAAAATCTCATTTCATCTCAAAACTAACAACGACTACAGACTCTGCATAATAATCACACCATATCATCGCTTGTTAAAATTGACGATATGTTAAAATTAACGGATAACCTAAACCGAAACACAAAAAAAGATTTACAATGGTGAATAGTATTGGTAACCAGTTCAAGATTTAAATTAATATTTAGAAGACAAGTGTGGACAGTATCTTCTGAATGGGTACATTGCTGGCGAAAAAATGAGATTCGTGAATCAGTCCCGTGAATATGAGTTACAGTTATACCAGGGAGAGCACGCAAAGGAATTTACGGTATGTGAATTAAAGGATGGAAAAGTCGAGGGACGCTGCCAGTTGTACAATCGCGGAATCATATCTCTTTCATGGATGATGAAAAATGGAAAACGAGAAGGGGGAATTACCGAGTATGTAAAAGGAAAAGCTGTGCGTAGAGAAAATTGGAATTCCATTTTTGGAAGAAATGATAAGAGAGTTATTAAAAATGTGAAAAATAAGCTTATCATGACTATTCAGTACAAGAAATCGGATTCCGAAATAATCAGCGATGAGAGTTTTGGAAATGTGATCTATCAAGGGGAGTTCGACTACGAAATGAATCGAAATGGTCGCGGCATCGAATTTGACATAAACAGCGGAAAAGAGCTATTTGAAGGTATCTGGGAAAAAGACAACTTAATTTGCGTGACTCGCGAATTTGATAAGGATAACAATACCATGATTGAGTATTCTGAGACAAGTAGTCAGGCTATCTGGCAGCAAATACCTATGTATATAGGTGGATATTGTTTTGAGGATGGATCGATCTTCAGAAATGGAACTGGTTACCTGATTGATGAGTCCAGTGGAGCAGCAATTCGAGAGAGTGAATGGGACCATGGAATAGAGATAAAGGGAGATGATCTATATGAAGGTTGGTATGAGAAGGGAATTCAGGATAGCATTCGCAATGTGATTAACAACTTGTCACAGGAAAATATGCAAACAGAAGACCCATCTTCTTTCTTTGCACAAAACAAGATTGAAGTAATCAGGAGTGAACAACTGCATGAAATTGATATCAACATCACGGATCTCGTTGTCGCGTCAAACTGTGGCAATCATCTCAGCTCACTGAATCTGAACTCATATAGCTGTCTCAAATCCATTGAGATAGGAGATAACTGCTTTTTTTCTGTGAAATCTTTCAATCTTAATGGCCTAAAGAAATTAAAAAGACTGAAGATAGGCAACTGCTCCTTTACCCAGTCCAAGTATTGCTACAAGGAAGACTACAGCAAATCATTCCATATTGTGAACTGTGACAAATTGGAATCAATTACCATCGATGAATACAGTTTTTCTGATTGTTCAGGACAGTTTGAATTGAGAAATTTGAACTCTCTCAAATCAATACGTATCGGATCGATTGGTAAACACTCTAACAATTTCTTTTTCAGTTCATTGGTGGTTCGAGGTAGGAATGCAGACTTGTTGCTTATTATGTATAGACCTTCCACAACTTCAGATTCTTGAATTGGGTGACGGAGCATTCTGCTACTCATTGTCTACCATCATTGAAAGTATTCACACTTTAAATCTCTTTGATATAAATAGATCTTCCGTCCTTAACAACCATCAAACTGGATCGCGCTGCTTTATATGGGCATCCTGAGAATCATTCCTGTTCATTAACCATGCGAGGTAGGTACCAGCTGCAATTATACTGATACTAGATCTACCTGGTTTATTGTCCATCTGCTCTCTTGGAAAGGAACTTAATTTCTACGAGCAGCGAATCGTAATATTGAAAAGTATTCAGTTCTTTGGCATGGACAATGGATAGATATCCCCAATCTTCGAGCAATGAATATGACTGGATGCTTTGGGTATGTTGAATCCCATTCTGTTTCAAGTAATCAAGGATTCGTCTTCTTAAGTGTTTAGACGTTTCTTCTTTATTAGCAAACTTCTTTCATTGAACATCCAAGAACACCTGCCGTTGAATATGTAGAATCGAATTGTTTAGCTTAACTATATTCAATGTCATCTGCTTTGTTACACAAGTAAACACTCACAACAACTGAAACTCTGTACTGCTTCATCCTCTATTTTATAGCAGAAGAATTCAGTAGTAACAAAGCACACTATTCAAATAATAAAAATCGTATGAGTTTGAACAATAGACAATTCAAAACTAAAATTCATACACAGATTATCTTCACAGAAGATTTATTATGAATTTGGAACCAGTTGAACCAAAATAGGCGAGACATCTGCGAATGAAAGAACAAATGAACACGTACTGGAAATACTTTTCTTGCTTACGCTATCAAACGGTTTTCCATACCGATCCCTTGGCAAGTCCACAGTTACCAGATTAGGAATATCTGTATCATTACACTCCTCAAATCATCAATCACTCTCAAAAATAACCGAACGATAATAATAAAAGCTGTATCCCTTAGAACAAATGGACGAAAGCGCAGGGAGATCTAATATGAGGAATGCACTGAATAAAGTCTACTTCGCATCACCAACGAGCAAGACAAATCTTCATATCGACCTTCAAGTGCAAATTCACCGAGTGAAATCGACACCAATTTAGGCAGATCTACAGAGATTCCCCAAAACAACTATTTCATACTATGGAACACGGTTGAACTGGAATAATCAAACGACCCGCTGCCCAACAAAACGGATACCAGGCAAGGAAGATCTGCTGATTAGTATTTGGTTCATACTCCCATACTTTGGATTGTAAACGAGCTAAAATAGAAATTGTTCGATTTCTTCTCCATCGATCCGATTTCGAGTGATTGAATCGAGGGAAGGTCTCGTAATGTAAAGCCTCCAGCAAAATCTGCAAAACTCCATTCACCTATTTTTATCGTCTGCAGATTCTTACAAGATAAGATGCAAAACGATTTGTCAGTATCATTTGCCTCCTCCGAGTTCCAATTCTGCTCCTTCACGAGAGAAAAAGAACTGCTTCCGATTCTTATACTTTTCAATCCTCTCAGTCGTTCAATGTTAAACTTTCTCACTGAGGTAAAGCAGTTATTGCCAATTTCGATCGATTGCAGTATATTGAACTTACTAAAATCCAACTCCATGCATTCATTACAGCTGTTTGACGCAATTGACAGATTGGACACCTCATTACTAATGCTTAAAAATTTTGACGACTCCGAAATAGAAATAACAGGTTGGTTCGTAGAAGGATCCGAAGCACTCGATATTGGTGGATTGAGAGTAGACGATGATAATAAGGCAGGATCAGGAGAAGGACTGTACCATCCATCATATAGATCTCTTCCACTTACTTCCATTCCATCTTTCCATTCGCATTCCCGTATCGCAATCCGCGTTTCTTCGTCGATTAAATAGCCTCGACCATGTCGAATAAACGACTCATTTAGCTCGTCATATATGAATTCGCCGACATACACGGGAATTCGATTGGAAGCTTTCGTATTGTCTCCATTTCGCTTAAATTCAATCATGGTAGCTCCTTCGATTTTACGAATGATTTCCACAAGCTTATTCTTTTTCCAGATCCCTTCCAGCAGCATGGCACCCGATTTTCCATCATACGCGATTCCCCATCCTTCTCGTTCCCTGTATTTGTTGAATTCTCCGTGGTATATCAGATTTTCACTGTCATGAGAAACAATCTCCATCCGTTCTCCATTTACATGGTTTATAACGCGGTTAAAATTGCGGTTGTACCAAATATCATCATATGATTGAACAAAGGCAACACGGCCATTCTCATAGTAAGTAAAATCTCCAATTTGGGCTCCGTCTTCGTTTTCTTCAAATACCATCTTTATTACGCCGTTCTGATATAAGCAAACCTTCCCATCTTTTTTCAATGTGTACTCATCCTTGTGTTGCTCTTGAAAGTTTTGTAATATATATTGTGAGTGATTTATAGTAATTTCTTGAGGTTCTCCAACCGTTAAGTAGCCATCCAGTAAAAAAATACTGCCCTTGACTGGCTGCAGCCCAGCTACTGATTATAAATTGTATATTATGAATACACTGTGATTTCATTATTGGAATATAGTAATGAAAAAAAGGCAAAGAGAAAAGTGAGTTTGTAGTCTCAGTCAAATAATTGTTTACATTAAAATTTTCTTACTAGATATTTGCACTATCTGTGTGATGGGGAATGGGCTGTAGGTGTCTTAGGTTGTATGAAGCGTTTTTGTAGGCTGCATTTTCTGAGTATAGGATATTTAGTGCATGAATATTTGGAATTATGTGAAACAGTGACTATGTATGCAAAAGCGATAGGACTGAAGGGAATTGTCCAGACATAAGACAAACTATGAAATTGCGTGTGTCTACATTTGTTTGTACTTATTAGGTGAGAGTAAGTAGTTTGCGTTGTAGTATTTACTCTCTGCAGTGAGATCATAATTTATCGTCATTTTACATTATTTCTATGGTGGACCTTTCCATTATGATGGAGAAAACATGGGTAGTAAGTGATTTTTGAAGGTAATATTCTTTTGCTTCAATCATACCTTTAATATGTTGATAATTAGGGGGTAGACACTTTTTTTAGTCAATTTGTTCACATGATGAAAATCTATTTCATATTGATAATTTTGGCTTGTACAAAAGCTTGAGTTCCTAAAGAGAAATGAAAACGGCTGTTGATTCGTAGGTTTTCACAATATGTCGCTAGAGTTAGGCGGGCTATTATCTCACATGATAGAACACTGTAATGGCATAAATGGTGTTACAGAACGAATTTTGAATCATAGATATAAAAGGATTTCATTTGCACTAACAATAAGCTAGTACTTAAGATGAGTATTGAAAGCTTTATAAAGGATTACGATAAAAAAATATATAGTACTGTTAGGCAGTGGAATACAATGGTTTTATCTATGTGTGTGTGTGACGTAATTTTTGTGCAATAATAACGCAGTTAATTCAGTCTATTCCAGCTTTAAATCTTATTATCATACATAACTTGTAGCCACAAAAGGAACAGTAGTAATAAGTACACAAGCACTTGAAACCTATGTTTCGTCCACTTCAAATGGAGTTGTAATTTTTCATTTCAATTACCATTTGTTATAATGTTAATCAGTTCTTGGCAATTATTATTTCCAAGCAAACTACATGAATAATCTATTACATCAAGATAGTCTCTTATACTTTTTGAATTATGTGGAAGAATGCTTTTTTATATCTGTCAGTAATGGTTTTTTACTTGCTGAAAAACAAAGAATTATAAAAAATAAACTCTTCTCATATTAGTTAAAAGGCTATGGATTCGCAATAACTACAATATCTTTACCTATTTGTTTATTTTTCTTTGTAGTCTCAGGATGATTAGCCAAAGGCAGCTTTTGTTCTTTCTTTATTTTCGATTTATCGTTTTCCAACAGATCTATTTTGTGTTGTATGTTACTCGTATTTTGATCATTGAATGCTGTTTCGGACTGATCATTTACAAATATAACATTGTCTTATTGCAATTACTTGAGGTTTGCTACTTTTAATAACTTGATAACACATTAGGTACAGGATGTAGAGATGTTACAATATCAATGTATCTAATCTGTGATTATGCTCTTTCATTTTCTTTCTTGGCAGCAATACTAATTCTCTAATTTGGATCAGTTTATCTGCAGGTTTAGCTCAGCTTTTAGTTGAAACGAATCAACCTTATGGTTCTATTATCATTATCGGTTTGTAATCACTATTCTTCCATTCTTTTTGTCAATTATCTTACGGCGTTAGCTCATTTTCTTAGAAAACTTCAAGCAGATCGTGTGGACGTCCTCCCATGGAAGCGATCTTCTCTCTTCGCTTACTGCTGGATTGTGGACTGGCTCTTCGGTCACGCTCTCTCATCCCTGCGTGCCTCACCTCCATCGCAGTTATTCCGATCTTCTCCATTCATCTGCGTCCTCTTCTTCGATTTCCGGTCCCGCTCTTGTCGAATTCGGTCGAACCGCGTCCTCTTCCGAATATCGCGTTGTCTCGCTCCACCCCAGCACAACTCGCGTCAGTTACTACGACCGCGTCATGCTCCCAGCCGCTGCGGGTCTGCGCGTAGTCTTCGACAAGCGATGCTATCTGGACACCGATAACGCCTTCCTCACATTCTATCGCGACGAAAAGCACATGCAAGTGATCGCTCGCTTCACGGGCGGTCCTTCCAACTTCTGCTCGTTCACTGTGCGCGGCAGTACGCTCCGATTCCTCTATGAAAGCAACATCCACGCGCAGCCGACGTGGGGCTACGCGTTCGTGGTGCAGCCCTTCGAGAACATTCAATGGGGAGGCGATATGGAGATTCCAATATCGCCCTGCTTCGATTGGAACTGCCTCGCGTTGGATCTCGTTCTCCACATCTCCAAACGCCTCGCGAATCCGCCTACTGAATACTTCCAGCGCGTCTTCTCCAACTTACTGACCTATTTACGAACGGCCGGACTGCCCTTCAAATCGACCATCGTGGAATTGCTGATTAAATGCTGCATCTCTGCATGCCATTGGCGAAACTCCCGGATGTGAGCGGATTGTACAAAGTGGTGATGGATTACTGCGAGGGAATCGACGAGAACTCGATGGTTCCCGAGCATTTGCCGCTTCTAATCGAATTCTTAACGTCCTGCCGACTGTCTCTGCAGCTCCATCAAATCTATGAAAGTCGGTCGATGGATCCGAAAAGTGGAAACCAGCAAATTCTCTATTATAACAATTTCGTCCAGACGGAAAGTCCTGCAACCGACTCCCTCCCAGCCAAATCAACCGACGCATCCGTAAAGAATTCGCCGTCGATCCTGATCTCTCCGTCTTCCTGCAGTACGATCTGCACGTGCGTCGAAACGGTCTATGTTCTGGCCACATGTCTATTCTACCAATCCATTCCGCCGCCTTCCTTCCTTTCCTTCTTTCTCACCTCCTGCAATCAGCCCGTTTCCCAGACGTCCCTCGACCAAATCACCGATTGCTTCGCGCGGTTCACGCGTCGACTCGATCTCTCGCTCGTCAGCGTTCTCGAGCAGCACTGCAACGCCAGCGACGCCATGCTCACCTTCTCTCTCCTCGACTTTACTCTCAGCGAAGACGACAAAGCGCGCCATTACGGACTCAATTCCTTCTCTCGTCTCGATATCCGGCTTCGTCTCTTCTTCCTTCAATACTTCAACGCACAGCTCCAACGCATCGTTCATTTAGTCGACCTCGGTCTGCCCCGCGACAGCGGAATCATTACACTTGGCCGCATCCTCGCAGGCCTCACCGGCTATATCTTCGCCCCCGTCAAAGAGCACGTGCTCGCTCTCACCATTTCGCAGACAGTTTATCACGGAAAGGACTGCTATCCCGTCGTCGAGCTCGATAATCGCCGCGTATTCACTGCCATGGAGCGCGACGCGCTGCCGTCACGTGGCAGCGACACAGAAACACAACACGCTCTGAGTTCGCAATGCACTTTCGCGCAGCTCTTCCGCGAAACGCGCGATATCCCCGTGGAAGTGCTTCGTGCGCCGCTCGATGGCCGTGAACGCTTGCTGGCAGTGAAGCTGAAGGGAGAGCAAGGACTGGACTGGGACGGAATCTACCGCGACACGATCGAGCGGTGCATCGACGATCTGTTTTCGGACCGAATCGATCTGTTTCTGGCGTGTCAGAACGCGCGCGAGCCGAACAGTCCAGGCGAAATGAAATATCTACCGAACCCAAAATACCGCGAGAGCAGCGACGCGCTCGCGATGTACAGCTTTGTGGGGAATCTGATCGGGATCGCGCTGCGGACGAAGCAGCGAATGGCGTTCGAACTGTGCAGCGCGGTGTGGAAAACGATCGTGGGAGACGTGGTGACGATCGACGATGTGGATAGTGTCGATCACGCGTTCGTTTCCACGCTTCGCCAAGTCAACGAATTCACGCAGACCGACGACTCCGAAGACTTCCAAGAGCTCTTCGTGCTGACTTTCTCCGTTCTCGATTCCGCAGGAAACGAGGTCGAGTTGATGCCGAGCGGATCGCAGGTGCCGGTACCGTATTCGAACCGATCGAAGTTCTATCAGCTCGCGTTGGAATCGCGACTCACCGAAGGGAAACAAGCCGCCGAAGCGATCGCTGCGGGCGTGTATGCGTTGGTTCCGCAGCGAGCGCTGTCGCTATTCACGTGGGAGCAGTTAGAACGTGCGGTGAAGGGAGAGCCGGAGGTAGAGATGAGGAGGAGATGCGATGTAGATCTCGATCGATGCGCTGAAGCTTCACACGGTGTATATTGGGTGGACGGAGCGGCATGAAGTGGTGCAGCGGTTCTGGAGGGTCATGCGAGGGCTGAGCAATAAGGATCGAAGTCTTTTCTTGCGGTTTACGTGGAGTCGGTCGCGGTTACCGAAGAGTGACGACTGGTCGAAGCCGTTTAAGCTGTGTTATAAAGATGCGACGGATGAGATGCTGCCCGTGGCGCATACGTGCTTTTTTCAATTGGAGTTGCCGCAGTATTCGAGTGATGCTATTATGAGAGAGAGGCTGCTCGTGACAATCCATTTCGGAGCAGGAGAGTTCATGTTACGATAGGGTTACTGATTTGTTTGTTGGATGAACGGTTTTGGGTATAATCATGACGTGGGGTTTTAGACTATTTTCGTTTGCTATTCTTCTCGGTTAAAACTTTTCATCAGGTGAAATTAGGAAAGATGAGTTAGGGATAGATCTTTTTGTTCTAAATGACGCAAACTTCAGTTCTAATGTAATAGTCAACAGTTCGGATGTGTGGTTTATTCGTTTTTATGCTCCTGTATTTTTTCGAATTTCCAGTATGAAATAGTGGTGTATACATTGTAAGAGAATGGAAAAGGACTGGGAACAAACGGCAACTTTGTTGAAAGGGGAGATCAAAGTTGGGAATGTATTTCAATATGGAAATTGTTGATATGCAGTTGGATGCCACCACAGAACTGGAAACAGCCTCTCAATTTCGCATTCGTGGCTATCCAACAGTTTTACTTATCTATAAAGTAGAATTTTATATTATTTGTAATTTAGTCATCCGTTTTTATGTATGGTGGCTCTCGCCAAGCTTCTGATATGGCAGAGAAAGCAAGAAAGGCGTTGGAATTAAGTAGTTGGTTTTTAGAATAGGAAAAGCGTATTACTGGAGAATGGTGGAATTCCCGATGGATTCAGTAGCTATTTGAAGTATGAGCCGAAAGAAAACAAGTCTGTCCAGCCTATATCAAAGACGAATCTGCGAGTCAAACGACCGAATCTACCCGTGAAAGCAGCGCTGAGCACACTTCAGATCTTGCTGATGAGTCTGTTTTTGCTTTTTCTTATTTGTGTGGCCTTGTTTTTGCGATATGTTTCGATTTCTTCGAGAGAAGAAGGAGAAGATTTCGAAGAACCCGAAGCTGAATCGTTTTTGTCTTATCATGAACACAAACTGTGAATCGTTGATTGATTGATTGATTGATTGATTGTTGAGTGTTTGTTGTTTACTACGTGAATGGAAAATGGAATCTGATGAAATGAGAGGAAATCAACCGAATATAAAACGAAACATATTATGTAAGAAACAATAGAATTAACATGAAAGGCGATTAAGAAATACCAATGAATCGCTTGTATTCAGTGATAGCTGTCTGTGTTACTACTTGTACGAAGTTTGTTTGATTTGTAACTTCGGCACTATCAACGATTTTAGGTCCCAAAACTGATTGCATTCTCTCCATTGTTTTAGTGATAACTGCATCACTTACAGGCATAAAAATTACTCTAATACTTAGTAAAGAACGAATATCATTATAGATTTTGTTCCACAATTCATCAACACTTACACCGCTTTTGGTATGAGTTAATCCGCATTTTGGATGATCTCCATGATTTGGATAATCTCCAACAATAAGAATCAAATGATTATATGTATTGAATGGGGCTTGTTTTATTTGTCCTAAAGCACGAATCAATCCTCCTTGAATATCTTCACACCAACCATAACCACATGGCATTCCACTAGCTCCACCATCAGGACCAAATGAAGCAAGTTTTTTTCTCAGTTTTCCAAAGTCATGAGTAATGTATTCTGCTGTTTCTCCCGTCATTTCATCAGCATAATCTTTATACTGAACAACTTGACCCACAATTTTTCCCTTAGGAAGATGATGATCACTTTCTATTTGTTGTAACTCATTCAAAATTTGGACAATATTCTCTCTAGTAGCATTAATATAACTACTCATCGATCCTGTCGTATCCATTACAATACTCAAACAGAATCTCACTTCCTTACTCTTGATTTCTCGTTTCTCCATTGGTGTCAAGCCAGGAAGTGTTACTCCATTCATTTTGATTCCTGAAGTTAATTTTGGATTACAGAATCGTTCTTCTTCAAATGCTTCCGTGTTACACAACCAAACTGCAGCATTGCTGATCCATCGCGCTGTTCCATCTTCAGTGAATTCCAAGAATAGTTTGGATGCAGCTGTATCAATGATCATTCTGCCTTCACTGCTTCCTTCCTGCTTTTCTTTCACCATTATCGACACATTTCCTTCACTCTCTTTTGCAAATTCACGGAATCCAATTCCTTCGAGTTTCCTTTCATTCAGTTTGCAAAGCGTTCTTCCTTCAAATATGCGAACAATGCCAAAATCCAATTGAGACAGATTATAAAAATCAGTTGCTTTGCCTCCAATAGTAATAAAATGGCCAGCTTCCGGAGTTTCACTCTTCACTCTTTCCATCACTTTGCCTCCTTTTATGTTTTTATCTTTATCACCAACTGCTTCAAATCCATAGAATTTCTTAAAATACAGGTCAGCTTCATAAGTGAATGGATAGTTTTCTAAAAACCAGAATACACCTCCTCCTCTCCTATTGAATTCGTGAACACAACCCACAAACCTATCTGCATATTGATCAACATCATCATCACATTTCTTCGCCATAATTCCATCTCCAGGAGAACAAGTAATAAATGTCATTCGATACCTTCCGCTCATTAATTCATCGATAGCACTTTTATAATCATAAGCATATCTGATGTTAAATCCCTTTCCAATCGGTTTTCCATTGACTACTTTATCTCCCAGCTTCAGAATGGGAGAATATTGCACATTCTTCACCACTTGACCATTTCGCAAAACTTCATCTGTGATAGACTGGTCAATCACTTTACCATTTTCATCTTTCTCTCCTCGACACAAATAAAGAATAATGAATAGAATTGTATAGTCTTTAAAGCCTCCGTCCACTCCCAAATCATATTTGCTATCATAGATATAACCAATCCTCGTCATTGCATCGGGTCCATCTGTTTCATCAGCAAATCTAACATTACTCAATGTAGTTTCGTAAATACTTGGAATATTGCAAATCCGCTCTGTGATATCAACATAGATTTTGTCAAATGTTCCATTCATTATCATTTTATCGATTTGTTTCTCGGGCACTGCATTTAAATTCCCTTTCATTGACGCTGTGGTCAGATTCATAATTGTTTCAGACAATTGAATTGGATTTGAATTCCAAATCATTGTAGGGAACAAATCTTCAAATCCGCACAAATACAAACCAATTCCAATTCCAAGATAGGTCATTTCGATTCCACTCACAATTGATTTGATTTCTGCTCTTGAATCATTACACAGCACACCATTCGTTAACACCATCATTATGGAGTCGAATGATCGAGCGTTACAAGTACAGCAAGCATAGCGAATACAATCAGGTAAACAAGTATTTTGACAAGGAGACAATAACGATTGATACAATGCAGCAACAATATTGCTTTCCCATAAATCTGTGGATAATATACCTGTTGCAATACGAATAATATGAGAAGTAGCCACCCACAAATCAATACAAGGCAGTTGCATATTGCTCAGATTTCGAAGCATTGTGAAGATCGTAATCAATGAATGAACTCGGTTCGTTTCACTGAATGCGATTGAAGAACAATCAATCACAATGCTAGCATTGTAGCTTCGAATATATTCACTTCCAAGCTTCTTGAAAAACTTGCCATCTCCTGTTTTGCTAACCACATATTTGATGTAGTTTGCCATATGAATCGATGATCCTGAAGTGGATGCAATAAAGGCTGTTGATTTATTAGGAACGAACAGAGAAATGCTCATTGCATCAAACAGATTTTCACCTTGAATCAATTCATTCAACTTTTTCAATAAAATGTTTTCATTCAATACCTTTGGTTGAATCATGAGATTTTCGTCCAATATGTCCACTAGTTCTGCAGATTTTGAACTTGATATAGTGTTGATTGACACTAAAGATTTGTTTACCTTAAATTCCGTTTGTAAATCATCTTGAAGATCAAGAGCATATTTTACTATTGGAGAAACATTATCATTAACATTCATCTTCATTACTTGGGCATCAAAAAGTATGTTCATCAAAATGTTGTTTGGAGATTTTACTATATCACCGATATTCTCAATCAATACCATATTTTTATGGAAGTTTGCCTCCAATGATTTCTCAAGTATAGCTTGATTTGATCCACTCAATGCTTCATCATCTTTTCCTTTTACGCATAACAAAAATAGCTTGGAATAGACTCTAAATACATTTCTCACTTCATCATCTTGAGACATCAATTGCTCGCTGAATCCATCACTTATTATCACCACTGGATCTTTTTCGTTAAATTGATCCTTCACTGTCAATAGATCCAATGGAGTTGAAGGCATTTTCACCACTTCTTCCATGTCAAACAAAAACGAAATGATTTCACGAGTTGATCGATCTTCCATAGAAACATACACACCTTTATATCTTCCACAAAACACATACAAATTGAAGGAAATGCCAAGTTCTTTCATTACTGTTACCATAATGCACGAAATGATTGTTCGCATTCGAAGCTTATTCTTTCTCAAACTACAATTTGTATCGATAATGATATTGACTGTGGGGTGAGGTTTTCTGCTCATACAATTCATTTGCCTTAAGGACTCAATCACATTAACAGATGTACTAATGGTTGCTTGAGCAATTGCAGGATCAATCAAGTTTCTGTTATTGCTCAGAATTTCTTTTGTTAATGAATCTTTGAAACTCGAAGGTTTAACATACTTATTTGTTGTTCTTCGTTTGTAAACCATTTGGAATATCTCATCCATCTGTAACTTATTTACTATTTCAAGATAAGCCTGATAATTAACAAACTGATACTCTTCGTTTTCTTTTAACTCATTTGGATTGATCTCTTTTTCACTTTCCTCATTTTTTTCATAAACTACCATACTGCATTTTATCTTAGTTATATCAATATCATTCACATGTGAACTCAAAGTATTTATAACAGAGTCCCACTGCAATGAGGACTTTTCACTGATGATTGCATTGAAGACTGATTCAGCAGCTTTTTTGATGGAAGGCAAGATCAGATCATTAAAACAACCATCCAAAATTGATAATATTTCCTGTCTTTCATGATCATTAGCGGATAGAATGACCAATGATAAATCAGAAAAAGCTGACACAAATTGGCAGAAGGATTTCGAGCTGAGATTCGCTATTGCTGTTGATGGATCAGTTGAGCAAACACGAGGGACTGAAACAACATTTTTCGGTGGAGACGATTTTTTAAACACTGATAATCCTGTATCATTCCATGTGAAACACCGAGCATAATTTGCAGAATTATCCTCTGTCATGATTGAAGAATAGTAATCCATTTTGATAGTAGGCTTTGATACAATTGTAGTCCAATGTCCTTGTCTACAAGGAATGGTTTCCTTTATATTATCGATATAAACATCCACGCTACATGGGAATGAAGAAGGAGACAGAAAAAACACATATTTATTGTAATAATATTTATCAGAGATACAGCAATCAACAGAAGTGACAATATGATTTGGCATTAGTTTTCTTTTATAACACAAATAGAATTCTTCACTTGCCAACTTTTCATTATCTGATGTTCTATATACATTGGCCACCAACTTGACTTTCTTGTTCCCAATTTCATTGTCTTTCATTACAAATATAAAACTATTCGAACTCTTCGATACATCACAATCATTTCCTGTCACAACTAGTTTCACTTCATTACTAGTAGTTAAAAAGGGAATTGTGATATGATTTCCATCTTCCCCAATATAACTATTAGGAAGAAAGTACGTTTTATCCTTAGGAAGACCAATTGAAGCATTCTTTCCATCATATAACACAACAATTACATCATTTAATGTTCTACTAACACACATAAGAGATGTAGTATGTGTTGTTTTGGGGAAAAAGTAATCCATTATAGAATCATATTCCTGTTGTTTCTTTGCACATTTGTCTGCCATTTTTCTTTCCTCACTAGTGACTTGACTGTTTTTCCTTTGGATGGTCAATAATTTCTGATAGTCTCTGTGATATTCACTCACATCGATACTAGCAACAACATCTATACTTTTCATACAACCAAGATCATCTCCATAATCGAGATAATCTTTCACAGTCCGCTGTTTCTTATCTGAATCAAACGACACTTGATTATAGGGCAATAAATCTAAACCACTCTTTATTTCGATACATGCAATATAATATTGATAATAATATCTCTCTATTTCAGAATTGAAAGAGGAAGAAGGCTTTGTATATTTATATAGGCTGCAACTGAATGAAGAATACGTTGGAAAATACACCCAAGAAGATGAATACTTGCCATAATAGCTACTATTATATTGATTATATTGATATAGTTTATATTGATCAATAGGAATATCATATCTCAAATGAAAATCGTCTCTTATAGTAACCATGCATCTCAAGAAGCAAAGAAGTCTAAACATATCCCAGTTGTTTTTGTAAATCCAATATTTCGAATAATAATCTAGTTGACCTATTTTGTTGGTATAATAAACCAAACTAATACTATCATATCCCCACTTGATACGTTGTCCTCCAATAGATATCTCAACACTCCATTTAAAAGGTGCTGATGGAAGTACCAGCAAATAACCATCTTGAACAGAAACACCATAGTAAGATATTGTGTTTTCATATAATTGAATCTTATTTGATTGAAGATAACTATTGATTCCTTCAGGTGCAAACAACGATATGGTAATCATTTGGTTCCGTTTAATTGCTTCATGATTATATGGGATTAATAACATCTGAAAGTCGAATGGATGGTAGTCTTTTGATACTGTGTACCTAACTTCATGGTACTCATTTTGGGGAGTATTGATATAACATGAAAAGTATTCCAATCGTAAATTATTCACCGCATGCATATATGTGAACATTCCAATCGTATTTCTGTTTCGCTTTTCATAATATTCATCATATCCGGTATTTCGCATTTTTCCTTCAGCTATTTCCGTATATTTTTGAATCAAAGCCTGCTTTTTTGAGTCTAATGTATCGTACATCTTTTTAAACTCTGCGTCACTTTCCTTCAACCTATCTTCTGCTATTTTCCATTCTTTTTGTAACTTGTTTAATTCCACTTTGCAATCTGCTTGAGCAGTAGCTATTACTCTTGATACAAGATCATCAATATCTTGCACTTGTCTCATCACTTTGCTAAGAGCATTTCGCAGAATATCCACTTCCAGCATATCCAATACTACCTTTCCTTGGAGTGTTCGTTTGCGTGGACAAATAATAGCCAGCTTATCTTCAATTCTCATAGGACAATTGGTTGTCCATAGTTCTTTCAGCAATTCATTTCCATTATTAAAAACGTTATTTGGATGCAAGAGCGATCGCTCCATCTTCAATAACTCACTTGGAATAGTAGTTCCTGGTTCAACACGAGAAGGAAAATCACATTTCCACCAAACATCAACTTGAGACACTTGCTCATAACTGAATTTGTTTAATCCAAAATGATTATCAACTGCATCCAAAATCAATGGAACTCCCAATACAATATCTTTTAGATGTTGAGTGGAGTAATACTCTTTTGTCAGTCTAATTTTTAACTTGTCGCATGCACTTTTTCGAGTAGTTTCTGTGTTATTAAATGACTTCCAGTAAGTTTTATACCAATCTTTTTCGAACAATATTTCTATGGCTGCTTCAAAGTCTCCTTGACTTACATCAGCTGGAGTTACGAATGGATATGCACAGTAGTAATCCAATAACCTTTCCCATTTCATATGTTTCATTTCCTTTTTCAGCAATACATTCAGCATTTTCAATAAGTGGGGAAGCAGAATTGATGAATTTCTGAACTCTTTTAGAATATCAGCCACATTCAATTCCAATCGATTCAATACATCTGCATATTCACTCAAAATGAATGGATAGTTTTTGAATGTTTGCAACT